TTTATTTTTCCATTTTTTTCTGATTTAAATTTGATTTATCTAGGTCCGTGTACGAGTGGAGCATGCATTTGCTGCATTGAAAGGGCGGTTTCAATCTCTTCGAGATCTCCGACAGAATATCAATTCAGCAGATGACTTACGGACAGCAGTCCATTGGATTCAGTGTTGTCTGATCCTACACAACATGATCATACGGTTTGAAGAAGAACATGCTCTGACAGAGGACCAGGGATCAGTCAAGTGGTCTTGTCAAGAGGCTAGAAACTTTATGTCTCAAGAGGCAGCTGAAGGACCAGATGGTAATGACCAAGTAGGTGATAGGTTATATGAAGGGACTCCAGGTCATGCTCGTCGTGAGAGGTTGATGGATCTCTTGTTTGACAGCCCTCACTCAAAGGCACAACGTAGACAGGGATAGCAGTTGTAGTTACAAATTTCCACTTGAATATGTTTTCTTGGCTCTGAAGGTGTGATGCTTGACATATGTTTTCTTGGATAAGTAATGTTTGATAACCTGAGGAGATGTTAGATGGTACATATAACTAGTACACTTGCTAGGATAAGCACCACAATATTAAGCAAGTGAAGAGACTGACCATCACAGCTGCTTAGGTTTGAAATCAGCTTTCTTTGCGTTGCAAAGAAAGCTAATAAACCTAGAGCACTGTGATGGTCAGTCTCTTCACTTGCTTAATATTGTGGTGCTTATCCTAGCAAGTGTACTAGTTATATGTACCATCTAACATCTCCTCAGGTTATCAAACATTACTTATCCAAGAAAACATATGTCAAGCATCACACCTTCAAAGCCAAGAGGAAACACCATCATGGTCCATTGAAAACTGGTAGTACATGAACTATCAACATAACATGAACAGGACTAATGGTTAACATAACAACATATGTAGTATGAAGGACAGCATGAGATATGTGATGCAAAAGGACAACAGTAAGACTACAACAACACCCTCAAGAGTTAGAACCGCTCATCAAACGTTGGTACTCAATCTTCAGCTGAAGCGCTCTTGCCTCCTCAGCATGCGCATGTGCCAGCGCAGCATGCATCTTCGCCTCCGCTTCGCGGAGGCGAATCTCCGTATCCTTCGCTTCCTGGGAGCGCTGATGAGTGGCGACAGCTTCCTTGTCGCAGTGTACACGCTCCTCGCGCAAAAACTTGTGCTCATTTACCTGACGGGCGAGGTTGTACTTCGCCATGTAACGCTCGTTCTTGAGCTCGCCCCGAGTGATCCGGTCCGACTGGACGCTTCCGATCTCGTCGTTGAGCCGGTTCAGGTCGCCTTGAAGATCCGACCGCACCCGTTTCACCTGCCTCCCTTTCCCCTTGGAGGATGGGAGTTGTGACGTCTGGGAGGTGGAGGCAGGTGCCGACATCGTCGTTTTCGACAGCGAGGAGCCGCTGGACGAGGGTTTTGGCGAGTTGGCGCTGGTCCGGCTTGTCCTCGACACGCGCTTGCCGAAGGCAGCGCGACTATCGTGGAGGGAGGTCTGCGATTTCGGGGGAAGGACGAATGATGATGACTTGGGCGAGGGGGAACGAGATGATGAGGGGGATGCAGACTGACGTGCCCGACGTTTGGAGGCTCTGGGCTTGGGGGGGCTGTTCAAGATGGTGACGTCACCCTCCTCTTCCCAGTAATTTGACGTTACGGGAGGCTGCGGCTGTGGCACGTCGTCGAAGCGAAGGTCCATGTCCATGTCCTCGTCGTATCCGTCGCCGACGTAATTGTTGTCACAATACGTATCGGACTCGGAGGGGGCAGGCGCGGGAGGGTGAGAGCGAGCGATGATGCCGGGATGGGAGGGATGGTACCCGGATGGCGAGGAGGAGGAAGCGAAGGGGGGGACAGTAAAGGGCGCCTGAACAGAGGGCGCAGAGGGCGCAGAGCCAAAGGGCGCCTGGCCAGAGGGCACAGAGCCAAAGGGCGCCTGGCCAGAGGGCGCAGAGCCAAAGGGCGCCTGGCCAGAGGGCGCAGAGCCAAAGGGCGCCTGGCCAGAGGGCGCAGAGCCAAAGGGCGCCTGGCCAGAGGGCGCAGAGCCAAAGGGTGCTTGGCCAGATGGCGCAGAGCCAAAGGGCGCCTGGCCAGAGGGCGCAGAGCCAAAGGGCGCTTGGCCAGATGGCGCAGAGCCAAAGGGCGCCTGGCCAGAGGGCGCAGAGCCAAAGGGCGCTTGGCCAGATGGCGCAGAGCCAAAGGGCGCCTGGCCAGAGGGCGCAGAGTTGAAGGGCGCCTGGCCAGAGGGCGCAGAGCCAAAGGACGCCTGGCCAGAGGGCGCAGGGACGAAGGGCGCCTGACCAGAGGTCTGGGCACCTTGGGTGAGAGCGAAGAAGTTAGCAGCGTGATCAGTTCCAGGGCGTGATGAGACGGTCTTGACGGATAGAGCAGGGTTTGTCCCCATGATGGAGAGGAGCTCGTCATACCACGGGAACGTATGTAGTACTTGCGCTGTAATTTTTATTAGTTTAATCTGATTAAATATAAATATAAAAAACATACCGTGCAGATTTTGAGCGACGTCGTTTGGCATGACGCCGGCACCCGTCGAGTTTAATTTGTCGTGACATTCACGAAACCTTTTTTTGAGACTGGAGGGAATGTTAGTACACATGTGAATCGATACGAAAAATCGTACCTCATGATATGATTGTTGGTCGAGTCGCGAAACTTATCCGGCACCTCAGCGTATTGCGCCGCATAGTTAGGATCAGCCTGGAAAACATGGCGGGCGACGACAGAGCAAACCGAGAGTTTATCCTTGCCCGATGGGCGATCACCCTCGGTATGCGATTGTTTCCCGTCCGAAAAGAACAGAACTCGGCAGTCTGCTGGATGGTTGCGGAGGTACTCGATAACCCTCTGGGTGCGAGAGGGGTCCGCCTGCCACTGCACGACGAGCTTGGGTGCCTGGGCAGCATGATCGTTACCTCGAGTACTCCGAGATTTTCCTCGGCCACGGGTGACGGGTCCTTGGTTGTAGTCCATAGATTTGGGCTGCAAACACTTGAGGCGTGCAGAACGACGAGGACGTGGTGGTCGAATGACAGGCATAGTTTTCGAAGTCCGAAACTATGCCGATGTGCCGCATGTCCTATGCGTGTTGTTCCTGCCTGAATTGTCAGTTTCTAACCGAAGTTACCGAGCTTTACCGAGCTTTACCGAAAATTCCCATTTTACTCTGAGTACCATTACTATAGACGTCCAGAAATAAGTCTCACATGAGTCGACGAAAATAAAATATACAATTTCTGGCGGGGTCTGGTGCTCTGGCCGTGACATATTTTTCAAGCAGCTTTTGATGATGATGGCAGGTTTGTTAGAATTGACAAGCACGTGGATTCTATATTCAGTAATGGAATCATGAAATTTAGAGGTACAGAAGGTACTGCCGTCATGGTTCTATGGACGAGGCGAGCATCGTCACAGTATGAATATAGTGCACCAAGCCGAAGCCGAAGCCGCAAGCGCATGTAGACTCTGGAGCCTAGGATCATCCTACTCGTCCCCATCCTGGACACTTGCATCTTCATCTTCTTTGCCTTCTTCCTCGTCCATGACCTTTGCTTCATGTTCTGTAAATTGGTCAGCCTCATGTCTCTGCACACGTCGAGGTCTCCTGTTGGCCTCCACAACAGTGACCTTTATCCAGAGTTGAGCGACGTAGCACGCCACACCGCCAAAGGCAAGCGCAAACCACATCCATCGCATGCGACGGAACCGAAGGTCTGCTTCATCCATTCGGCTCTCCTTGGTTTTGGGAGGGTTGGTCAGGGGTCGTGGTATTAACGACAGCAACGACTGTTTTTGTGCAGGAGCAACAAGATACTGCCGCGGTATTTGTGAGACTTCTGTCTGCACATTGCGTGCGTGCTCTGCGAGCATCGGGTATGAGTCTTCTAGAATACATCGCATTAAATGGTCCGGGAATGGCGGATCAAGTAACAGGAGAATATGCGAAGCTAGGTAGACATCAAGAGTCGTGGGCCTAATAATGAGCTCAGACAATACAAAAGGAAAAAAAAAACCGCTAATATCGCTCACCGTTCCCCAAAGAAAAACTTCTGTCCATTCAGTAACTTCGCATAAAGAGCAAACGATGCCTTCGCTAGCGCAGATACCTGCAATGTAGTAAACGTCGGGTCTATCTAAGCAAATAAAGAGTATCTCACTTTGTCCCGTTCAAAAGCGCGCGCATAGTTGTCTTTAGGGTCGTCTTTCTTTTGTCGTTTCCCGAATGAGTCCTTCTCTGATTCAGAGGCTGTTTGTGTCCACAAACCTGCAGCCTCTAAGCGTGGTCGATGCATTTCACGTATACGGCCAGGTACATAGTAGCGCTGCGGAATGGGAAGCATAGATGCCATGATGGGATTTGTAAGTTTCCAGAAGTTGTCGTCCACAGAATAGAATGAATATGCCTATGGGAATATCAACCATTGAACAGCCTACAAATATTATGTATGTACTCACCACGAGGTCCCCAATATTCGCCTCAACATGCGAGCACCAAGCAGTTCGCTTTGCTCTTTGTAGGGCACTTAGAGACGCGTCGAGATCCCTTGCACCTGATGAAGTAGACTTTGCCAGCGAAGAAACGAAGGAAATGATGGCTGGGATAGATGACACTGTGGCATGGCCATGTGTGAGAAAGGGAAGCTTTCCTGCGGAATAATGCTATAAGATGCAAGCCCATGCGACGAGATATATAAACGTACCACTAGGGGACACGTCGGGGTTAGTACATTCTACAACTTCAAATTTCCCTGGAATAGTCAGTTGCAGGTAGAAAATCGCTGCAATACATGTGGGGTCAATAGATGGTAAATTCCATCTAGAAGGCCAAATGTGCAGCGTGCATATCTCTGAAGTTGGCTGTGTAGCTGCTGTAGACATCATATTTCCGAGAAAGCAGAAGAGATACTGTTTGATTGAACGCCGTTATTTGGCGACGGCTTTAGAATTCAACATGTACAAATACAAATACTCTCGCTTTGCCATTGTCTGTCATTGCGCCATAGCCCTTGCTGTGAACACAGGTCGTTGCAGTAACCCTTCCTCTGTCGTTCAGTAATTCACAATGAAACGCCCTCCGTACCATATTTCCACGAGGCTGTAGTAAGTGATGATATTCTAGATTCATGGTCAACTATTTTACAATTTTTGGACAGACACCCTAATGATCATATTCTTCAAGAGATGGTTCTACAGATACCAGACAGCGCGTCGAAACAAACAACAGAACAAAATAATGTGCTCTCTCTAAATTATATCTTCCTGGCCCTCATCGCCCGGCTCCGTTGAATTTCCTACCGTGCTGTCCGACTCTTGAGACGCACTGGATGGGCCTTGCGTAAACCTACTTGGATCGAGTTGAGGATTAACTTGAAAGTCGAGTAGCATTTCCCCTGCAAATTTGTTGGGCCGAACTCGGCCCCCGACGCTCACGGTCCTGGCACTGAGTGCAGGCCTCATTCGACCTTGTTCTGGATATAAGGTATTCTTTGGTTCTGCATTCTACATGATAAACGAATACGTGAATTGGATGGTATGACGAAACAGCTATACTCACGAGTCGCTCATACGGTTCAGCTTTTTTCGAGTTGGAAGCACTTGGGCTTGGGGTAATCGGCGCGTTCACCGAATGTGCAACAGGTGCGCTGGCGACCCGTCGCTTCGCAGGATGATTTTTTGGCACATGCAGCTCAGTGGGCATTATTCCTTGCGCCATCAGCCACTCTAAAATTGTTGCTATTAGGATGAAACTTCACAAGGGATTCAAAACTCACCGGGAGACCTGTACCGGAACAGAAAGGTAACGTGTGACCTGTTACTGCCCTGGTCGGACGCCTTCACCTTCCACGTTATGGGTGACTGCTTGTACGTGTTCATCTCCTGGCCGTACCTTTGAAAATCGTCAGACACGGAAACACCAACAGACCCTGCTTATGCGCACCCAATACAATGATCGCCTAGGTGACTTTGCGAGTTCAAATCTGGGATATTCTGCAGTGGATTTGCTGCCTTCGACCCATCCAGTGTGACAAGTCGAATCTTGAGCATGATAGAGCCAGCGTCCTTCATGCTTTGCTCACTTGCACCTGTTAAACATGAGCCTTCATGCCAATGTACCCATTGTTTGTCATGACTCACCCGAGCTTGACCTCTGTGCAAACATGAAGGGCCTTTCTGTATGCGGACCTGACCTTACGCCATTCCTCCAAGTCTCCCCTTCGCCGAACAAGAACCGACCAGGAACTACGAATCCGTCAAGTGTAATAAATGCGCATGAATGCATTTTTGTCCCTTCATCTCTCCAGTATACTGTAAAAGTCTGGTGGCATCGGTGAGGCACGTCGTGATTAAATGAACGAATCGAGTTACCTTTCCCGCCTCACTCGGGATCCAACACGAGATTGTCTTTGGGTTTTCGCCAACAACAGCAGCAAGATACTCGGGGATCGGTTTGCCCTCAGAGATTATACATGCGGAGAATCCACGATGCGTAAGCATGTTGGATGATGTTGACTGTGCTCGAGGACAGGGATGATGAGTTAATTAAGGACTGTAATAAGCACCAGAGATACCCCGTCGTGTTGAGAGCCTCAAAGTAGAGGTGGACTGTTTATAACTAGATTGGCACTGGTAGCTTTGGCTTAGCTTACACACAAACTAAGCTACAGAAATAAAGCTGTTGCCTTGTCCAAAGCGCGAAAGTTCAAGTCGCAGAAGGCCTAAGCAAGGTTGGTTTTTAAATTAAGCACCTGTGGCAAATGCGCACCCACAAGTATGCTCGATTAGGAAATAACACTTAGTCGGGTCCATGGTATTTTTAACACTTAGCCTCCACAGTCCACAACTTTGTGCATTGTCCACAATTGGCCTACGACTAGCTCTACTACCATCTCGCCAACTACACGTGTCTTTCTTGACCCGCCAACTAATGCCACCCAAAAATAAAACTGCAGTAAAGCGTAAAGCGGCATCCGAGTCACAATCGGATGATGAAGCCACACAGTCTGCTTCAAAAAAAGCCAAAGTATCGAAAGACTTGCCAGGGTCTGCCGTTGCCAGCAATGGCCAGCCTACTAATAAAGTACTGCCTGTCAACATCAGTTTTCCTCCCCGGATATCAGGCACTGTTCGCTTGTCAACGTGGAATATATGTTCGCTTGCATCGGCTTCCAAGAAGGTGAGCGCGATGAATTCATATTGTACTGACTTTCCAATCATCTCGGTGTTGTATTTCATTAGGGATTCAAATTCTATGTCGAGGCGGAGGATCCAGACGTTCTCGTGCTAACAGAGACCAAGGTACATACCATATGCATGTTCTAGTCCCAGTCTTGCTAATACTCTCATATGAGGTGAACGAAGTTCCTGTAGACCCTTTTCTGACGTCGCGATTCCCTCATTGTACCTGGGCTATATCTTCCAAGAAGACTTACTGTAAATGACCTTCATTAGCTCCTTGCTTCTCTAATTTCGACCCGACGCAGCAGGAACAGCTGTGCTTTGCAAGCATAAGCCTCTATCTGTAGACACAAAACTTCCGGGACATCCAGACCCAAATAGCGTCAAGGGTCGTATCGTTACGGTGGAATTTTCTGGTTGTTATATTGTAGCTACATATGTGACGAACGCTGGTCAGGGGCTCAAGGTCAGATCATCAGATATATGGTGTGCACGCTCATTCACCTATCCCAGACGCTGAAGGAGAAGAACACATGGAATGAGCACTTCACCACGTACATCCGGGATTTAGACAAGAAGAAACCCGTCATATGGATGGGTGACCTCAACGTCGCGCCAACCGCAATAGGTGCACGATTCACACCGTCTGCAGTTTTGGTCCAGTGTATCTTACATTTTTATATTCAGACTTGGCAAATGCAAAGTCAAATTGGAATAAGACACCTGGATACACAAAAGATGAAACGGAAGCGTTCCAAAATATTCTCAATCCGCCTGAATCTACTGCTGGAGTTGGCAAATTTGTTGATGTCTGGAGGCAGAATCATCCAGAAGACAAACACTACACATATTTCTCGTACCGTTTTAATTGTCGGACTAAAGGCCTTGGTTGGAGATTGGATATGTGTAAGTTGTTAATTTCTGCTAGCTGGCTTATCCTAAATCAGCATCCATCCGCGTAGTTGTGGTGAGCGAGCGACTACTGGAAAAGGTCAAGATGTGCGAGATTAGAAGCGAGATCTACGGCGCATCAGACCATGTGCCAGTGGTGATGGAAATAGAGAGCGATATCATTACGGGAAGCTAAATTCTGTAGCACTCGCCATATGCGAATATCCATTATGTTGCGCACGTCACGGTTTCCTAGTGAAATACATAAAACATGAGGGTGATGATATAGACAAGTCAGGAATCCGGATATCATTCATATTCTCCGAATCGTACATGCCCTGTCTCCTGAGCGTGCATTCTTGCATCCTTCTCACCCTTCAATCCCTTACCACAGTCCTGTGCGGATCATCAATCATTCGTTGTGCAGATCATTCGATGAAATTGCCTGCTTACTTCACATTTGATATCAAATGTTGCAGTGTTAGTATACGCTTTCTTTTCCCGTAGGATAGTAGCTAATTCTTTAGCGGCAGACAAAATTGGATCGTCGTCATCTGTGGAAATCTAATATCAAGAGTAAATAACCCTAGAATGGCATACACGATACTGAAGCGCTCACGATTGGAAAGACAGTTTGATGCCATTCAGGCGGAGCATCAGCCATAGGCGCCAATGACGCGGCATCATAATGAATGCCGGAATATATCACAATGCAACTGCGCACCAACGCGTTAAAAGTGCGTCTAAACGAAGGTCACACAAGGTACCTACCGGTTGCCTGTGCTCGCCTCTAATGGAGGCTCAAAACGATCAAACCTTCCGGTTTCGACATCAATAGATGCAATCTCCGTGCCATAATGCTTGGCGAGGATTCCAAGTTCAATTGCACCTCCCCATGTCGCAGGCTTCAGAATGGTGGCGATGTATGCATCTCGGCTCATGCTGCAAATTCCAGTTAGCTCGGCATCATACTGTGGTATGCGGTGATGTCATTTACCCAAGAATAGCTTCATTGTAGGTTTCCATGTCTGCTCGAATGCCATCTGCAACGACTTATGTGGGGATCGCCAATAAATCCATCTGATAGATTCTGAATCAATGTGATGGCTGACCTTGTCGTATCTGTTGCGCCTTGCGAGCATCTTGCTCAAAAATGAGGGCGATCGACGAAAAAAGACACGAGTTATCGTCTGGCACGATCTATGGCATGTGACAGATAACCGATCAATGTGAGAACGCATTAACTTACCCTGTGCACTAACGCGCCGTTTGGTGTCTCAACACAGTCTGGACCGCTGCTCCTCGGTGCGAGCCTGCTTGAATTCGGTTGTGACAAAGAGGTTTGAGGTGGCTGGGAAGACGCCGGCTTGGCCTTAGGTGGGGAAGGCGGGGCGCGCACCGAGCTTGATATGTTCTGGTTCACAATGACCTGATCACCGGGCTTTAATCCCAGACTCGAAAGCGGAAGCTCCGGGACAATTGTGAGCGATCGCGGTGGGTACCCCGACTTGACTAACATGCATCAAAATCACCGTTTAAATGAGCTTGTTGAAGGCGCTTGCAGGGTACATACGTTCTTGCTGTGATGGTGGGATTTCGGACACTCCAAATATTTCCTGCTGAAGGTCTTGAACTAAAGCACTATCGAGGTCAACCTGCAACGTCGTGATGCCCTTGGGATGTCGCAAACGAATGGGTGCCATTGATTGTAAATGTACAAGATGATGTTAGAGTTCGACTTCGTACTTCTCATAAGCCATCAAGTTAAGGAACCGATTGTATGCTAATATTATGTAAGATACCACGGCCCTCCGGGCAACCCAGGACCTTCCATCATCTTTCACGTGACTTCTTTCCTATTTTGCTCACCAGACCGCCGTGACTCGCTCTGATCCAAGCGATCCTTTAAGCTTTACGATTTGAGGCCGTGACGACTCAGCCGGCACGGATAGTATTATTGGCATCTGCCACACTGTTCCTTTGCCACGGATTGTTTTCGAGAAGAAAGTGAATGAGCTGATGGACTACACTTTTAGTGACCAATACAGGTCGCATAGATTTGACAGTGTCCCTAGTGGGCACCTGCTAAGACTTGCTTGTGACCGGCGAAAATTACACACATAGTATCAAGTAATTCATCGGGACTGGGTGGCAATAAGGTTCGTAATTCAGTGGAGTCCTGTGCGCGGATCGCAATATTTCCTTTGTTATATCGTTGAGAAGCGTCCTCAGCGGTCCAATACTGCCCACCCGTCGTTTTGTACGCATAATGATGAATAATTTGAGACGCTCGCGCGCGCGACACTAACATCAGATCATAGACCGATGCCTGCGAAAAAGTCGAGCGAATGTCCACCGGAAGTCTTTCATGGCCATAATATTGAAAATTTGCCAAGGCATTGACAGGTTGACGCGGTTGCTTCGCAATCAATGAAGCGCGACAAGGACGACATAAATACAGACCTGCCTCACGCCATGGATCCTGCAAGCCCTTGTGATATAGTATCGCACGTTGATACACCTCCAGAGCATAAGAATTAGGTAAAGTGTGCTCGGGCAGACAGTCGTTCCGAAGCAAGTTCAAAGGCACATCATCGAACTTGACGAGCGCCAAATTATGGACCGGCACATTATGTGCGCAACATGCACAGGCGCTATGTCGCAAAGAGTCTGCGGACATGTGTTGTTGCCACTCAATTATTATCTTTTTCTTATCATCAAAGGAGAGCAAAACGGGAAACGGATGTTCGTCGTCGCGACCTTCTGACACCACTCCAGGCATACGATGAGGCTGTCTCGTGTGAGGCGTGAACTTGTAATGCAAACCAGGAGACTTCTTGAAAAAGGGATCAGGCATCGTTTGATGAGCAAAATAACGATGTGGATTATTCAAAAGCGAAAACACAATAAGTATGTTGACGCACTCGGCAGTACAAACATGGACACGCAGCATGTCACGAATATATTCCTTACGATACGATGTTCGCACAGCGATAGAGTGCGCATTAGCCACAGCCATATAATTCTCGCGAGTCATATGAGGAAAATTCTCCACGACATGCCGAAGAGTAGGAGCAGTTACAGGCAACACGCGGCCAACAGGAAACTGATCCCGAACAGCACAACGCACTCGAGAGACCTCATAAAACCCGAAAAACTTGCGTAAAACGCAGGAGGATATGACTGAAGATCCGTCATCAGGAAGCTCTTGATCCGAGATGACCAACGAAACAGGACGCGCCAACATATTCGCAAGCGAAGGCGCACCAAATGAAGATGAGGCTGAAGCCATGATAAAAAGTGGCAGGAACAGGGGTCCAAAAGCGACGCGACGAGAATAAAATAAAATAATAAGATGACTAAGGATACACTTTTCAGGATTTGGAAATCCGGACCGTCAAACACGGTAAGATCGATATAAAGTTGCCAGTGCATAAAAATCGCTAAACCAGGACCCGAGGTCCTGGAATGTCCTCTTACGCTGCCTCTGCCGTCCGCCTTGGAGCGGCCTCAACCTGAACTGGTGCGCCTTCTGGGACATGAACTTCAATGCCCTGAAGCTTCTCCACAACCGCCTGTTCAGCTGCTGCCGCACTCTCCTTCTCTGCCTCTTCCACCAACGCATTTAGTTCAGCTTCTAGCTCTGTATCATCTATGCCCGCGTCTACTGCAGCCATGTCTTCGCCCATTCTGATAGCATTATCTATCTCACGTGCATCAGCAGTCGATGCCGCAAGCGCATCCATTGTCTCTTCAATCTTGTTGCGTTGAAGAGAGGGGTGGCTTAGGATTGCTTTTAATGTTGCCGTCGAACTCTCGTACGTCTTCATAATCTGAAGAGGTTACTGGTGAGTAACACGAAATTTACAGAAGAGGAGGGGTAACTCACTTCCACATCACCGGCAGCCGTCTCTACACTGATCAATGTTGATTCTAGATTATGAAGAGATCCAAGACGCTTTGAAAGCAGGTCATCCAGATGTTTCTTAAACCGCAACTCTGCTAGTGCAATTGACTTGCGCTGCTGACGTAGGGCGTTTGAGATATTTGAAGTGGTCCTAGATGTATACATGCGTTACTCAACGACGTGCTGTGGAAAAACGCGCTCCTTACTGATCAATTTTATTCTGGATGCTATCAACCTGTTCACGGAGATTTCTCACTGCTGTCTTGAGCTGTAGAATTCCTCGATCCACAGCAGTGATTTCCCGATCATCACTCGCTGTCACAAATTTAATGACCTTGAAGTGATGTCAGTCAGCGAGTCAGAATATGCGACTGAAACACCTACATCGTCAATCTGTACAACCACACGTCTTTCTCGTTCGAGAAATTTGATCAGGACTTTGATATCTATCTCGCTCAGCACAACTCCGGGTAATATCTTGGCCCCAAATTCTCTGCGAAAATCTTCGAAAGTGTACAGGTTGTCAGCTGGGCTGAGTCCGACGCCATCTCGCATGGTTTCAAGGGTATCTGCGGCCTGTACGACAAGCCCAAGCATGACGTAGTCCCCTTCTATCTTCTTCCACATCTCAGCTTCTGTATAAGAGTCTTCTGAGCGGACTATGTCAAGCTGCTGCATCGCCCACCATAGTGGTTTTCCGACCACGAAGGAAGCAATTCGGTATGGGAGCCAGCCTGGGTCGTACACAGACAGCTGTGAAGTAAGAAATTGGGAGAGTGGTATTATATCATTATTTCGTCGCATCTCGGCCTTTACTAGTGCGGTGTGGTGAGTCGAATACCAAAAAGTGTAAGAGCTGCCCGATGACGCACTATTGTGGTTCCGAGACCGAGAGGCTTGCCAACACCTTCATAGCGCAACTTATCCACAAGAGCTCGTCGTGCTCCTAGGATAAGTTTGTTGCTTGTTCCGTCAGACCCGTCGCTTCCCTGCCAACCTCGCGAAGTGACATCCTTGAGCGTCCCATGCCACCAGTCAACATAAGTATGGAAAGAAGAAGGGTTGGAATATTTTTGTCTGTGAATATCGGAATATAGCGACTGTAGACGAGATTTTGATGTTGATGAATAGGTTGGCAGCGCAGACAGAGCTGGGGATGACATAGTTGTTGGCAACACCATAAACGCAAGACGCTTTATAAAGAAATAACAAAAGCCACTGCCCACAATGCCTCAAAGTCACGTGATTCAGCACTATTCACATTTCAAAAATTCTACTACAAGTGAGATCCAGCTGGGCTTCTATGACGACACGATGCATTGAATTATGGAAAAATTTATTGTTCCACCACAATGATCACCGACTTACTCGGAAGGCCAGTTTCCAGGCTGAAATGCATGATGAGCAGAAGAACGTGAGTCATTGTCACTCTAAACTTACAAAGTATCTTTTGTGGAGTTTTCCTCCAGTAGTGTCTATAAGCGCGATCTCCTCAACTGTAAGCTCCGGTACATTCTGTGTGTCAAGGTATTCCCTGATACGTTCGGCTTTCGACGAGGTTCTGTGATGGCTCAAGTATTAGAAAACAGTCACATCGGTGTGCAGATTGAATCTCACGTCACCACAAGAACACCTTTCTGTTGAAGCCATTTGTTCAACACCTGACCATCAGACACAGGGGCGCCACGAGTTTTCTCCAAACGAGTGCGGATTTGCTCAATCACAGGATCTAGTGGACCACCTTTTCCCCGGAAAATAGGTGATAAACCACCATATGATGAAGTAACGATTTTGTATTGGTCGTGGATGGCAAGATTCGGCTGCAATGCTTGCCATACATATGGATGAGCCTCCACCTATTGGTGGTTTAATGAGGCCTATCACACTGACAGGCTCATAAAACTAACCTGGTTGACCGCGGGGGGTATTGTAGCGATTTCCAATATAGTCTTCAGGTGGTCAGCAGTGAAGTTAGAAACTCCGATGGACTTGGTTAAGCCCGCCTTCTGAGCCTCTTCCATCCCTTTCCAGACCTCCTTCAGCTTCCCGACATGGTTGTTGGCTTGGTGTACAAGGTATAAATCGACGTAATCCACTTTGAGTTGCCTCAAGGACTCCTGGAGTGCGCTCTTGGGAGTTGCACCAGGTTGCAATTGTCCGAGCTTCGTCGTTATGAAGAGCTCGGACCTGGACTTGCCAGAAGCTACTATCCCGTTCCCCAATGTGTTCTCGTTGCCATAGACTTGCGCACCATCGAGGTGCGTAAAGCCATTGTCGAGAGCAAGGCGGATGGCATCCTCAGCGTCCTTGCGAAAGAGGGCAGTACCAGTGCCAAAAGCTATCCAGGGAACCTGGTTTCCGTCATTCAGAGGGAGTGTAGATACGGTCATTATGGATGATTTGCCTGCAAAGTGGTTTGAACGGAATCCGGTTATTGTGTGATGCTTTATATTCGGTTTCTCGAACCACTTCAGTACTAATGAAGCGGGTCTCCGTAACATGACCTGCTAGATGAGGTGCGATAACGCAATTGATATAGGCGTATATATTCTTAGCGCGGCCCGTCGAGCACATCCATGGATCTCATAGACAAGAATGACCTGCGTATCGACAGACCAGCCCTAAAGAAAAACGTGTGTATTTAATCAGCTCATTTTCGCTCGGATGTCTTTTTAACAACTTCCAGGTGCTTGTATACCACATGCTCGATTGTCTGTACTACTGGCAATCTTTCATCTCGTAGCACCTCAGATGAGTACGGTCCACCCTTTGGCCGGCCGTCCTAACTTTCTTGGACGCTTCGGTCACCAGGTGTACCAACAGTTGATATTTTTTACTCTCCAATCTAATATTATCAATATTATTGTGGTGTCATTATTCAGGACCTGGGACTAAATTTATTGCATACCATTTTTTGCTAGTGACTCCGAATCAACATGCCTGGGTGACCCGCCAGGTGATTTGGCAGTGCACAAATTTGCAAGGGCTGGACTCGAGATTTGGGCATCATCGTTGTTGGAAGACTACGGAAAGTCATTCAGTCCCAAAATAGAGCTAGCCCCACGGTGAATAGACCCGATGGCACCAGGCCCAGCCATCACATGCACATGTCACTTCTAATTAAGATGACGATGCACATGTGGTTGAGATACCCTGACAGAACACACCAATCGACTCATGCTGCGTTCTGCGTAAAGTCATCATCTTCAGCTGTAGACAATGACTAACAGCAGCAATTATGATCCATTGCTGACGTGACAGAAGGAAGCCATAAGTGCCTGGTATTAGAAATCTAGATAGATCCTTGGCAAGATGCCTTCATGGCAAAGAACGAAGAATCTAAACATCGAGCGCTTCCGCTCGCCTCCATGCATGATCGTTTGAGTACACGATATTTTCGTTTTCATGTTACAATGGTCCTACTAGACAATAGATTTAAAGTTCCAATGGATAATTGAGAGCCCAATACCGATGTTCAAGTGAATGTACAATAATTAGTGCTGATTCAAGAAATGACAGACGAACACACAGTTACATGGATATATTGGTGCAATGTCATCAAAGTATGAGGGGGAATCATATCCAATGGTTGTTCATCTTCAGGCTCGCATTTAGATCTCCGGAGTACCGCTGTACTGCCCTGGGCGTGACTGTTGGGAAAACACATGCGACGGTATCGATGGGTTTTGGTATATGTTGCTAGATGCGGTAGTCAGAAGGGTGGGGGAGGGAGGCGAACCTGGGAAAGTGGACGGGTCAGATGGGTCCTGCGCAAGGAGATGAAATGAGTGTCGATGCATTATAAAATCATGAGAAACATACGTAGAGACGTTGTTGCGTCATTTGAGGTTGCGTTGGGAATGAATGAGTGTTGGGGGAGTAAACACTTTGAGTGTATCCCGCACCCCCGCCAATGTCGCTGAAAGCGGCCGACGGCGCTGTGGCAGAGCGACGGCGTTTGACAATGAACCAGGTCGCAAGACCTATGATGGCTGCAATTCCTACGACTCCACCAACAACACCCCCAGCTATAGCTCCAGCGTTTGAACTTGTCGATTTAGTCGATGATGATGATGTGGTCGAAGATCCTGTGGCCGCGCCCGAAGAACCGGTCAAAGAAGCAGACGCGCTGCTCGAATAAGGAACTGTAGCAGTAGATTGCACTTTTGTTGCGGTAGATTCCGGGGAATCTATAAGAAAGCGTGTGAAAGTCATTCAACGACAGAAAAGTTATGCTCGAATGCTAACCTCCGTCTACTTGCGCTGCGGTAAGGCTGAATCCCGCAGCGGTCACCTGCAAAAAGTTAAATCATGGTAATTGGGATGACTAGCCATGCACTAACGTCCAGATATGCCCAATTTGGAACCGCGGTGCCAGACGGTATGTCATCTGGAAATCTGTTGATCAGATGAATTAGAAAGCTTGGAGAATAAAATAGGCTTGCGGACTGACTGTTGGATGGATACCGAGGAGCAATTGTAGCTCCAAGAAGACCAGCTACAAGGCAATAAGCGCTCTGTGAAGTCGAGCATACTTGACTTTGACTTGACTCACGTCAAATACGTGGCGTTCTGGCAAGCACCGCAAGCGCTAACCAGCGAGTAGGTCACCGTACTACATTCGCAAGGGCTGGCTTCAGCCACCGTGGGAGCTGCATAATGGGAGTCGGGAGGTAAAGCACTGATCGAAAAATCTGCGCCAGAACTAGTTAGCAAGTTTGAAGCACACTAAGAAATGAAAACTGCGCACCTCCACCATTGCAGACGCTCTCGAGGTAGGAAGCGACCACGCAAGGGTTCTGTTGGAGGCTATTGTTCATCTACAGATAACCCAATCATGCATCAGAATATGCCCTAAAGCTATAAAAAAAGAGCATTACCCAACCATAAGAGGACAGGCATATCACATTGGACGTCTGGGCAAATGCACCTCTGGGTACAAGCACTACTGCTGCCAGGACCACTATCAACGACCATGGCTTGAAGAGCGGCGACATAATAGATAGAAGGAAGAAGGTGGGGAAGACAGAACGAGGCAGAAGCCTTCAAGTTACAAATAGTATTAGTTAGGCGCTTTTGTTCCTTATGGCAGTTCGACGTGATGTCGGCTAATGAACACAGCTTTGAAAACGAGGGCCACAGGGTTTTCGATAAGTGCAGATTTAAACGCATTTCGTCGATATGGAGTCAGGAACTTAAAGGCTCACATGGCCACTGATAATATCCGCTTCCTGTCCATGGCAACTCGTCTTTCAGCAGCATAAAGTTGGTTTGAGCGCCGCTTGGAGTCGGATCCAGATGGGCCACAATCATCTGCAAGCGAACACAGCCCGTCGGGTGTGACTATATCAGGGTCAGACCTAGACCCGTTCCTGTTCATCGAGTGGCAATTTTATACCTCTTTTGCAACTGAGAACTGCAGGACACATCATGTCGATCTGTTGTCACTACCATCCATCATGGCTTTTGCATGAGCGTGAGCCGTCAACTTGAAGTGTCTTTATCGACAATGGCCTTTGGCTCATTCTCTGTACGCATCTGTCGGTGCAGCTATGGCACCTCTTGGCACAATTTAATTATCTTGGCAACTCCGACATCACAGGAGGAGTAGTCACCATCGTCTTCATAGAGCTCGTTCTGGTGTCGTGCAACATTGCATCATCTCCGAGACCTAACATGGATCATTCATGGTCGTCCCCTCATCTATCGTCGCTGTCAGCCTATGTATAGACAGGACACCGGCGGCGGGTATGACTTAGCCCAGCGTCGTCGCGGACTTCCGAGTCTGTATTCATGACAATATTCTGCCTTTCTCTACTTCTTTGGGTCGGGCCGCTCTTGCAATATCTGAGGAAGAATTTCGCTATGACAGTGAGAGTTCGATTGTTCAACAACAACATCTATCGCCACTGTCAGCCTATGTATAGACAGGACAACCGGCGACGGGTATGACTCAATCCAGCGTCGTCGCGGACTTCTGTATTCATGACGATATTCTGCTTTTCTCTACTTCTTTGGGTCGGGCTGCTCTTGCAATATTTGAGGAAGAATCTCGCTATGACGTGGGAGTTCGATTGTATCATCAATGGTCATGTGTTATACACAAGTGTCATGGGTCCTATGGAATATGGGTTCCTGTTTCTAATCAGTATCCTACTGGGAAGTTGTCCAGTATCAACCTAGTAGTTGGTCGACATATGCTGAAGTATCTCGTGCACATTTCGTATCGGTGGATCGGTGCAACTACATTCGCGGCTTGTTACGAGTACGTACTTGCAAGTACTTACTGTCTCCGCGCCGTGATTTTCTGATGCAATCTTATCACCTTTTCCAAGGTTTACCGTACTCATCCCGATGTGCTCGAGCTCGCGCTAGCGAGTCATCGTGGGTCGCAAAGGAAGTGCCACATGCTCAGCATTCAGCATTGCAAACTTTATACTAAATAAGCTCGATCCATGGGTCATTGCGACGCGCCACGAAGTGGGTCTTTGTAGCCAGTTAAAGGCTGAGCTCAGCGCTAACTACGGTACAGACACTTTGCCGAAAGCAGCCATGCTTGCCACGGCAAACCTTGGAGCAAGTTGCAGGCGAGCACCAAATCATCTATTAGGCCGCCGTCCTAAGAACTTTTGCGTGATGATTGAGTAGTATCCCATCAAGTCTGAAAAGTAACATTACAAGTTTCCGTTTATCAAAAAGTAAGTGACATAAAGCGACATAAACTAACATAAGTCCAAACTCTAGAGTTCTGGAGCGTACTGTCCAAGACGCGACTGTTGGGGAGAGATGGGTGAGGGCATCAATGGATTTTTGCTTATACTGCTAGATGAAGTAACTGGGTCGGCGAAGGAGTGAGGACGACCTGGGAAAGTGGCCGGGTCAGAGGGGTCCTGTGCGAGGGGATGAGACAGGTTGGATGTATTGTAAAATTATGAGAAACATACGTAGAGACGTGGTCGCTGTGCCATTGGAGATGCATTAGCGCTAGTAAAAACTTCGAGTGTGGCCCGGACCTCTGCCTGTGTCACTGAAAGCGGCTGATGGCGTTGTGAAGGAGCGACGGCGTCTGACAAAGAACCAAATGACTAGGCCTACGATGGCTGCACCCAAAATTGCACCAACAACACCTCCGGCTATAGCTCCAACATTTGGACTTGTCGGACTAGATGTTGATGTGAGAGAAAGTCCTGTAGATGTGGTCGAAGAACTGGTCAAAGAAGCAGAGAACGTGGTCGAATAAGTGACTGTGATAGTAGATTGTGCATTGATTGCAGTAGATTCCGGGAGGTCTAGAAGATCGTAAGTGAAAAGGTTTCTTGGGAAAAGTTATGCCTAAATCCTAACCTCCGTTATTTTGTGCTGCGACAGGGTCGAATCCACCGGTCACTTTCAGCGAAAATTAGATTAAAACAATTGGGACAGATAATCGTGCACCAACATTCAGATACGCCCAATTCGGAACCTTGGTACCAGTGGGAATGTCCATCGGATATCTGCCAATCAAGTGTATTAGAAAAGCTTGCAGAATATCAACAACCTTGCGCACTGACTGTCTGATGGACATCTGAGCGCAATTGGTGCTCCAGGTAGACCAGCTAATAGGAAATAGGGGTCTCGTGGGGTCGATTATACTCGATAAGACTTGAATATGACTCACGATACATATATGGCATTCTGACAATCGCTGCAAGCGGCCATCATCGAGTAGGCTACTGTATTACATGTGCAAGAGTCTGCTCCAGCGGCCGAGGGAGGTCCGTAATAGGTATTGGGAGGTAAAGGATCAACTGTGAAAGCTGCGCAAGACCAGTTATACAAGGCTAAGGCATACCAAAACATACCAAAAAAGGCGTACCTCCACAGACACTCTCAAGGTAGGAAACAACGACGCAAGGGTCCTGCCCGAGGGTGTTGTTCATCTACATGCCATGAATCAGAATCTATATCTTGAAACCTAAAACATGAATAAAAAGATATTATTACCCAACCAAAGGAGGGCAGGCATGTCACAGTGGATGTCTGCGCAAAGGCACCTCTGGGTATAGGCGCTGCTGCTTCCAGGACCACCATTGACGACCTTAGCTTGGCTCGGTGTGGTAGCATGATGGATGAAAGAAAGAAGGATGGGCAGTGAAAAGAACAAGGATGGGGAGCCAAAGCCTTCAAATTATGGCACATTGCTAGCAGTTCGATGCAATGCCGGCAACTGTCCGCCTGAATTGTCACGCGTCAAGCTTGATCAGCGTTTTCGATAGTTCCCTTCATTCCAGCGAGTAGATTAAAAAAAGGCCCACCGCTGTTAATGACCATTTCCTGTACATGACAGACTCGTTTGCGAGCAGGATAGGACAGTCAATTTTCCAGTCCGAACTGGCTGACGGCCCATGCGTGGGATTTGTGCCGTTCTCCGCGAGATTTTGGTTAGAATGTTGTTCTCGTTTGCAAGTCGCAACTTTAGGAGCCAGACACACGATAAGCCTGTCCTAAATGGGACCCCTAGAGCTTCTCCACTTCTCCTTTCGTCGTATGTCTTGTACTGTATACCAACCATCTTACATAACTGGCTCGTAGTTGCGCCGTTATCTTGCCGTAGGGGCGATTTCAGGAGGCCTCGAGGGATGTTCTCCAATGCATTAGAGCATGGATATTACTTAAGCATTGGAAGAAACGCGTTTGGCGGCGAGGCCGGTCGAATGGGAACGGGACGCGGACGGAAAATTCTGAGGACGGTCGGAGTAGGCATAACGGTCAATGATGTGGCTTCGTTGAGCTGCCAAAGCTTCTTGGATTGCGAGCGTGCTGCGCAACTGTAGAAAGCTCACCTCACTCGGGTCATTAATTTTTCACACGAATGATTACTGTGAGAATATATGACTAAGACTATACAGTTGCCAGCCACCACAAGCTTCCACAGTTGTCTCGGCGAAGGCCTCAGCGCCGACAATATCCTCAAAACTCGCCATGGCCCCCTCGACAACGTGAGTCTGCCAAGTTTTTGCACAGTGAACGAGTGTTTACATCTTCACCAGGGTCCCAACAGTCTCGGTTCGTTCGTGTATCCGCAATCTATGTGGAATTTATTAACTTCTGCCACAGGACATCGAAGTTCCGGAGACTCTTCTTAAAAAGCGCAAGCAGAACGAAAAGGCACGGGAGGAGCGCCTTGCTGCAGCCACTGCCGCACGTAAGGTTCGTAGCAACCTCTTAATTAGGGCCTTGCTCTATGTATGATGCATACGATTATTTCGAACGAATGGCTAGTGGGATTCGTTCTGCAGTGCCGCCTTCAAATTAACCATCTTTCGGGACTGATCTTTTACCTTCAAATTGCTCTATTTCCGATCGCATACTAAATTTTGTCTTAGGCATCAAAGGCAAAGCGCAAGGTGATTTTCAAACGGGCGGAGAGCTATGTCAAGGAGTATCTGTCAAAGGAGAAGGAGGAGATCCGATTGAAGCGTGCTGCCCGAACATCTGGTGACTTCTACGTCCCTGCGGAAGCCAAGGTCTACTTTGTCGTCCGTATTCGTGGGTACGTGCAGCTTCCTTCGTGATCATTTATTCTTCTCATATCTGCGTAGTATCAACGAGATTGCACCCAAACCCCGTAAAATCCTACAGCTCCTCCGCCTCCTCCAAATCAACAACGGTGTTTTCGTAAAGGTCACCAAAGCTACCCAGCAAATGCTCCGACTGGTTGAGCCCTACATTACATACGGGTAAGTCGACTACTTATGAATATTCACGGAGATTGACGGATTTCCTTAGCGAGCCAAATATCAAGTCCGTTCGCGAACTCCTTTACAAGCGCGGTTACGGGAAGGTCAACAAACAGCGTATTCCCCTGACAAACAATGCCATTATCGAGGAGTCCCTCGGCAAATATGACATCCTCTCCATAGAAGATCTCGTTCACGAGATCGCTACTGCCGGCCCCAACTTCAAGCAGGTCAGCACGACCATGTGATAAACATTTTCTTCTGCTGACAGATAGGAACAGGCATCCAACTTCCTCTGGCCATTCAAGTTGTCGAACCCTAATGGTGGCTGGAGGACGCGCAAATTCAAGCACTTCGTGCAAGGTGGTGATTTTGGTGACCGAGAGGCCAACATCAACAAGCTCATCCGCCAAATGAACTGAGTGTTTTTTTTATTGTGGTCCGACGGTGGGGTAGTGGCGAGATGAAGTAGTCGCAAGGTATGCTTGGCATGAAATTCATCATGTTCCTCTATTTTTGCCATGTATGCACTATGAAAACGCGTATGGATTTCTTCCGACACTTCAGCATTCAAATATCAATTGGCATGTTAAGACGTGTATTATTCTACGTTGCTGTAATGCAGGTCGGCTTAGTGGAATTCGCACCTACATAGAATTACCACGGTTCCATTCCCAACCCATGAGGATGCCAGTTGGACAAGATGACACAGTAGCGCCCTCTATTCTGCGATGGCCTTGCCACGAACTGTTCCACAGGACACAAGCGAAACTTCTCATCAAGTAAATAACATCCTTCGTAATTTGAGGTGCGCTGCGGGTGGTGACAAGAGATCGAACGAAGCAACCTCATTCCTTCGTCCAGAGGAGAGCACTTTCGCCACTCACGCAATGCGCAGCATATCCCAGCCAGCCTACCCACGCCATTACATGCCAATAACATCCCAACCCTTCCGATCAGCCTGATCTATCCTTCAGAAGAAGGCAGACGGAATGTAACTGCTCCTTCAGGGCACCATTCTACAAGACCTGTCCGGGTTGCAGGACCTGATCCACCTCGCAGTTGGACAACCTTTTCATCTCCGAAGATCAGGGAAGCAGACTTGGCGGACATAAACTCCCCTGCTTGGCGCGAGCATGCCCTCGACCTAGCGTTCTCCCTTGGTAACGCGTCAGTGCGTCCACCAGATACTAGCGCATCCCTTCGTAGCCTTCGGACCGGCGGGTTCCCTACACTCGCACTATTATCCCTTCATGTCATTCGCATGGAATGCAGCGGATACGAGTTGGCTGAAATCAGGCCCTATATCCCACCTCACCTCCGTCGCGTCTTAATGCGCCATAGCGCAATAAACGGTCCCCTCTCTCAGATCGAGCTGAATGCAATATGCGGAGAAGAAGGGCATGCAGACGGAGAGCTCGTAGTCGTTGGGCCGCATGCTACATTGCGCAGCGACCATTTCCGGCGCATACATTCCTCAAGAGAATCTGTGCCTAAGGAATGTACAGCAGAGGAGTATACGTGGGACTCCCTTGCAACACAGGGGAGCGAGCCTAGTGTGCTCTTCTCCCTTACCCTATTGTCCACACCGGTAACATTTGCATTGAGCAACCTCCCGCCCACAATCACTTGCCTCACACTCATAAATATCCCTAATAAACTAGTGTCCGTTCAACGACTTCCATCGTACTGCCCTCTGGTTTCACTGTTAGACCTGTCTTACAATAGTTGGCTCATTCCAGCATCAGGGGAGAAGCTGCTACAAGATTACCCGTGGACGAAATTGCGCCACTTAAAGGTCTTGGGGTTACGAGGGTGTCGCGTTACATCAACGCTTTTGTCGCAAGTCAATAGAGGTCGATGGGATGACGTGGAGGTCATTCATTGACGATCTACGTATATAATATACATGAATCGAACCACACATGGGGAAATCTGGACTGGAGAGAATAGTACAGATTGCCAATGGGTATGCGAAAGTACAGGAGCCTGAGTGGAACGCAAGTAAAATCATACCCGAGCATCAAGGAATAAGCCCAGATCGAATGGTGGCAAGTACTGCACTCCATGTTAGATCTCGCAGGCAATATATCGCTACAATAAAACTTACCTCAACAGTGCCAGTCAATTTCTTCTCTCCTAAAGTTGGCGCACTCCTGCTAGTAGGCTTTGGTGGGAGGGTAACTCCTGCAGGTCTACTAGAGTTTGTGGGAACTTTGATATGCAGTTCACTCAAAGCTCCCCAGAGAGCAGAATTATATCGCACGGCAACTTCCAAATGAGATACAGACAGTAAATTGCTGTGATCTAAGAGACAGATCTTAGCATACCGCCCTGACATACAAAGTAACAAAGCGCTCACAGAGTATTGCACGGTTTATCTGGTCTGCGACACGTTCTCGTCTCGCCTGGTCAAGATATTTTGACATAGGGCTCATCTCTGGCACCTTATATGCGAGAAGGCCGCCGACGTTCTCCAGCTCCTTCAAATACGTCGCTCGGTCTTCTGGTTTCCGCAATAGTTCTACTAACGCATAGAGCTTCTGCGCACGCAGTATTAACGCTGTCTGATAACGCTCATCAGCCATATGATCAGGGTCACGGGAAATATTCGTCGTGGGTTCTGGTGTTGTGATGGGTGTGGTTTGAAGATGCGGAACATAGAGAAGAGGGATTGTGCGGCAGGCTTCGATGAACGCATGAATACGGAGGTTCAGTGAGAGGAGTGTCGGGTCCAAAACAGTACGGGAGTTGTACTCTATACGGTCAGGGGAAGAATCGACGGAAGACGACGTTTCTGAGGATGGTATGCTTGATGGGGCAAGAACATTGGGGAAGTGCTCGTTGAGGAGGGCAGTAGCCTCATCAATTCGTCCGGAGAGTATTTCTGTTCGTACTTCTGTACAAGAATATTAACATTGGCAGACTCCACCAAATATTCAGTGCACCTTCACGACGCCGTATTTTCCGGAGGCCCTCATCCGTTAGGTCTGCTGAGGTCCCTTGTAACCTTCTGTCGGGCGACGTAATTTCGTCTCCATCCTTATCAAGGTGCCTCACGGCGGTATCCCTAGCGAATGCCTGCGCAGTCTTGGTATAACAATTATGACAGAGATAATCGAGTACAAAAGCACGCTGTAGAGAAGAGCGAAATCAGTCACAGCGAAGTTCTTGGCGGATCGGAACGCACGAGGTGATCAGGTTGCGGTTCTGCGAATTGTTGGTTGCTAACTGGTGGAGACGGAGATGGGAAGCGCAATGGAGGTGCTGGGCTCCGAGTGATGGAAGACATGAAGTAGTTCAAGCGATACTGCTTGTCATAAAATACAAAATTAGGAAGGCACTGCGCCGCTGAAACTAGCAGGCACTGGAATATAACTAATCCACCGACAGTGCTTTCCGATCAATCTCGGGCGGCTTGAAGAGTAACTCTTCACATACGTATATATATGTTCAACGTTCAACTCGTGGGGTCTGTACAATACATATGTTGGTATAATAACTTGAGCCTCGTGTAATTACGGTGTTAAGGGGGACGTGAACCGGAGGTCCGACTCCTGGAGTGCCGTACAGCGCTTGCACTTCTACCACCGTAGTATGAGCCAGAAAGAGCATCCCCTCCCAATAAACAAGCTTGCTCTTCAGCGAGGGAAGCTCTGTGTGCGATTGATGTACCACGGCCTCGCCGACGCGGAGGCTTCCCTCGGTAAATATAGGATTGAGATACAATCGTGATATCGAAGATGAGTGTGCCACCACTTCCCAGTAGGTATCTAGAAGATCATCAATAACAAGATGAAAAGATAAGACGATGAACATACGGGATGCTCTCCTTGAAAAACTTAGTTGATGCAGGTGGAGGCATGTGTGCCTCTGGAGATGTCAATATCGAGCAGACGTAGAAAAAGTTGCCAAGGAAAGCGAAGACAAAGAGATACATTGAGAGTCCATCAACAGACTTTCTGACATACTGGAGAAATCGTTTAGAAGAAAGTATTCCAACGGAAACGAAATGTAAACTCACGTTCTTCCATATCTGAGGAAGCCGAGAAGTCAAATATAATGAGGTACACAGCCAGGCGAAAATTCGGCCAATGATACGTTCCGTTGATGGGGAGTCTTCTGATGATTGAGATCGCGACCCATTCTGGCTAACTGTCAGAGGGAGTTCTACAGTTACAACTCCTAGACCTGATGGCGGATGGTAGGCCGTGTCCTGCGCGGAGGACGTTGTCAATGGATGTGGTATATTAACCTCATCTGCTAGCACCCGTCCGATGCTGTCACTCCTCCCTGCTAAAGATCTGGAGGGAACGTTGGTTAGAGCTCCAACACTAAACAACGCCCCAAATCCAAGCAAGACCATACTTGCACCGCGTCGACTCGCACGCGAACTGGTCCTATGGTCACTCGCCGCACGCGAGCTAGGTTGCTCAACCTCAACCTCTTCCACATCTGTCACACGCTGCTCTGGACGACCCCGGGAAAATGCTGCGAACTCGCGCGGAGGAGCTGTAATTTGCAGTGATTTTGGAACGACCGAAGACGCCTGACTTCGAGCGCTCGGTTGATGATCGTGGCGTTCTTGGCTCCATGAAACGCGTTTCCGCCCAGAGTGGAAACTTTCTGAGAGTGCTGACAAGACCGCATCATCAACCTCATCCTGTGCTTCTTCAACGACTTGGGGTGCTGTGTCATCGAGCGGCTGATCGACAACATGCTTTCGTGAGCGATGTTCAGGATGCGATTCAGGGAATGCGGCTAACGCTGCAGCTGCAGCGACATTCCCTGCGACTGTCGATAATGTGCGATAGTGTGATGCGTCCAATGAGAGTCGGCGAGCAGTGGATATGGTTCGTGATCGTGTGCGTACATATGCCTCGGATAGCGTTGCTGGTCTTCCACTATAGTAGTAGAAGTATTGAGCCAGTAACGAACAATCCACTATGCAAAAGTAGGTCGCAAGGTAAGTCTGGAAGCGAAAGCAATTCACTACTATTCAGACACGGTATCAACATCAGTAGCCCACCTGGAAGGGAAGCTGGTGAGTGAGCAAACAACCGATTAAATTCGAAAAATCGCCTAGAAGGCAACATCAGCGGATGGCGAATTGGTCGATAAGGATGTGTCGTACCGAGCAACCAATTGCACAAGAACGGCAGTGCGAGGCCCTCACACGACTGTCGTTTGTGATTTTCTATCACCTGTCTACGATGGCAAATATGGCGCAATTCATTGTCAATCTCACAAAGTGCAACGTAAGTATTGATTACTCACGGAAATTGGGCACCAAGCCAACATGCTATAGAAGCATAACCGAGCAACTCGCTGAATTTCGCCGTAAGTAGTAACATCCTCGCTGTTGGGCCCACCAGAACTCGAAGGTTCGAGGATAAAGATGCTGAACAAAGTGGGTTGCGACAAGCCGAGCGCCGTGGATTGCCTCCAGTTGGTTCACACACGCTAGTGCGTGGCGGCCTTGTTCGGACGTGGGCAACCTAACTCGTTTCCGTCTCGTTTTCGTCCTGTGACAGTGTGCTTCAAGTTAATCAACCTCGAATTCCGTTTCAGTCATCCTCCGGCATCCGACAATGAACATGATGCTGCAGCCCGAGAGTGCATGCAGCAACAAATCCACAATTTACTCAAGTGCATCACAAGCGCCTAAGTGACTAACTTGGGCGCTCAACGGAACGGATCCTTTCTGAAACTCAAGTGGACCTCTAAACTGGTAAGTACTGAACCATGCTCTCCCGAATCTGGTTGCCAAGTACTAGCGTCTAATAAAATGAGATAGGTAGATAATTCTACCTCGGAAAGAGGTTATCGGGCCACCTCAGTGACTGATGACTGTTTCCCCGGAAGTCCGAGTCCGACTAAACGATACAGTCAGTACTCAGTTTCCATCATGCAGCACACTTTCGGACAAACTCATTGATCTCGTTATCATGCACTGCCCGAATCCGATAATGTTCCAGAATCTATCTTCATTCGTCTATTATATTTGGTCTAGGGCTGTGGGGAGACTATTACCATGTAACATGCGGCATCATATGCATGAGTCTGGGTTTGCGGGTAACTTCATTACGGTCCCCAGCTTGTTTTATGAGTCTTGCCAATTTCTAAATCCGTTCTGACATTCAAGTGGACCTCTACACTGGTAAGTACTTAAATCAACGCTTCTTTGTTACAGTCCCAATCTCAATCGCTAAGCATCAGTGTAGATCAACAAACTTGATTCGAGGACACGCACTAGTCATATCATCATCATGATAGCCGCCTCCCCGACAGTCCACCCATCTGGTTCATATGAACCAACCACTGTGGACATTCTCAAAGTCAAACAATACTTCAAGTTATCTGCCATTCCACTTCCAGATGAACTCATCGATGACATTATCGATGCTGCCTCCTATTGGGCACACACATCTCTAACAGTCGATGGATGCACTGTCGCCGATGCCGATACCGGCGGAGACACAATGTACATGCGTACATTGCCTCTTGCAGTGCAGGGGACAGAAGGAGACTTCCTACTCGACAAAGAAAATTTGCAGGGAGAAGGGTTTGTCCTCGGCGGGCTACCTCCAACTGAGCTAGAGTGGACAGCGCCCATACGTACCAAACCTTTTCGCAAGATCGAATTTCAGTTATGGAGTCATGACCAGGGCTGGGGCGGCCATCTTAGTTGTCGAGGAACGTACAATGGTGCTTACTCCTGGTTCGATGCCAGTGTTGAGAGACTTCACTCCACTTCGTATTTCACCGAAAGCGTCAACTGGCCCTCTTCACTCCTCTTCACCGCAGTTGATGCACAAAATCTGCTAGACGATGTCACGTATGCTTGCTCCTACTGATGCGCCGACCTTCGATGGCTAATCCAGTTTTCCCCTTAGGTTTACTCAAAAAGACGTCAAGCAACCATTTTTACCTTCTCCTTCCACTCTCCAGAAAAATATCGTTGCGGAAGGTCAAACGACACACCATATCGTCACTTGGACGGACCTTGACGATGTCAAAGAAGGTTCACCCGAAGCAATTGCAGCTGAAAATAGGGGACAAGGATGGAAATCCTACGATGGTAGCTTTGTACGTGACTTGCAGGTCGGTGACTGCATTACTTTGTGGATGAGGGCTCGCTTCCCAGGCTGGAGGAACGAAGCTGTGAGGGCGAAGATAACAACATTTTGGGCAGTATAGGCTGATCTACTAGTTGGTGTCAAGAAATGTAGAGACCGCCTTTTTTATTATGTATATCTGTACATTTGATGTGTATCGTCTTTTCCACGTACAGCAGATTTCAATTAAGAGGCTTTCAAGATACAGGTCGTAACAGAGTCAATGATTTTAGAACTCCATCGGGGCGACTGCGACAATGGATGGCGCGTATAACCTTGTATCTTTTGCTTTTGGAGTTTCCAGTGCCTTCATGATTGGCGAGCTCCTCCCTGGCAGGTACTTACTGAACCTTAAAGTTAGTGAACCTCGTATAAGTACACAGTAAGTACTGAAACTACCTTTGATCGCAGTCCCGATTTTACTTTTCAGTGTCTGATGGAATATTCAGTTGGATGCGTAGTTCTGCCTCTGGAGCTCTTGATGACGAGGACTAGTAGTAGTTGCACTCATATGACGATGGCCACATCCCCGCGGCGACCCCGCCGAAGCGTGCTGTCATTCCCCGACGTCCATCCAGATCTGTTTCATGTAAATCAACTAACCACTGCAGACGTTCTGATAGTCAAACAATACTTCAAGTCAGTTTTCACCACATATCCATCGATGAACGTTATCAATGATGCCTCCTATTGGGCACACCTCCACATCGGTTAATCGCACCGTGGTTATCCACGAGGACGGAGACAAGTTGCACATGTATCTATTGCCTCTCACAGTGTATGAAATAGGAAGAGACCTCCTACTCAACGAGGAGAGCTTGCACGGAGACTCGGAAGGGTTTGACCTCGGCGGGCTACCTCCAGCTGAGGCGAGATGGGGAGCGCCTACACGTGCTAAACCATCTCGCAAGATCGAGTTTCAGCTATGGGGTTATGATCAGGGTTGGGGCGATGATTATGATAATCGAGGAACGTACAATGACTCTTACTCCTGGTTCGATGCCAGTGTGTTGAGAGACTTGATATGCCAGACGACCTTACGCATGCTTGTCCCGCTGATTAGTACCGACCTTCAATGACTACAGATCGCGGTATCCGTTCGAAAGGACGTCAAGCGCCCATTCTTAGCTTCTTCTCCCACAAAAATCATTGTCGCAGAAGGTCAAACAACACACCATATCGTTTCTTAGTCGTACTATGACAGTGTTAAAGAAGATTCGCCCGAAGCGATTGCAATGCAGGTCAGTAACAACCAATGAGCCAAGACATCTGCGGGAGAAGTGTATATATTCTCTCGTCGGCTGCGAGACTGTATGATGCATACAACCTTGAAGCAACTCTCATTGCTTAATCCATCCTCTACATCGCTTGGCGCTACACTTGCATAAGAGCGCGGTGGGTGACATCTTTCGCTTTTGCTTCCCAGTGCCTTCAACCATTTCTTCGGCAGCGCTTGGTTCATAATCAATGGTGAGCTCCTCTGCGGCAGGTATGTCTCGTGCAGCGACGAATGCCACATAAGGCATGTGTACCTATATCAAGGTCTCGAGCGACAGCAAGAATTCCAGATCATAGACAATTACCTCTCGAATGGTGTCGAAGACGACCGAATAGACCTTCATACTGGGCGAGCATGAGTGACTGTACATCAAATGATTGATTATTGGCTCTAGGCGCTAAGGCGGATCTTTTTGACTTACTTGACAAAGCGAGTCCAGTTGCCTAGAGATAAATTTTAAGTCAATTGAACAAATCGCGACATGAGGCATACCGCAGTCGTGAGAATCGACCGAAAACTTGTCTCCTTCATTGTGCTGACCACGGACCTCTGTGCCATCAAGATCAAAGACATAACCAATGTGCTCCGGAGGAAGGTTGTCCACGTCTTCCCGACGTCTATTAAATCAAGTTAGGGTCTGCGGAAGCCGGAATGGAAGAACTCACATCAGCGTCCTGCAATGAAGAATTCAGTAATTGAGAATGGAGACATAATCATACGAACCCTGTATATATTCCCAATACCTTTCCTTTTGGTAGTGCAATAGGGCAACGAGCACCCCAGCCGCACTGCTTTGTCTTGAAAATCTCAATTGGAATATCACGAGGTTTCTGAGCAACGCGATTACTGCACAGTGGATCACATCTACAGTACTGGACCAACTTCAGTACGGTCGATGTATTCCCTTAGATAAACCTATACCTTGTTGCACTCAATAACTTCAACTCCTTGCGGGATACGAAATGCAAAAAGTCCCTGTACAAATTGTCAATACGTTCCGCAACAAAAAGAAATACTCACCCCGCTATAAGCGTATAACTTATGCCCTCTTTCATTCGTGACTTCTGATTCTGTCTGACAGTCGCATTGGGATGCTCTTTGACACGACGTGCATGTACATGCAAGGAAAGCCCCTGGATCCACATCAAAGATCGACTGGAGATCATCATTATCACTGGTTCATGAAATCAAAAGGATTCAACAAAATGAGAGACCAGAGAACACACAAATGATATGATCTCTCCATGTATTTGAATTCGTGCAGATGCTGTCCAATGTCGCCATCTACGATCTCGTTGGAGATGCGTATATCTGCGGCACCAGCTTCCTGTGCTGCTTGGTTCCAATTACTCTGTAAGAGCGCTCGCCCGCGCCTGCAACACATAAGTGACATAGACGTGTAGGAATGCAATAATTAAACTCACAAAGGCTTCGCAGGGCGAACAAATATGACGTCGCCCTTCATAGCTGACGGTGCGGGTTTTGAAGTGCTGGCCTGACCGAATTTGCTAGAGTGGTTTGTGTTAACATTCTTGGATTTTTCTATGACACCTTTGGATATGGCCCTGGGAGATTCAACTGTGCTTGTAGACAAATTGAACATCAAAGAGCGAAAAGTGTCATCCCCTATGGAAGGTGACCTTTTCCTTGCAGAAGCACCTCTTCTAAATAAGGGATTCGGGGGAGTTGGTCCACGAATGCGTTTGACAGAGGACAAACGTGGTATATCAGATGATGGGGTAGAACGCGGGGTATTTCGGCGCACACGCAGGCGAGACGCCGCATTGCCGTCTTCGGCGTCGGGTTCATCTGCGTGCCTGCGTGCACGTTCTATTTCCTGATCCCAGTCTGCTGCTGAGGGCTTGTCAAGTCGTTTGCGTTTCTTCTCCTCGTATGCTTGCGCGCGCAGGGAGGTGAAACGCTTATGCACTGCGTCATCTGGCCAAGACACTTCCATGTCTAGACTGTCCTGGGCAAGTACATTGCGCTTATTATCTTGAAATTTTTTCCAGATATTGATCAAATCACTGCGATCAGTTATATCGGTTTGCCAGGTCGTGTTTGTGCCATCCTTTCGCGACCAGTTTCCCCATCTTACCTGATGGTGTTTTAAGTACAAATCAAGTGTAAATTCCACTTATATGCCTACTTCATATCTAATAGACTCGTAAATACGGAGACAGGTGGAATATAAGTGGGGCTTACCTCGAAGTGCCATCAGGATCAACTTCCTCACCTACGACCCCCTTGATTGGCCACTCTCCATTCTCATTCCCACCCTCCGCATCACTCCAGCTTTCCTCTGGAGAGGGAGACCGTTTCCACATGTCATCATACATCGAATTCACAACAGCGTCGAGGATAGTATAAGGATCAACAATCTTTGTCTAGTATAAAGGTCTATCCTGTAAGGATGGTATGACGGAAGCAAACGGGTTATTTCAAAATGATGTCCCGGTCATGTGACCGCTTAATCTACGCGTCCACACGCGTCGCGTCTTTTGATGGCTTGACTTGAAGCTCGGACCATTATTCTTCACTTTTACCCACCATCATGTTTATGCTACGGCGCACCCCAACGACTTCAGATGGGAAACCTGTAGATAGGCTACAAGAGAGCACGCGTGTAAACAAGCCATTCAAAGCCCCATCGCTTGTCAACGCTTCCGAGCGCGTCCAGCCTCAGCGCAAGCGCAAGCGGGTTTCATACAAGGACGCAGCGGTTGACGAGAACGACAGTGATGATGACGATGCAAGAAAGAAGAAAAAGAAGAAGGCAGACAAAGATGGGACTTATAATGAGGAAGAATTGAAAGCTGCTATCAAGACCTTTCCGGTGTACAAGCCCAAGCCATTCGATATGCTGCGCAGGTTCTCAATGCCCACTATGACGAACAAGAGCGGAGAAAAGGTACATATTCTGCCTACCAATGCATCTCTGGGGATTCGTCCACCGACCAAGATCCTCCCTCGCCCGTTACATGATCCAATGGAGGATCATGCCATTGTCCTCTACGACCCTACAATCGATGACCGCGAAACTGACGAAGAGAAAAAGGAAAGAGAGAAGGAGGAAGCTAAAGAGAAGGCAGCCAAGGAAGCACAAGAGAAGACTGCAGGGATGTATAATCCGCACAAGAGTCTACGGACGCTCCTGGGTGAAGGCAAGGGCAAGAAAGAGAAAACACAGAAAGTACCTGTAGTAATTGATCCTAGACTTGCAAAGGTTCTACGTCCGCATCAGGTTGAAGGCGTCAAGGTGAATATCTTCTATGGCGCGCTTTTGCTATACTCATTCTAACACGCAGTTCTTGTACAAATGTACCACCGGCATGATGGTGGATAACCAGTATGGCTGCATCATGGCCGATGAAATGGGTCTTGGAAAGACCCTACAATGCATCGCATTGTTATGGACCTTGATTAAGCAATCCCCTCACGCAGGAAAGCCCACAATAGAGAAGTGCATTATAGCATGCCCTTCTAGTTTGGTGAAAAATTGGGCGAACGAACTTGGTGTGTTACTCATCTTTCAGTTCTTCCGAGACATCTCTCACCTTCTCTCAGTCAAATGGCTAGGGAAAGATGCTATTTCAGAGCTTGCAGTGGATGGCAAAGGTGGCAGAGGTGAACTTCATGGGAAGGTTGTTCGGTGGGTAGAAGCAACGGGTCGAAATGTTACACAGCCAGGTTTGCCTTTAGCCTTGATGATGACCTGACGTTCATGTTTTTCTCAGTGATGATCGTATCCTATGAAACCCTTCGTACTCTCACTGCGCATCTGGCCAACTGCAGCATTGGCCTCCTGCTCTGCGATGAGGGCCACAGATTGAAGAACTCTGGTGAGCTCACACGTTCGCGGAATTTAATCGGAGCACTATGAATAATCTGTCTTGTTTCAGGCAATCAGACATTCCAAGCCCTGAATTCGCTCAATGTCAAGAGACGAGTCATTCTTACCGGAACACCTGTCCAGAATGATCTCTCGGAATATTTCTCCCTCTTGAACTTCGCAAACCCTAACTTCCTTGGCTCCCGAGACGACTTTCGTAAAAACTTCGAGAACGCTATTATTCGTGGCCGCGACGCGAGTGCTAGTGCAGAAGTACAGGCTCAATGTGAGAAGAAACTCAAGGAACTTGGTGGTCTTGTCACTAAATTCATCATTCGGCGAACAAATGACCTATTGTCGAAGTACCGTGAGTCGGTCTTGTTGTGCTGTTGCGATTTTTACTACATTTATCATACAGTACCCGTCAAGTACGAGCACGTCGTGTTCTGTGGACTTTCTGACTTTCAGCTTGCCTTGTACCGCCTTTTCATATCCTCACCTGAGATCAAAGCGTTACTTCGCGGTACAGAGTCCCAGCCACTCAAGGCAATCAATATCCTCAAGAAGCTTTGCAACCATCCTGAACTACTCAACCTTCCCTCTGACCTCTATGGTTCCGAAAAGCTTCTACCCGAAGGTTATGGTGGCGCAGGCGCCACAGCGCGTGACAAAAGCAAGAACCAGACGGTACGGTGTGATTGGGGAGGAAAATTCTTGGTTCTCGAGCGGTTCTTGCATCGCCTCAAGACAACTACCAATGATAAAATTGTGCTCATTAGCAATTACACGCAGACACTTGACTTATTCGAGAAGCTGTGTCGAAGCAAGAAGTGAGTCCATGTTTGACGGTGCTTTCGTTTCATGTTGACGCATAAACTAGGTATGGCTTCTTTCGTCTTGATGGGACCATGACGGTCACCAAGCGTCAAAAGCTCGTGGATCAGTTCAATGATCCCAATGGGAAGGAATTTGTCTTCCTGCTAAGTAGTAAAGCCGGAGGATGTGGTATCAATCTTATAGGCGCCAACAGACTGATCCTTTTTGACCCTGGTCGGCATGTTCGGTATTCTGGTAACGTAGCTTAGACTGACAAGATTTGTGCAGACTGGAACCCTGCTGCTGATCAACAGGCTCTTGCACGTGTATGGCGTGACGGCCAAAAGAAAGAGTGTAAGTTTGGCACGCGTCTCTTTTCAGTACATCGTTGACCACTATTATCACAGGCTTCGTCTATCGCTTTATCTCGACGGGAACAATTGAGGAAAAGATATTCCAACGTCAAGCATCAAAACAAGCTTTGTCTTCTGCTGTCGTCGATGAGAAGGAAGATGCTGAACGGCATTTCTCGATCGAGTCCCTCAGGCAGCTGTTCCTATTCAACGAGACCACGATTTGCGATACTCACGATACCTTCAAATGCAAACGCTGCAAGGACGGAAGACAAGTTACCAAGTCACCTGCGTTGTTATACGGAGATGCAAGCACGTAAGTCTGTCTCTTGGAAATGGGATGCACACCCCCTCACCTTCGTACGCAGGTGGAATCACTATACCAATGAGGAGCTAAAGAGTAATCATGACGACCTACTCCGAGCTGAAGTAGGCTTATCTGAGATCTCCTTCGTTTTCCAATACATCAGTCACTAGAGGATGTCAGGGTTTTTGTGATTCCGTTTGTCCGCATCATTGTCGTAGACATTCATTTCTTACCATTTGTAACATTACTTCACGGCACACACGATTATTATACTACAAAGACAATACCACAACGGTACAGGTATTAGTGCAAGGACATTTATACAAATGCCATTGTCCCAGTCGCCACTGATCTTTCTCACCTTGACCTTCACAACTGACATCAATAGCTCAACGCCACGCATGATACTATCAACTTCTGGTTTATTTGGTACTCCCAATGCAGTCATTTTCTGTAAGAGCTATATTCTCGCACAAGTTAACAATAATTGTCCACGACTAGCGCAAATGTCATATAAAGAATGCAGACTCGTCAAGGGCATGAGCAGAACTATCCAGCCTCAAAATAAGCTTATCGTCTGATGTCATCGATGATAAGGAAGGCGCTGTCTCAACGGCCTACCAGGCAGCTGTTCCTATTCAACGAGACCACAATCTGCGATACACACGATACCTCGAAATGCAAACAGCGTCTGCAAGGACGGAAAATCAAGTTATCAAGTCACCTGCATTGTTGTTAGCGAGTAAGTCTGCCTCTTGGAAATGAACGCATACCGGCAACAATGACACTATGTTACAACATCATCCCAGGCTCCCCAGTCGTGACCAACCTTTCTCACTTTGACCTTCTCTCCTGATTCACCGAAGTAGGCAGCTGTATACCACATCTTCATTTCGTCCTCACTGAAGGGCCCGAAAGTCTCTCCGGTAGATTGTCCAGGGATGTCCCATTTGTACTCGTATGTGATGTCCGCAGATGGAGGCGTCCAATTAGGTCCCACCCTTCCGCTAGAACGCACTGCGCGGACAAGTTCCTCGTATGATCGAGAGTAGATGTCAGTATCACCAAGCGACATAAGGTTGGATGCCAGATGGGTGATCATGTCAATATCATCGAGACCCTTCGATTTATCTACCGCCTTGCTGACAGCCATAGCAGTATCATCTTTGGCCTTTCCACTAACTTTGCTGAAAGGCAGGTGCTGAAGTCAGTTGATCCTAAAGAATGCTTGCTCAACAACGTACCTGGTAGAACGCGAATTCTGTTTCGCCTTTGCACCTAATCGTTGAAGTGCTTCAAGTATTGTTTCGCCTTTCTTGAGCATTCCGACGAGCTGAATTTCCAAAGCGCTCTTTCCACCACTTTGCTCAAGCTCTATCTCCTCCGCCCTCATCTTTTCTCTTTGTATTCGTTCCTGCTGTCGCTTCCTCCGACGCGCAAGCTTGATTTCCTTGTCGTCTAGATCGTCCATCCACCGATCGTGTACGGCGTGTGCGTCGAATGACCGGACATATGTGCCATCAGCAGCAAATTTCCCCTCTTCCATCTCCTCCCGCATATTGAACGAAGATAGCTCGAATCCCATACCAGCCTTCTTTCGTCGTTCTCTTTCATCCTCGTCTTCAGGCTCATCTTCATCTAAATCTGAATCTTCGCCATCGTTGAACTCCTGTCCTTCTATGTCCCCTAGGCGTAAGAATTCTTCCTTCTTCTTTCCCTGCGCCTCGTCTTTCTTTTCTTCCTTGTCGGCCATTGCAAACATATCATCGTCATCATCCGCCCCTTCCCCATCTGCGCCCTTTCTTCTGCTCAGTACCACACCCTCTCCATCATCACTCGAGTCCGAGTCGTATCCTTCATTCCTAATCCGTCCTTTCCGCTTGGTTAAAGGATTCTCAAGTGCAGAGTCGACTTCCTCCGCAAAGTTCACTGGATCTTCATTAGGCTCAGTGAAACGCGTCTTTTTTGGAGCATGTGAAGATTTTTGGGATGTTGATGCGTCTGCGCTGGACGTTGCTGACCGCTTCTGAGCCGTTCGGGGTTGCATATTGTAGTGCCAGTTGATAAGGAGAAGCTATGTCAATGTTTGATGATGTTTGTCACTCGGGCACTGAGTACTGAATGTGCCATTGCATCAAGCCGATTGCAAACTTCAGAGCACCCAGATTCTGCTGGGACTCTTTGGCTCTTGTGACTTTTCATCGGATACGTATAAATGCATATGCAAAAATGGCCATAGCCACGTAAAGTATTTTCAAACGCTATTCAAGAGTGTATAGTAGAAATCGTGATCAGTAGAAATTACATCGCAGTGATTTGCATGACAGCATTCGCGTATCCAGTACTATCGGTGATCTGGACACGCATGAGGAGCACCGTGTCTGCAAGACCTATCAGTACTTGTGGCGGACTAAGCTTGGCTGAGATCTCCATATTCTGCGAGCTAAAAAAGACGAGCAATTCTTTCCCGGCCTTGGTAACGAACTGAATTGAAGATAAAATAAGTTGGGGAAAATAACCAGACGTAAATGTAGTTGCTTACCGTCTGGCCTGAATGCAGACGTTGTTGAAATACGTCGAATTGCGTCTTGTGGTCATCGTCCGCAGAGGAATCGGGTACAACCCTCGCGCTGCCGAGGCCTGAGAAAGTGCTGACGATCCTGACTGCATCTTCTAATAGATAGAACGTTCCAGCTCGACCGTCCAGCGACTTGTCAGCGTATATATCAGTGAATGAAACGCCTTTCATATTGTTGGAATCTTTCAATACGAGTGGAATAGGCGTATTTGCATTCAGAATGAGCTTGAATGTAGGAACAGATCTAATGATGGTTAGCTCAGGAATCATCGAAAAATCACAGCACAAACTCGTTGACGCCGTTAGGTCCTTGAGTCGGTTCCTGTAACTTATACCTGCTCAGGAGTGAGATGGGACTACTGAGGAAGAAACAAGGACAGCCGCACATTGGTCCAAAGATAGTGTTGTCTTTTGACGTCTTCCATGACAAGCTTGAAATGGACGTCACCGAAGCTGAAGCTTGCACAGACGGGAACAGCTGCTCTTTGGCTTCTGCGAGACTGAAAACACATCATTCTCAAGCGAGGTCTGGTTGCACTTTGCGATATTATCTCACCTCTTTCGTGACGCTTCGTCTTCCACGGTCAGGGTAGCAGGGAAGGCTGCATCTTCGGTCGGAACATCATCGACAAGAGTTTCCACTGAGATTTCATTTATGGGTTGAGGTAGTTGTTCGACATTCGCTTCATCTTCGAAATCAGGCAACGCGTCTGCATCGGGCTTCAACCCTGCTATCTCCAACAATTCCTGTCCGGAGGGAACTGGTAAAGGAGCAGGAGCGTGAGTGTCCACAGGCTCCATCTGGCCAGCTAAGGATGTATTTGCTTGATGCTCGTGATCTGTCTCGCCTGCTGCATCTTCATCACTCCAGGATGCGATGGCAAACTCGTGCTCTGGAATATGAGATGGTGCTGGTGCATCTTCAATTGCTTGCGACTCTTCCCTTACATCCTTTGCCCGCCCGAAGCGACCCTTCACGCTGGTTAGGCTGCCTTTCACAGCTGTCAGCAGGGAGCTCCGGTTCTTGCCTCGGGAACGTCCACCAGGGCCGGGTTTTGATTGTGTCTTGTGGGATGCGTGACTACCATTATGTTGAGATGAGCTCGAAGGCTGGCCAGAAATCAAACGCGTTTTTGCGGGGATGGCGGCCCCTGAGTTCTTGTCCATTAGCGGAGCATCATCGATAAACTTGACCAAAGGATTAGCCGCCCGAGCACGGTGAAGAGGTACCGCTGACTCAGCGGGAGTGCCATTTCTTGATAGCGGAGGAGAATCGAAAAGGGGGTCAGGCGAGCTGGGTCCCTCATTGGCCGAAAGAATTACATCTTCACTCAGTACTTGATTGACTTCGATGGTATCCTGGACATCCGGAGAGTAGCTGCGAAGGTCCTCGAACTCCACGATTGTCCCATTGACCTTGGAAGGATCAGCATGGGAGTTGGGGATATCCTGAGCATCGGGTTCATCCGAGTCTTTCTGCATTAACTCTCCTTCCACTTCTTCCACTTCTCCAAAGAGTTCCATGTCGAGCTCCCCTTCAGCGTCCGTATCAGTCAGCTTAGTCAGGGAAAGCTGACGCGCGCCGCGGGGGCCTGGTGACGAAGCGCGCCTTTGTTTCGCCGGTGCTGATGATTTGGCCTTGCTTCTGGGCCCAAATGCCCTCACCCGTTTAGTCGATACATAACCGGTGGTGCCAGGTTCTGACTCGCGCTTCCGCTTCGCCCTTGGTTCCCCCGCAGGTTTTTGATGTCTGCGCCGCTTCTTCGTGGTTAAGGGTTCATCATCGGAGGCATCATCTTCGAGTGTCTCAGAACGTCCTTGTAGGTTATCCCTACTAGATTTATTTTCAAGACGCGGACCCGCCCCTGACATAACGAGCTATTAGACATAAGCGCTCTCTAGGGATACAAATAGCATACCAGTAAAGCCCGAAACATGAACCTCCTCTCCTTTCTCAAAAAGCTGTGGGTTGGTATGCTCTCTGCCGCGGGTTGAAGCATGCGCCCAGAAGGTCCTGAGGATATGCTTTGAGCCATAAGTGAAAGAGCTTTCGGGTTCCCAACTGTGCAGTAAATAAGAATAAGTAAGGAAGCCACCTAGCGAACAAAGTGACACCCTACGTGCTATCATCCAAACTATACCCTTTCCACTGCGACGCGTCAGTTGATCAACACACGACCTCTATACGTTATGAACTTACTTTGACATGATATTTCTATTTCGACCAAAGGCTTAGCATACATACTGTAACAGCGCCTGGTCCTAGACTTACCCATATGACTTTCCTGCCCCGCTTCGCCTCCACGCGCGCCTTCGTCACAGACTCTGAACCATCATGAGTACAACCATAGGATGACTGCAAAGAACAGGCACTCGGAAACTCACCGACTTCGTATTCTGCGTCACTCATGGTGACATGAATAGAAAGGTGACAGTAAACCTTCGAGCTAAGGTTTCGCATTTTGGGCGTGGCACAATAATGTGGGAGAATATTTCCAATTGCAGTTTCCATATCATCACAAATTTTTAATTATTGAGGTGACACGGAAGCAAAGCAACGGAGCATCGAGTTATGTAGATCATGGCAATGTTTATCGCAAAATCTGAACCAAGTTAACTATGATTAAAATAGGGCACAACTAGGTATGTTAGCAAGCGAGAATGAAATACAACTAGTAAGAAATATTAGTCAAGATACCAATAAGATCGTCGGGATGATATCAAGTCTGTCAACGACTGGGCAAGGCTAAAAGCCGGCCTGAAATAAGACAATCCTTCACCCATGGAACGTGAACGAGCGTTACGTCGTCCTGAAGGTCCTCGGGGAAATCCGTGGCTTCTTTGACGACAACATAGTCATATGCAGGAAGATCTCTGGATGCAAATTTGACCTCAGTCGCAGCTTCCACCCGAGAAGCTCCCATGCAAATCATAATCCAAGGAACGACTCGGCTCGCGTCTTGCGTAGCATCGGGACCACCCTGCACGAAACAATGAGTATCAATACAGCGAGCGGCAATGTACTGCATACCTTTCTCCCCCCGCGTGACGGTAAGGGCACGAGATCAGAGCCGAGGCACAGTACAGTCTTGCCAGAAAACAACTTGGATGCTACCGTATTCGACATGATATCAGTCAAGTGCTCCTTGCAGTTACCCCAGTCTAGGTCAACAAGTTGAGATACCCGAGCACTCAATGACTCTGAAAACCCAGCAGGAAGCAGTGCGGGTTGCCAGTCCTAAATATAGCGGCGGTCAGCAGAAGATCGGCAAGAGTCAAACCCAACATACCGGTGATGTTTGTTTGTCTAGATAATCATCTCGTATCCACTCATTAGACAGACATGGTATCCCAAGAGCGAGAGCCACCAGAAATTTCGGCTTCTGGTTGTAATCGTCGGCTAGGAGGAATACACGTTCCAAACCCTCGAACTCGGGCTTCGTCGGCTTGAACTTGAAGTTTTCCTGGGAAGCTATCCAGCGTTTATTTGACTGGCTATGAGTACCCTCCATTGGGAAAATGCTTGACCAGTCGTCAATGACTGTGCCTCCATTGTGCTTGATAGCTAGCATCACGCTGTCCTTCATTTTCTCAGGGTGCTTGGTGCGAACGGTGAGCGTCACGACGAAACCGGTCCTCGCGAATGGCTTCTTATGCTTGAGTGAGGTGGTACTCATCAAGGACATTCCGGAAGGTGAGGGCGTAGTACGTAGAGACTTCGGTCGAATGATTGTGACGATGGAATCTGCAGTAAGAGTGCGATCTTTCCAATGAGACTGGATAACTCTTGAGGCGATCCGGAGGTCCGAAATGGCGTAGTCTGAGCTTATGGTGTCAGAACCATCATCAACTTCGACACTGACGGATCCTGATTGCATCCGACTGATACCTACCACAGTACCGCGAAGATTACCGTGGCAAAGGATCACTCCATCTCCGACTCGCAGTTCACACCGACGGAGCATAGCGACATCCACATGGTCCTCCGTCTCATCGTCAAATTTGATGAGATATTTAGTACCGGTCTGTAACGAGTGGACGGTGCCTGCATAATAATGACCATCTTGCCTCCACAATGCGAACACGCGAGTGGCGGGCTGAGCTGCAAGGGCGCGGCCTGTAGAAACAGTGTGACGAAGCCGTTTTCCAACTCGTGTAGCCGGCGCAGGGGTGTCAGCGGCTTTACTACGAATAGACGCCTTCGACGGGACACGAACAGGCTTGACATCTTCAATGCGTCTCCGCTTCCGCGATGAAGGTGCTTTAATCTCAGCAGGAGCGGGGCCAACGTCCATACAGTCATCATTATCAGCGAGTTCTGTCTCTTCCTCCTCCTGTTTTTCGGCGCTCGGAGTTGAATGTATCTCGTCCTGACACTCATCAGAAGCTTCAGTATCCGAAGAGATTTTACGCTTCTTTGCAGAGGATTCCGCACGAGTGCGAGTGCTCTTGCGTGTAGGTGCGGGTAGTACTTTCCCTTTCCCTTTCTCAATCTTGACGGGATGAGGGACTACTGTAGGGGTAGCCACTCGCTCAACAACTGAGGTTCGATCTTGCTGGTCCTGCTCAGGAGCAGAACTAGGAATTTCTCTAGACTCCGGGTTCGCCTTCCTCTTCCCACGAGTTGAACTTTTCGGTTTCGTTGTAGAAGGCTTTACCTGCGGCTTCGCAGACTGAGGGTGACACTGGTTAAGATAAGCGACAAGAAACAAGTAAAGACCAGTCACCTTCTTGACCAGCACAGGGGGTGGAGGAATAGATGGCGGTATCATCGAGGATTTGCCCAAAGTCGGCGCTGCTGTGGACTTTACAGCTGATTTGAGCTGCAGAAGAGCAGCTAGAGGAACATCGCCCTCTGGATCTTGGCTACTTTCATGTACCTCCACAGAGTCTGCAACGATTTCTCCTGAGCTAAGCTCTGACATGGGGCTAAGAGGACAGAAGGGGCGCTTTGTGGGACTCTCATTGAGCCTGATGTTTCTTGAGGGTGTGGCAGTGCTCGGTACGGGTGGTTCGGAGTCGGGTACGATATCAAGGTTATCATATTCATGCTGCGGTGACCGTGGACGATAAAAGGGTCTGATTGGCGCGGGTGCGTTGTTGTCCTCAGAAAGCAAGTCTGGAGAGTGTGTCGGTACAAAGTTTAATAGTTGGGTCTCGGCATGGTCATTTGGCGTCTGAACAGGTTCAAACGGCTGTATGGCTGCTCCGCTGCCTGTGGCCGGAGACGCACCGGCACCTTTGCCTTGCATCTGTCGAAGTCTGCGCTCCCGTTGTTCTGGGCGGATTAAAGACAAGAGACTGCGCGGACCTGGTGAAGAAGTCGTTCCAAAAGTGGCGCGAGCACTTCTGGAAAGCGAGGTCGGCGCGTATAGATCTTCCGCGACTGCGCTTGTAGCAGTATCGTGCAGTGGTGTTGATGGCTGAGTGGGCACAACCTGTTCAGGAATGGCCACAGGTTTCTTCTCCTGTGAAAGCTCATCTTCTGCTATAATAAGGGAAGATTGTGATGCATTGGCCTGGGCCCCATATCGATTGCGTCGTGCTTCGACGGATTCGAGTGAGTCCTCTACATCAAACGTGAAGTAATGAGGTTGGGAGAAACATCGATTAAACAAAGGGCCTCACCATCATTCAACAACTGCGATGCATCGGGATGGGGAACGCTTGTGCTCTGAAAAGAGCCTTCAGATCCGCTCGAGTGCGAAGGAGTACCTGGCACAAGGACGCTGCCACTGGCTTCGCTGGCTTTGGATTGCTCATAAGCACGCCGTATTTTATTCATCCATGAGTCATCGTCCTCCTGCGACGTGGATGAATGATCCATGACGAGATCGGTTGTAGTAGTGCGTCCTAGGTCAGAGAGTGGCACGTCAAAAATCTGAGTAGCCTGCGCAATGTATTTTGCTGCAGGATCTTGTGAGACTGCGCCACCGAAGGAATCTTGCGAACAAATGGAAGAAGACCTCTGACGTCGGCTGGGTGCCACAGGGAGGGATTTGGTAGGTTGAAGAAGTAGCTGGGTAAGCTTTGCTGAACGAGGAGACTGAAAGGAGACAGACTTTGGGACTAAAAGGTAACAAAGATGTCACGATCTTAAAGCAAAAGAGTACAAAGGTTGATTGGTGGCTCACCATTCGGCTTGCCGATACCAGATGCTGTACGTGAATCAGGGTGGCTCAAAGAATCGGCATGGGGACCCTTTACATTGACCAGATTGGTAGAAGATGCTTGCGGGGACGACGAGCGAGTACGTGCAACAATTTCATTCTTATTCTTATTTGAGGCTGGAGTGTTTTCTTTCTGAGATCCTTCCTCGACTATTTCCTCCTCCATGTGTAAAACTTGTGGCTGCGTTTGTGTTGGGGCAAGCCAGTTGAGCTGGTAGCGGGATGTTGAACCTCGAGCAGGCGGAATCATCATGGAATCAATAGAAAAGTTTGTACTGAGGTTCCTGTCACCTCCCTCTTGCTCGCATTGGTGATTCAAACCCCACTGGTCGCTATGGTCCACAATTGATTTTTGTTTCGTAAGTGCATACTGTAGGAGCTGGGTCGGTTGCGATTCTATCGAATCACCACTAAACGGGAAAACTTTAATTGGAAAGTCCCGCTCAGCACGCAAGGACGACGCGCCTGTGATCAAAGATGGAGTCCATACGACCTTTGCGTTGCGCTGAGTGCGTATTTGTTGGCTGTAGTCACGTATTAATACTCTGCCTGGGCTGGACAACAAGAGACTGCAGGGCTACGATATGAAATTAGGGTGCATTCACAAACTGGGGTGCGACGCGAAAAATGAACCAGATCTGCGTCTGGACTCTGATGGAAGCCAAATGTATGGTCAACTAGCTCAGGGTCCATTAGAAAGAGGGTGATAAATTGGAATGAACACTGCCACTAACTCATTAGCTAAGCGCGATTTCAGCTCCTTGGGGTTGGAGTACGTAAAACCGCATCCGATTATTTGCCTCGCATATTGAGTCTCATCCTATGGCGGACTTCATGTTAGACTCCGTTGTGCAGCGATCCATGGAGCTCGAGCTCCGAATACAATTGTAAGTTAGTAAAGAATGTATGCCAGAGTCAGACTACTTACGTAAAAAATCAATGCACGTGCTCTCGACGCGTCAATCTAACAGTGGTGGTTGATTTTCTTGTTCTACTACATCTTCTCTTCGTGCCAACCTATCGTTTCGCATTCGCTCCTTTATCCCTCTGCGCTGGCCGCCGACAAGTAGGCTGCAATGTACCAGATAGACAAAACGAAAAATAATCGCTCTTTATCTTCTGTCGCTCGAACACTCCTCTCTGCGGATGACTCGGATGCCGTCGCCGCCGCCTTGATGCCTGCTATCAGCGCAGGAAAAATTTCCACCTCTAGAACAACTTTCAAGAAAGCGCTTTCTAAGACGAAAGATAAAGCAAAGGCGACCTCCATCAGGCCTGTTCGTATCGCAGACTACGACTCCCAGGAGATGACGAACGTACCGAATCCTGTACCAGACACTGGCCTTCCTCCTCCAAGTGGTGATACAATATACTTCGTCCCACCACCAATTACTGCATTTCCTTCGGTAATCCATCAGTCCCAGGAGTACCACGCTGCAGCGATCACTGGCAAGTCTATCAGCGCGATTTCTGTGTCAACCTTCACCCCATTGCCACCACTACTCTCTCTTGAACCCACACCAACCGCAGACAATGAGCATGCTATTGTAATAACGCCTGTTCCTTCTCGGATGAGTTCAACTCAGTCCCACAGTACTGTCCCATCAGCGCAAGTCCAACGTCCCTCGCCTTCGCATCAAATTTCAAAATCGGTAATAATTGCACTTTCTGTCGTTGGAGGTGTCGTATTACTTGGGGTATTCATCCTGATAAGGCTTTTGAGACGTCCCCGCCGCCGCAAGTGTCCAACACCCTCTCTCCCCATTCTCCAGGATGGTGCCTTCCCAGATCACTTTGGGAGCGAGGGGTCCGGATCCCCGGTTTTTGGAGGCAAGGAGCGATTCTCCCCCTCGCTGGGGAATGCACGAGGAAATACGGGGCTCTGGACATGGACTCAGTATCACTCCGGAATTCCAAAGCCGGCGCCAACTGTCACAGTCTCAAAGTCATCGTCAGGCGAACCCGTGAAAGGATCAAGCAGTCAAGAGAACTTGCTTTCCGAGAAAAGTACCTCTCAAAACCAATACTCTTTCACTGGGCAAGGCAACTTTGGACAAAGGACCCAACCGCCTCTACAGCCTATCCAGAATGCAATCACTCGCGCGGTCTCTCGGCTCTCCACCGTCTCTATGTCCCTTTACCCAAACTCGCCGGCCAACACTACTTATTATGGTGCGATGAACGTGGGTGTAGCCATCGAGAGCGCGACGCCTCTGACAGGTGATGGACAAACTATGGCACGTGCAAAGGACAGGGTTGCAGCAGGACGCGCGCGCAATAGCATGGTCGCCCTTCCTGACGCCAAAGACGCATCCACGCTGCGACGCTCCCAGAGCTATGCTTACGGTGGAATGGACACTACCCCAACCTCACCTGGAACCGGGAGAAGCGCGCAGAACGGGGGCCGTACGCGCATCAAATCATCATATTACACACCTGGCTCACATCCTCGTACCTCCGTAGCTCCTTCGACATGGTCAAAAGACCGCGGACAGCAAGATGGTCTCCACTCTGATCGCACTTATGGATTGCAACGTTCTGAGTCTCATCGAGGCCGTGAGACACAGGCGCTGACATGTGCTCTTGGACTAGCTTCGCCTGTCCCGCCATCCCCTCATCCAACACTATATCCGGATGATTCCATGAGTGTGATTGGAGAAGCAAAGAAGGTCACCGTGACAGGCACGCGCAGCCAAAAGAAACCAGTTCCCAAAGCTATGCCCAATCACGACAAGTCATCTTCTCCTGACTCTGCGGCGCTTGGAAGTTTGATGATGGTGGACTTTGCGGCATCAAAGTCGACTGCATCACTAGTAAACATACGTCCGTCCGAAGCAGCCAGAGAGATGCAAGAGACGCAAACTCAGGGAGGGCAGAATTCGGGGGGGTTCGGTCAACCGAAGACGAGCTTGAAGAAGAGAGTGGAGGACAGACCACCACGTGTTCCATCACCTCCACCGTTGCCATCGCTTGCACAGATGGCACTTGCTCACGCAAACCCCGAAGCGTATGCTGATTACCACAGCCCGACGTACAGCATTTACGGGTTGTATGATGGAGATAGGAAAAGTCGCGGGATGTCATTTGGATACTGATTTAGATTGATTCGCGTACAAGCTATACGACAGAGTGTCACCTACTATAGTTTTGTATGCCAGGGGATTGTACGTTTGTGGTTTCCGCGCGCTGAGCGCTGTAGCGCTGAATTCAGGTCACTGTCAAGCAAGTGCTAGCAAGTGTGGACCTGGTCGACCTTGGCGGTCTTATCTGTTGAATCGGTCAGGAACCGTTCTCGGCAAGTCAATGAAATTGACAGCTGCACATGTGATATGCGGGAGTTGTTACTGAGTTGTTATGTTCGGATTCGTGAGAGGGCGTCTATAGCTGGTTCAAAATTCTCCTTCTCTGTTCTTCTTTCCTGCTGCGGACAAGAAATTCCAGCCAACTGCGCCAGGAATAAAAAAGCCTGGCAGCTGCGGACGACCCAAAGCCAGACCTAGGCTGAACTTGGAGTCGTTGCTGGGCACGCCCCTAGTTATAGTACTACGCCTTCTCACATACCACCTTCCTGCGATACCCCTTCGAGCTTTTTTCCTTTTCAATACCCCATCGTATCTCTCATGTCTCAACTCGCCCTTCCTGCGCACCAAGAAAACTATGGCCACAAAGGCGACGACGACGACGACGTCGAGTACGAAGAGCTCGGGCTGCTCCCCGCAGATATCCCGCCTGTTCCCTCATTTCGTGGCATTCCATTGAAATACATATCGTGAGTGTCGCGTCTTTCTGTTGCGATGTCTAAGCCTGGCATGATACTGCCAAGTTTTCTTGTCTTAAACACTGGGCGACCTTACTGACAACTCATGTCTACAGACTCGTGACGTTGGCGGTTCAGAATTCTCTCTTAACATTAATAATGCACTATTCTCGCGTGTCCATTCCTCCATCCCAATCCTACTCTGCGCCAACCGCCGTTCTTCTGAACGAGCTTCTCAAAGGGTCCATATCACTCGCCATTGCTTTCGCCCGTATAAACCGTGTCACACCTTATACGTCCGACACCCCACAGCTACCACTCACCGTCAGCCGCTTCTGGCATCCTACAAAGATTCTCTTACGCGTCCGACGACTTGGCAGAGAAGTCTTTTCGCCGGATTGCTGGAAACTGTCGATACCCGCCATCCTATATGGTATGTATTCCGCGTTGCATATGAGTCGCTCTCATTAATTTCGCTTCGCGGGTTTCAGTCATTCAGAATAATCTGCAGTATGTTGCTGCCACCAATTTAGAAGCCGCAACTTTCCAAGTCAGTTATCAAATGAAAATACTTTCCACGGCGGCGTTTTCAGTCATACTCCTGCGAAAGCAGTTAAGCGCCAGCCAATGGCTAGCGCTGCTGTTCCTTGCTATCGGAGTCGGCGTGGTGCAGATACAGACTGGTGTGAGCGATACGAGCAAGGCATCCTCTCTGTTGTTCCATGAGACCTCGATGAACGCTCTGAAGGGATTCCTCGCGGTGTTTGCCGCATGTTTCACATCCGGCCTCGCAGGTGTCTATTTCGAAATGGTTCTCAAAAATTCTCAGTCCGATCTTTGGATCCGCAACGTGCAACTCTCCGCATTCTCCCTCCTCCCTGCGCTTATTCCCATCGTCCTCTCACGACCGTCTGAAACGGGATTCCTCAGTTCCTTGTTCGAGAACTTCGGAGCCTGGGCGTGGGCCACGGTTGCCATTCAAGTGCTTGGTGGCCTGGTCACCGCCATGGTCATCAAGTATTCTGACAACATTCTCAAGGGCTTCGCCACAAGTTTGAGCATCGTGATCTCATTCCTGGCGTCAGTTGCACTCTTCGACTTCCAAATGACGTTCACGTTCATCCTTGGCTCTGTCATCGTTCTTATCGCAACGTGGCTGTACAACCAGCCCGGGCGGAACCCTAGCACATCGAGACTGGTGTACGTGGGCAAGAACTGAGCGTCAAAAGATGATAGATAGCGCACATTGGGACATGCCACGTTTACGAGTTGGACACTTTCAGCCCGTTTATCGTCACTCCGGGAGTACTCGGAACACTACTTATTTACACCGATTAGGACGGTCACTCTTGGTACATTTGGACATGCATATAGTTTGTTGGACGCTTAAGTTACGGTACATCTACTATTCCGTGCCCCCATCCTCACGTTGTCCTAATTTGATTACGCGACGATAGTCGGCCTACGATACACAATGTGATATACAATACAATCAATACTCCATGAAAGATTTCTCGTAGTTTGTGTGATACTCTTGTTAGAAATCTCGAGAGCGATGCGAAGTATAATGTACAACACGGACAGGTCCGACAGATAGATGACGATATACGACCTCATGCTCTCTGCTCCAAGCCTCTCTTGAGAGCTGGGAAAGAAGCTTTATCAGCGAAAGAAAGCTATGGTCTCACACGAGTACCTACCATCACATGTATCTTTAGCATCACCAAACAGCATCTTCGTATTTGGCATATAGAACATAGGGTTCGGGACGTCAGCTGCAAAAACGTAAAATAAATAGACCGATTGGCAATGTGAGGTTTATCACGCACCATATCCACTGGACATTCCTCTCTTCATCACAATGACCTGCTTGCTCTTCCATGCATGCAAAACAGGCATACCAGCAATCGGAGATCCAGGTTCAAGGGAGATTGGGTTTACAGTATCATTGGCACCGATGACAAGCGTTACATCAGTCTCGTCGAAATCATCGTTGATCTCATCCATCTCCAAGACGATATCATAAGGCACAGATGCCTCAGCCAGCAAGACGTTGCACTGGCCGGGCATGCGACCAGCAACAGGGTGAATAGCAAAGCGCACTTTAATACCCTTCGCTCTCAGCATAGCACATATTTCGGCGATAGGATATTGAGCCTTAGCGACGGCCATGCCGTACCCAACAACCTGGATCCAACTTAGGGGGTGCATCAAACTGGTTCAATGATCAAGGCTTACCAATATCACATTCTCGGAATTGGCAAGAGCCTCTACTGTATCGTCGATGTTCGTCTTCGTGATAGTGCCTTCAATTTGAGCGGTCTCACTCGGTGCAACAGTGCCAATGCCACCAAACAGAACGTTTATTATCGATCTGTTCATCGCCACGCACTGCGATATATTGTCTCAGCCACTCTAAATCTGGGAGGCCTATGGCACGCACCATGATGTATGATAGGATTGTACCACTGACGCCAATCAACGAACCCACTGTCGTAAGGAGGGGATTATCCAACATGAAGCCTATCCAAAGGTCAAACACATGCTTAAAAGCTCGGCTCTGACAACTCACCTTCTGCAACCAGCGCGAACCCTGAATAAGCGTTTAAGACAGTGATGACAACAGCTTCAAACGGCATGTTAGAAACTGACTACAAATGCTTGAAATCGTACATACGCATGTCGGCACCACCAATAGCAGCAGTCGTCGTGAAGCCTTTGATGAAACTGAGAACCGTGCTAACTCCAAGATACCCTGCAGCAACCAAGGGTACTGTTGGCGCGGCCGTAACAAATGCGGCCATGGTCAACACATTCGCTCCGAGTAAACCAGAGTTAATGATGTGCTTTCCGGGCAACATCAACGGTCTCGAGCCCATTTTTCCAGCAAGCTTCAAGAACGCGACAATGGAGCCAGTGAAGGTAATACCACCAATGACAACCCCGAGATAGGCAGTGACCAGGTGTAGCGTGGAGAGATGAGACGGATCAGCAAGGACACTGCCGATGGAGGTGAGGACGGCAGCGAGACCGACAACGGAGTGCAAAGCGGCTACCATCTGTGGAAGCTCGGTGGCCGTGATACGGCGACCAATGATGGTACCGATTGTACCTCCAATAGCAGCAACACCGGCAAACTGAGCAAGCAGGGCAGGGGGGAAGCCGACCGCCAGAAGTGAGGCAAGGATGCCCGATCCGACACCGAGTATTCCCAATGCATTCCCTTGTCGTGCAGTTGCCTGAGATGCCAACCCAGATAGAGAAGCTGTGGGCCATACATAGCCCATTAGGTTCGTACTCCCTAAATAACAAATGTGCTTACCAATACAAAGCATGCTGCTTGTCAAGTAACCTGCCTGTACAAGGCCGGCCATACCAGTGCTGGCAGCAGCCAAGAAACCACCAGTAAATACGACAGCTGGGATACCGTACAACCAAGAGTATTCAGGAGGATCCGTTGGTCCTGTTATGTCATGTTAAAAGGTAGCAGACAACATCAAGGCTCAACTCACTCTTGAACATGTCAAGCATCCGCTTTGTTATGACAAAACCACCGGCGACATTGACACTAGCGAGGAGTACGGAGAGAGCGCCCAATACCTGAGGAATGGTTTCTGGGAGATATCCTCCTCCCATGACGAACAGACCACCAACACCAACCATGCCTGGGAAAGACACTCAGTACAATTTCATACCCAAAGAGAAAGTGGATACCAGATATGGCATTGGTAACGGACATCAGGGGGGAGTGCAAAGCCGGAGCGACACCCCAAACGACTCGATATCCAACAATACCCGCAAGGCCAAACGTGAAGAAGTTGCTCATGAAAGCGGCGCCAGTCACCTTACCGAGAGCCACTACGGAGCCCATTCCAGCTGTGACTGTAGCTATCTCACGGGTAGCTTTTTGCCAGGGGGTGATAGCCAGAGTCTCAACCTTCTCCTCAGCCTTGGGAGTGGGACGTGCTGCGGGAGGAGGAGCAGGTCGGGGCACAGGAGGGAGGATAGCGCCTTGGTGGGCAACAATAGAACCACGAACGACTTCATCTGTAAGATCGATATTGAAGGCATTGTTCTCTCCTATGGACAACAAGAACTTGGTGATGTTGTTCGAATACAGAGTAGACGACTGCGTTGGAAGTCGTGAGGGAAGGTCAGTGTAACCTTGATCCTTTGAGATTTTATTTATCACGCAAAGCAGATGGCATACCTATGATCGTCACGCCATTCTTCACTACTAGCTTTCCAGGAACCGTCGCTTCGCAATTACCACCAGCTTCGGCTGCCATCTAAGTATAACAGCTATCAATAGTGACATTTTGATTATTTGCCAAAGGTGACTCACATCCACGATAACCGAACCCTGCTTCATAGCTGCAACCATCTAAGAAAACGGTTAGATACGTCATAAATCCTCTGGTGGATACTTGCATAATCGAGAATCAGTTTGGGTGCAGGTTTGCCAGGAATGAGGGCCTATGAACACTGGTTAGCAGAAGGGCCAAGAAAAATTGCGATGACACACCGTAGTGATGACAATGTCGACCTCTTTGCACTGTTCCAAGAACAGCGCCATCTCAGCCTCGATGAACTCCTTGGACATTTCCTTCGCATAACCACCGGCGCCTCCGCCTTCTTCCTCAATGGAGACTTCCAAGAACTCTGCACCAAGAGACTGTACCTGTTCACGAGCTGCAGACCGTGTATCAAAACCGCGAACAATGGCACCAAGCCGACGGGCCTGGTATAGCGGTATCATGAGCAAGGCATGACCACGAGCATCGGATTGTTCTTACAGTAGCGATGGCACTCAATCCAGCAACACCTGCACCGATGACGAGAACTTTACCAGGTGGAATCTAAGTTCGTATAAGACGACATTAAACACGTGTGCCGTGGATGGCATACCTTCCTACAGGACGATATTAGACATGGAAAGCAGAACGAACAGTTGAGGCTGACCCAGCTGCGGTAACCTGACCCGTAAGATATCTTCCAAAGTGATTAGAGGCCTCTAATACAGCCTTGTAGCCAGAAATATTTGCCATCGAGCTGTTAATACTGGTCAATGCCTGCTTCTCTATGCCTAGTCGTGATTGAGTCTGACCTCAGCGCATCGAACGTCTGAGCACGAGAAATACGAGGAATCATATCCATAGCAAATGCATTAACTTTACGTGAAGCCAGCGCATCTACCACGGCCTTGTTCTTTGCGGGGTATAGGAACGAAATGACTGTGCTTCCCTCCTTCATGCCCTTGGCCTCTTCAGTAACGGATGGTGCTTGTACTTTGAGCATGATATCCGTTCTATCGAAAAGCTCATCTCGAGATACGATAGCAGCTCCGGCTGCGACATATTCTTCATCCAGGAACTGAGCCTGTGCACCAGCGTTTTTCTCGACAAGAACATTAGCAAAACCTTTCTTCCTAAGGAGGGTGACGTTCTGAGGCGTAAGAGAGACCCGTCGCTCATCCGGGAATATCTCTCGCGGCGCTCCGACTGTCAGAGACGTATAAGGGATGCCTGTTGTCGAGACGTGTGAATGAGAGGCCTCGTGTTGAGATGAAGGACGAGTACATACCAGAAACCTTTGGTGCCTCTGGAACGGCTTTGGCTTTGTTTGCGTTATTCGGTGACGAGTAAAATGAGCGAAGCACTAGTACTGTAAGTAGGGATATGTGAGTCATAGGCCAATCCGGACCCAAATATCATAACGTCACTAACCTGAAGTGAGTGATCGGAGGCTGCTGCGCTTTGAAGTGTAAAGTGGCCGACAGCCCAGCCTCGCTGCTGGCGGCCTGAAAGCCAGCATGGACATGGTCGGGGTTGACAGAAGTAGACGGTCTGAGCCAGATGGACGTATGTGTTATTGTTACATAAAGCACTCGTTAAATACATAGTTCATGATAACGGTGGTAAATAGAGATCATCATCGGAAAAACAAGGCCCGCGGTATCCTTGCTCACCCTGGATTTCCGAATGAACCTACTAAGCCGCGCGCTGGCCATCGATAAGTAACAGATGGGTAGGCTGGCTAGATATATATATCAAAGCCATCGTGACGTCTGAGCTGATCATCGTCTCGACTCGAAAGCCGCCACGTACTATGCGTGGATATATGACTTTGATTGCAGCTTATAGAGCTCAGTGATACGGTGACAACCAAATTTCATATTGTTCAGCTTTTCGTCTTACGGTAAAGTATGAGATTAAGTGGAAACGTTAACACGGGTGTGCAGCGTGCGTCGCACTGATAGTATTAGCAGGCGGGCCGCAGCCTCCGACTCTCACGGAAACGTCACGGGCGGTCCGACCAGCGCCAACAGCGACTTTGATCATGCACCCATGGAGTACTCGTTAAGTCACCATCGTGTCAAGGACAAAGAGCCGCTTGCCGCAATATTCTTGGGAGTCGAATCTTAATTGCATAGGTAGTATTATGGTGACGGGAAATATATGTGCGTCATCGTATCATAGCGACCCCAGGCTTCCAGCACATACATCATACACAGACAGGTGCTACCAGTGCGCTCAGTCCCCGTTATCGCACCTTTCCGCCGACCTCCTCTTCAAGATGCACGAGGGCTTGCGTATGCGAATGCTCCCACAAGGCCTCGCCTGCCACAGGGTCAATAGGCGGCAAGGGCCTTCGGGGATGGCCACCGTAGCCGTATAATTTCTGGAGAAGGTATTTCGTTCCTGAAATTGATGCCTTGGCAATGGTAGCGTCTGCACGCCCGATAATGCCTTGCAGCCGCTGTGCCTCGGGAAGGAAGGAAGGATCGACCATGGAGGCCTCACTTAACTCAAAGAGTTTTACAATAGAATACTTAAAAACAAACACAAATCAGGAGACATAAATTCCATCGGAATTAGGCACGTACAGGAGCAACGTTGGCAAGGCCAGTAATAGCACCATGCCCATTTGAATACGCTGATGGTAAAAGGAAGTCGCTGAATCCGCCAAGGACAAGGAAAGGCGCATTCTTGTTTGTCCGGGGGTGAAGAGCTGAAAACATCGGATCTGATACCGTAGCCGCCACACGGGTGAGCTTCCCGACATCTCCACAGCTGACCGAAACAGTCAGTACATGCTTTGCATGTATGATTAATAAAAAACTCACGTGAGCTTGACACCGCAGGTATTAGGGCACTCAATGGCGAGCTCAGTGATGAGGTCAGAGTCTAGATTGATACCTCCACTGGAACCAGGGTCTAGGCCAATGATCAGGTACTCGTCGGCAGATATTTTCAACAAAGACACGCACAATTGTAGATTATGACTGGTATAGGGCTCTTAGAGCTAACTTCTTGGAAGAAAGCTTTCAGTGCTTTCCTGTCGCCAGCAAGCGCACCAGCAAAGTAACCACTGGTGATAGCGATGGCATAGTCTGCGCCAGCTGCAGCGGCTTCATTCGCTAGCTCTATAGACTCGCGAGTGCTGCCGGCGCCGATGCCGGTTATGACCGGAACGTTTAATAATCCCGCATGGTCAAGTGCCTTCCTTGCAGTCTTGATCAATACCACTCGCTCTGCATGTGATAGATGGATGGCTTCGCCCATCGACCCAGCTAATAGGGGCCCCACTCCGGCAGTCGCGACACAGACGACATGGTTCTCAAAAGAGGGGATATCTAGATAACTGATCAGTACTGCGCTCTACGACTACGAGATGTTGAGACATGCAATGAGAGAGACTGACCAAGATCTTCGGACTCGGAAAGGAAGAACGATGGGATTGGTGCATAGATACCAGGTTTCAAAGGACGAATAGTTGAAACATGTGTACCATTACCGTTAAGACTCATGATGAAGAAGATATCCGTGAAGGAGACACAATAACTCGAGTTTCATAGGTAGGGGGTATATAAGGACGGTGGAGATTCTCGTTATACGGTCCGAAGTCGGATACAGCGGTCCGTTACGGGCCGTCACCGGGGTGCCCATTATGCCACGACGCCAAGCTTGTCAAAGAACATCAAGAACTGCATAGAAAACACGATCGATGAGTCAATGTGATTGCGCTGACAGGCGACGGAGAGGTTGTCGCTTACCTACTTCTTATGCTTATGGAGCATTATCGCCACCCAGGCGCCGCATTCAACTCTCCACCGTAACCGTTATATGAAAACCTGCATGTTATGAAGTTCAATTGAGTTGATATCCTTCTAGTGTCATGTTGGTGAAAGAATTTTATAGGAAATTTGGTAAAGGTGTCAGTCGAGAGACAACTTTAGGAGATAGTTCGCAGATTTTCGCCGGCAATCAAAGCCTCATGGACGCCTACAATCATCAAACCAATTCAATTTGGCAAATTAGCTTCACGCACAAAGTATCCTGACGTGCTTTGCCCAGGAAATGTCACAGGTTTACCACTGCACGCCAGTACTCATGAAAGTCACCTGGGCCCACCTGTCAATCCAACAGTTCGAGCGATCTCACATGTGACTGTATCTGATCCTCTGTTCTACTGCCAAGCACCTGCAAATGCACCTACGGGTAGAAACAAGGGTCAGAAGGTGCCCATCAGTTTGCAAGCATAGAATGTACTATTCCAGAGGTAAATGAAACAACGGAGACTATACTGACGGATTAATACGTCAAGAAAATCATGTATCAGGGCAAAGGAGCCAATTCCGCACCTCATTTTACGGAAGCGGCTTAACAGCGCTGCGAACAACGATAAACACTTCTCCCAGTGAAAATAGCAAAACTATGACGCCTCCAAATCAAGATACGAACATGAGGTTCTTCAAAATTCCTGATCAAACTTTGAGTAGCGTGAGGGTGATAAGAACCACACACTAAGCATCGTACTGGGGTGCTCAAGCTACTCATTCGGATTGCAATGATCCCGCTCGCATGCCGCCCGGACCGTCCCTTGGCCTTTGTCTAATCACAAAGGAACAACTATCTCCCATCGATTGGTCTGGCTAGGGGAGACTATGCCATCGTCAAGCGCATAGAGCTATAAATGTACGATAAGCTGTCTGCTCAGATTTGACGTTGAAATTTGCAGGCAATAAACCGCCCAATAAAACGGACCTAATAGTAATACAGAGAATGACATGGAGACAGCAAAAGGGCGTACTGTAATGTCAAGAAGTTTTTTGGGGCTTCGGACCTTCAACGATTTCCAGGTGATCGATGACTTCCCGCTCCCATTGTGTCCAGCCGTCTTCGCCTACATCGCCCTCGGATTCAGAAGCCCGCGAAAATACGTCCCAAGGAACACATCCTTTATCTTCGGAATCGGTAGCTGGTTCGAGCGCAAAACGGCCTTGTCGAGAACGAGTTAAAGTTACAACATGAGCAGCTGATCCGACCGCATGACCCAGATCATGCACGATTGAGCGTACGTATGTCCCACCGGAAACCTTCATACTGAGTACGAATGCCGTCGGAGACTCGTCACCCACCGCAGGCTCTAGTTCATCTTTGATAATAGGGTTTTCTTCGACTCCTTCTAAGGCCTTTTCCATTGCTTTTTTTTCATCAGAAGTGAATTCCTTTTCTGGCCAACGGAATTGGTGGTCACTTCCTTTCCATTCGAGAATGTCTAAGGAGTGTATCGTGACTTTCCTCTTTTCGATAGGCCGAGGCAGGGGTATGCCTTTCCGAGCATAGTCGTACAGCGGTCTACCTTCCATCTTGAGCGCGGAGAAACTGACAAGGAAGATATGAAATCAGGAAGGTGCAGGGAAATCACATATTTACATTGGGGGCGCCTGGTGTATTTCCCCTCTGAAGTTGCTCAATGCGGATTCCACGGCTTCTCGAGTGACATGTCTCCAGGGTGCAACACGCACTCGGCTACCTTCACTATCGTAGGTATCAGTTTCGCATCCCAAAAGCGCCGTCGTGCGGTATTCCTGATGAACCTTGGTGAACCCTTGAACTTAGATTCATTGATGATGCAGGAAGTACCTTTACACAATCCAAAAACTCGTTAAGATGTCTAGTCCCTTTTCCAATACCTACGACTGGATGAGACAGTCACAAGAATGAGATGACTCCAAGATCTACAGCAACGGGACGCGACCATACCCAGAACGCCATCAGCAAGAGGATCGAGCGTCCCTCCTTGTCCTATCTTCACTATCCCTCGTGCCCGTTTCCCTCTAGTAGGGATTTTACCTTTACCGCGCGTTTCCAATTTGTCTGCATCCACAAACAAACGCGAGTTGCCAACCAATTGTTTGAGATCGTTGATGACAGACATCGATGTCGGTCCGGAAGGTTTCATGACGGCGAAAAGCCCAGACACAGGTAGCTGTGGCAACGTAACTTTTGGCATCTCGAAGTAGGAACCTTTACGGTCTGCGTGTAGTCGGATGCAACTGACTCAGAGTGTGTAAGATCCCCGAGGAAATCTCAGTGACTCTTTGTGGCACTTTGTTTGTACACACTAACTCAGGGCCCGGTCTAGATCTGATGGACTGGGTGATCGATCAACGTTTCAACGGTAGGCGAGGAAGCGAAAATTGGGTTTACTAGAAGTTGCACAACCAAGCCGTCAAAGTGGCCACAAAATCGCACCAATTGTACCATTATTGCAGGGAAATACATATCAGGACTCGGTACAATAATGGTTAGAGGGAGATGCAACACGATAAGCAGTATCTAGGAAGCAGCACAGTACGGCGCAGTGTGCCATGCGTACTAAGTATTTCCGTTCACCCAAGATCCCCCACAGATGCACCTCGCCGCCCACATCCTTTCCCAGATCTTCCATCTCGGAGATGAATGTCCCGCAACCATCACCTCACCTCCGACCTGTGAGCGTCCACCACACCTCAAACAAAGTAGCCCAGGTTTCTGTGTCAAAAGCCTTCCCTTTGTCACCACGTCCATCCCCGGATCGTCTCCCACAGGATGATTCGACACTGACAAATTCGCAAACCCGTCAACAAGATCAGACGACTTGATGAACAAACGAGGCCTGTCTATCGCGGATGATGTGGTAAGCGATCGGATGGTCTTCTTCAGTTGCTCGTGTTGCGCGGGCACAGGATGTCCCTCAGCGAACGAAGCCATGACTTCTTCAACTGAATGAGGAGATTAAGCTTTCAACGACGGCTGCATACATAGAGAATTGTGATACACACCTGGAATTGCACTCGCTTCAGGGATCGCAGAGCTGAGAATGTCTTCGAGGACTTTCAGGTCCAAGCCTGATGAATTGACGAGGTCCAGCATGGTATCCCTCGCGAACTGCGAGTTCTCCCGTTTTGCTGTCATCGAGGTCAAATATTGGTGAAAAGAGCTGACGTGAAACACCACAGCCCTAAGATTTGAGAGAAAAAGTGGATGGACTAGATGGAGAAGTATCGGTGTGTCTAATGACACTGAATGAGGCGACTGGTTCGTGACTTGTTGGGAGGGAGACGTGAGCCAATTTCGTAGAAATGGGTTATCGTCCATGGGCTCCTGCTTCGGCATCACTTCGTTGGAGTTTAGACTTGTGTTTGGGGTTGGGTCGGCCAGGTCAGCCAGAAAGACGCATTCTTTCATGAGATCTTCCAAGAAAGCGACCACCCAAGTTGACAGGCTAATTAACTGCCAGACAGGCTCTTTTAAAATAATGAAAGCAACTACATTAAATGCTGACTCTAACGGTCGTGAAGACACAACAGACTCACCGAGGTCATATCCCTCTGACTCTTTGCAGTTTTCAAAAGCAGCGGAACAAGCAGAGACAGAACACACATTCAGAGCGTTTCGTGAGAGCATCAAATATCTCTCTTTCTCATCTTCGTTCTGCGTCCAACGTGCCCTCGCTCTGTTGCACATCAATATACATGCACCAGAAAGACGTGAAATTCATCACCTGTAGATCTCAACAGCAGCTCCCATCACGTCGGCCATCGAAAACGAGTTCGCAGTGCCAAGACGGGCATTCACTTCGTAGGAAGTCAACGTACCAAATAGCGTATCATGCAGCATTGTGGCTGGAGTACTTGGGAGAGACAGAATGTGAGAGATATCTGCTGTCGATCTCCGAGATTGAAGTGCAACAGTCAGGGCTTGTGCGAGCGGCAACTGATGCAGGGTGTCTATAGTGCGTAAGCCTCGACGCAGGTGGATGCTAACGTTACCGACCTTTTGATCCTGAAGTGATCCGTGCCCTTGGAAGAATGTAAACTGAAGTCTGTAACATCGAAACTGCACAGGCGAGCAATTTGTTAGGCGATGTGAATATACTCAGAGGACCTGTCCCTGGAAAGTTAATTATTGCCCTGCAAGCGTGAAGATTGACTCACAATCGCTGCTCGTTCTGTTAACAGGTGCAAGAATACTTGGATGATCGCAATCGGGATCATCGGAGAGGTCTGGTCTGGTGACAATTAGAACAAAAGAATTGGAAAGTAAAATGGATGGCTTACAGTTGCAAGGCGAAGAGATTGCCCACAGGGATTTCTTTTGGTTTGGCTGCGCCCCGTGCCAACGCCCCCCCTGGATTGGTCATTGCAACAACTACGGTTGCCTTTCTCATCGCGACTGACAAAGAGCCGGGGGCAACAACTGTAAGAATGCGAGGAGAGAGAGACCGATCTCCCACAAGCCGTGCAGCCTACCCGTAGTTCAATCAGAAATTCGCTCACAATGAAGCAGTAAGGATAGTCACCCAAGGAATCTTGCTATTTGGAGGAATAACCCTGACTATTGAATATGCAACTATGCGAGACTTTGGCAGTGACGCGTCTTATAAGTTAATCGATTGATGAGTAAAATGATTGCTCAAACAACATGAGTGAACTCACATTCCTCGAAATCCAAGAATGATGCAACTAGATATGTCATAGGTAGTTCTAGCTGACCACGTTGGGGTTGCTTGTCTTTCATTGGTGATGCTTTGGGCGACGTGGAAGTATCTGGTTTGGACCCAGGTACCGAGACGAACATGAAGTTGGTCAGGCAAGGCGCAGGATAGTAGATAGGTGAGAGAGGCGCGGTGAGGACGGCTAGATGAAGGTATTAGAAATCTGCGTTTCTACATTTTGGAGGACGTACACATGCACAAGCCGTCAAAACGCAGTTTCACCTCACAAAGCTCGATCATCTGCTCCTCTTGGTAAGAATTCCAATCCAACAATGGTGGGCGCTCATCCAGTTGATTATCAAGAGAAAGTCCGAGATCATGGGAGTTATCCGATGCTGCTCTTAGGGTATCCGATAACGGATAGCGTCGGGATCGCATGGCGACCATAAACACAGACTCTGCGAGACGCGTGCGATCTAAACACACACAATCTTAGATGACTGTGATCGATGACCAAAAGTACAGGCTCACCGTTGAAAATGAAACCGAACGAAGCTGCACTGCAGAGCCTGGAAGTCTTGGGTCCACGGGGAGGATCATGAGCAACTTGGCTCATGTTCTCGGCAATATAGCACGCCTGCACAAGGGGACAGGTCAAAGATTTTACACCTGACGCATAAGTGCGCAAGAAGTAGACATTTAGTTGGTGAGCCTGGGTTACTGTGAGTAGGGTGGGGTTAGATACAGGGGTCAGAGGTCCGCATTGAGCCAAGCGAGTGGTGGAACCATCTGGGCATGTGACCCACTAACATGACTTTTAATGATTTGAATGACGAAGAAAATAGATGATGTCACCTCGCGTTGGGCGCTGACGAACACAGCATTGACTATACCAGCGCCTCGTTCGCAAGCCCAGTAGTCTCTGATATTCCACTTGTCAATAGTGTATCCACGTTGCCACAGACATCCGACGCCGTCACAGTCGCGACCTGGAAAGTATGCGAATAACCAATGGTCATTGGATGAAACTGTGATAACATTTGGAGGTTCATAAGCCGCAGGATTGTTCAATATTTGATCTGGGGATACGATGAGAAACTGTTTTGAGGAAGAAAAGGATCTCCCAAGTATTAAGGGTTGAGAAGGGTGGGCAGTGAATATGGTTGATGCATTGGACCACGCGACGGGTCTTGAAGCAGAGACATCAATTAGATCAAAAGTTGTGAGTGAGATTATTGGAAGTGACCTTTGGAGATTATCTGCTAGTGGATGAAAATCCCACCAGTGGGAGTGCCAGTTTTGTGCATCAGCTTGTTTTGCTTTTCCCTTGGAGGGAGAGTTTCGGGCGTCGGGGTACATTTCTCCTTGAAGAGAACATGCGTTGACGGAACAAATAGATGACAACGGGACTTAAGGACTTTGATCTCCGTATTGAACCGTATCTCCTCCACATCGATCACCATGCTCAGCATACATTCTACTTCAGTAGAGCTGGAGGGTGTACCTACAGAAATCATGGTACAAGGATTTGCAGATCGTATCCTCGTACTTGTTACGCAATTGGGCAAAGTTGGCAACTTGGTGAGGCACTTTTAGCATTTGCACTTGATTCAACTATTAACGAAGGATGTAAAAGATTCAAGCATCCATCCCATCGACGACGCCACTATTATCGGCTGATCTCGATGAGGATTCAACTGATGGACTCCCTGCGCCCCCTGCGGCCATTCAACTCACACCACTACTCGGTGGCGCTTCCTCTGAACATCTGCAGACGCTGCATTCATTATATGCTGCACAAATCGCCACCATTATCTGGGTCGAAGAAGCAAAGAAGATGACTGTGAACCGAAGAAGTGTTGTAGTTGGAATAGCGCTTCATAGAGATGCTGATGAAAGAAACACATTCCACGGTGTAATGAATCATCTTTACCGCCTAGTTAAATAAGATTTTCCATTTTTAGGATACACTAGGGTTAGGGTTAGAACTACTGAAAATCGAAAAAAAAAAGATGGCCTGCTTAGCCAGAGTGGCCATAGCAGGACTGGAAAATATTGAGACGGTGCATGAGCCGGAGCCCATACAAACCGTAGTTACCCTCTGTATGGACAGGGTCGCCGTGCTATGAAGGGTCCCCACGGCCCACAAACCCAGGTACTTGAAGGAGCCTATGCCATCAAGGTAAGTATGAGTTGTTACAGTGTCAACACCTTGCTTATATACACCACAAAAATGCGCACGGACCACCAGTTACACACTTTCCGTTTATGGAATGCAAGCAACAAGCTAAAACTTATTGCAAGCCAGCACAGAGCTTGTTCTGTTGCAAGATGTCCCGAATATTTCGTCGGTCCCTCAGTTCCTTCAAAAGAGCTCCTCAGTCACTCCCAATTGCTGAGGATAGCGCACAATTTGCTGCTCACTTGAATAACATCCTCCCCTCCCTCCATTTTCCTCCCGAGCTTGCACAACGTATCCTCACCCATGGAAGTCACAAGGCAGCTATTCACGGTCATAATGGACGGCTCAGCTTCGTAGGAAAGACTTTGGCCACATCTGTCATATGTATTAAGTACTTAATTGTTTTTTTACAGGACGTCGCGTGCTCGAGTCTTATTATATGCTCTTCCTACATTCCGTCGCGCGAAACCAAAATCAGCACGACTATGAGTATCTCTCTTCTCGTGCTCTAAACACCTACCTTCTGGGCGAACACGTTGCTCCTCGGTGGTCCTTGGGTCGTGTTCTGCGATGGACTCCTACTGTCTCTCAAGATGTTTTACTGGCCCACAAAAATGTAAAAAAATCATCTGCAAAACAGCTCGCAGATGTTGAGCTAGAAAATGCATTAACGAGAAATCCTGGTATAGTCAGAAGTGTCGGTCTTTACAAAGTCATGGGAGAAGCTGTACAGTCCGTGATGGGTGGTGTCTATCATCAATTCGTACGTCCCTTCACGCTGTATCACATTACAAATCTGAAGTCTGGCGATCATTGGTCATGCATCCATTTTGCAGGGTGGTTCTGTGGCTCATCGCTTGTTTCACACTCGTATTCTACCCCATATTCTGTTGCCAGACAAGGCTGAGGGTGTGCCTGTGGAATTCCATCACCAGGCACTGACAATTTGTGAACGCATGGGTGGCGTGGACGGGAACTTGGTTCAGGAGCTTGCCTCAAATCGTGCTCTTTCAGAACTTGAGCTCGAGGCTGTAGAGACAGTTCAGCCAAAAAGAGTTGCGTGAGTGTGTTCTTGGTAAACCTTTTGCTCTGTTTGATTGTCTTTCCGCAGTACTGCTAGCGCATGAGTGCACATGACTCTCACTTTCTATCGTGTTTATTCTATGGATCGCATTAATTGCAACAACATTTTAGTAGTCTTGCTGGCGTGTCACTCGAGAGCAAGACATTATGACAGTGCCGCCTATAAGACAATCGACTCTACCGATGCGCAGGCGTAACGCAAGGACAGAGCAACAATTGTACTTGAGGTATAGGCATTTCATTGATGGCTAGCCATTCAGACACTATAATGCACACGGATGAATAGATAGCTAACAGATCAGTATCTGTTTTCTACTGCAATGAAAGTACGTTTAATAGCAGAGTCGCTCCTTCTAACACTGGTGCTCTCAGTAATATGCGTCATCGTCTCAGCATCATGGTTCTGGGAGAAGCCTGCAGACGAACCAACATCACACATCTGGTTGATATCCTGGCACCTCCGCAGTTCCTTCGGAAAAGGTCACCGTGATCATCACACCTGCTATATTCCTTCATTATGTGCACACTAACCGCTCGAAAGCACACGCGTCTGGTCTTGTGAACTCTGCAACCAGGCATCTTCTAGTCGGCTTGTCTTTCATTTTTTGCCATTCTTTGTAATGCGCCCCACGTTGCCTCGCCGGACGCTTCTCATACTGCCGATGAACATCGATTGGCTAGTTGGTTTTCTACGGCTCGGAGACTTGCACAAATGAAAGTACTTCCTTCGCCGGCCACATCAACGAACGCTTCTGACAGCGTTCCGAGAATGGTCAGTGAGTTTGACAAAGACCTAGCTGCAGTGCACTTGAGAAAGCAGTGGTCATGGATGTCGCATGAAGGGTGCCTGCTTCTATGGGCCATACCAAGATACTGCGTATCCTCGAATGTAAGTTATCATGTCTCTATCCAAAAATACCACAAGTGGACCAAAGCACCCCCCAGGGCGGTTCTACGTATAGCGATCATGATGCAGATAGTATTTGCAGACCAGCCAATAGGACGGTGGACCCGGTATCGCCAATAACTCGATTGCGATGGCCTCGAGGTAGTATCTGCCACTTACACGTCTATGGTGGCGTCTTGAGCCTCTTGATCAAAGACCTTCCTTGCAAGCCGAAATTGTTTAAACGATTCAAGTCCATTGAAGTAAGAATGAAAAAAGAGTCGTAAATATCTGAACGACATACCTTGCAGAAATAATGTGTATACTTCAGTTTTTCCTCTGATCGAAATCGATCGCGTCCGCGACAGACAGTACTTCCCAAGAATCCCGAACCTCCGAGTCCGACTTACATGGTACTCCTTGAGAAATCGCCAATACCGCACGACACGTAGCGCATTTTGATTCTCAAAGTTGTCCAGAAACCCAAATTTGATTAGCACTGCCTAGTTACCAGGGTTACTTAGCCAACTTGAAGTTGATTCACCAAAATCATTTCATTCTGATGCTCATGACTCCTCGGCCTCAAGACTCAGAGGAATGATTGTATTGCCGCAGATCTCACGACAGCTGTGTGAGCTAATATTCGCCCAGGGCTGTCCGTAGCAGGACATAGAACCGTAGATAGTTATGAGCGTCGAACTGCCTTTGGGATGCAGCATGAGGTCTTCTGATGAACTTACCACTGTAGTGGTGGGAACTGGGGTCTCCATCATCCTGGATACAACATTCAAGTTCAATATTTCTTTTCAAATGTACATGTAGAACAAGCTGTCGTATCAGAACGTGCCATGAACTCGTGGAATCAGCGATGTAGCGCTTGCCATGTAAACTCTTGAGTTTGGAAGCCATTCGATAACGTAAGTGCCGCTCAGGCTGATTGGATCAATCGGTCGCGCCCACTGCACTGCTCTTCAAATTGCCATTGCCATCCATCATGATCAACTCAAATCGAAGCCATTCTCTCCGTCATGTTCTTTTCCTCGAGCTCCAGGCCGTATAGACCATTGAGTCTGACACCACATGAAGTCGTTGACTCTGAGAGCGATGACGACCACAAAGCAAAGCTGTATAAGACTTCGCGAATTGTACTCCATTGGCCTCTTGTCGTTGTAATCTTCTGCACGTTCATCAACCTGTTGCTGGTCTCTACCCCTACCTTTCTCCAAATTTCTCCAGTATCTTCAGATAAACTTATCACTCGAAAGAATGTTCACCTTCTCCGTCGTCCCTCTCAATATATGCGATTCGACGACATCGCACGGACGTCGCCTTCTATTCCGAGAGAGTTCACAAATTTCCCCATGTCTGTCAGTTTGGTGGATCGCTCTGCGCCAAGTCATGTTTTCAATGACTATCTTGCGATGCGCACGACACGTGCTGGCACAATCTCACCTAATGACCGCAAAGTACACGTCACACAGACTGTCAGTTTATCTTCCATTTTTTCTGTGTTTAATAGACTGATGGAATAGAAGGTTTCAACAATATTTCAATTCAGAGCGATTGACTGGGGCATGGAAAATTGCGAATTGCACGTCGCCATTCCGCCTGTGGACCGACCGACTACACTTGCTTTATACCGCCTCAATACCACTGCACCACTTGATATTTCAACGTTATCTTTTAACGTCCGACCGCCACGGGTCGCGAAACTCAATAACATAGTACCAGGGCAGGACAGCTTGGATTGGCACAGAAAACTTTCTTGTGCTATGGACGACGTCCTTGTTTTTGAGTTAGCATGTTCGGAGGACGAACCAAGCGGTAGCTGCGATATAGAATGGTGGCAGGCTCGTGAGGAGACTGCACCAGGTTAGTGCTTAACCACTCTATGAAATTCGCTGACAGCATGATTTAAACCTCTAGCTGTCTACATGATCCAGCGTTCCACTGTGTAACTTAATTTTCCTTGAATTTTCGTCATAGAGACGAAAAGTTTGGTTTATTTAACAGGTTTAGACGTCTGATTACAATCTTATGCAATCACACTTGCCATCACCTTACTCGTGTACTTGCGAATGTGGTCTAGTCCCATAAGCCAGACCACTTCCAAAGTGAGTGTGCAGTATTGAAACTTCATCGCGGCACATAGCAGCAGCTGTGTTTTTGCCTGACTTCGACACTTTCAGTTTCAACTACATATCTCACTCAATTCTACTTCCAATGTGGTCGTTCAACCTCGTAATGAGTACGAGAGAGAATGATATCTCCTACATTTTGTGTTTAAGTAACTGGAAATATGAATTCTGTGAAAGTGCCGACTTCTATGGGGTGCTAATTGCACCGGATGGGATCCATGTTGATAGCTAACGTGCTTCTGGCTTCGTGCGCATAAATAAATAATCCACCAATGATCAGGAATAGATTTGCAAAGATCTAAATGGTTTTATGTGAGCATCAAAATGGTGGGGCCATTTTCCAAACTACTGCACATAGGCGCTATCATGATGCACCCAAGCTATTCCACACCGCTCTCTTGATCGACAAGCATCGTGTCTTGCGGAGATTATTATTTTCCGCACTGGAATCAGAGAGAAATGCTGTGAGCAAATGCTCCCGGGAAATATCATATCCGCATAGTTTGAACCCCAAAAGCTGGAGCACCGTTATATGGAACTTGCTGTTAGCTACCGTCAGGTAGTGCACACTGCATATGCCTATGTACTGGTTTAGTCGCAGTAAGTCGGCTCCGGTCACGATGCATTTGCTATCCATGCGGTCACCATCAGAGCATTCACAGGTGAGATGCAACCAATCGAGACACATCTATAGATTAGTTTGACCAAGCCAATTGGATAATGCTAGAGTGTGCACGATGGCTGTTTGTTATGCTTCATTACATGTACCCATCAACTGGTATTTAAAGGGTGTAACTCCCGATCTCACTTTAAAACAACGCATCCTAAACACTATACCTCAGTGAAGAATATCATTAAGATGACCGTGCTTAACATCAACAAGCTTAGTATCTATGCTGTACTCCTGTCAGCAGCCTTCGCACAGATCCTAGTGGTCAGTGCTGCCAGTATTGCCAGTGCAGAGCACCGTGACCTGGGTTCCGACGATTCAGTGGATGGCATTAGTGAGTGTAATCCCAACGATTTTGTAGGGCAGGACTTACGAGCTTCTAGCGATACACTATCCTTACTAAAATCCAAATACAGCTGGAGGGAGGGTTGAAAGTTGACGCAAAGGAGGACAGATCAGCACACGGGGGCATCGCAGGCGACATCCGGGGGTGGGGGGTATATTGAATGTACTATAATTTTGTTCACTACCCATGTACAATGATTCTGATCGGTCCACTCGGCGGTACCATTTTGGTGTTTACATGATCTTGCAGGGCTTAATTCGTCGGAGGAAGAAGTTGGGAAGATTAAGTCTCGCAGTCATTGTCGCTGTTGCTTCGAGAGCGCGCTGGCGATAATTTCGTGAACCGAGGATCAACAAATTGCAACACTGCACGTTCCTAATCTCAACGATGAAGAAGTAGCAGAAGACAGCTTCGAAATAAAGCTAGAAAATATACACCAGCTGAGATGGACATCGAGTGAACAAAAAAATACCACCGCCCTGGTCTCCCTAGCCTAAACCAACCCTGTAGTGGGGAGCGCCAGGAGTACCTGGCCCGTAGTCGGTAGTCTCGTGCAGCGTTGTAGTCGGTTCTCGATAAATAGAGCCGTAGCCTCCCGCTAGAGGTTTGGCCTTGGGTTCTCTTGCAGTCCGTGCCCGTTCCAACCCTCTGTCATTCCTTTTGAATAAATTCTCCGCCCATGAATGTGACTTACTATATAGGCATGTGCGCGTGCCAGGCAGCCGCGGGCTTCAATCGTCTTGTGTTTCAACCTGTACTTGAATCGAATCGTAAAAAAACCATTGCGATTGTAATTATCAGATAAAAGAAACGGAGTATATTCACTCGCATTGCGCTGGCAAGCTGCTAAGTTGTCGACATGTCAACACTAGAGACCGGTACATGAAAGATACGGGCAACTTACATTTGGCACAGCCACTCTAACTACGAATCTCAGACCCTGGCATGACTAATCATTTTTGCGTCGAGCATGCCAACACCCGTCTTACTGTCTCGGTAAGTACAACCCTTTGCTATTCGAAAAGCTAGTGCTTATAATAACCAGTGGACTTGACCCGGTGTTAGGCATTTTCACAGGTTTCTTTGCCTATTACCTTCACGAGACACATCCACGCACCGCACCCCCACCGGACAAGCGACTTGCGGCTCTCATGCAGTGGAAATGGGCAAAATGGAAGCGTGAGCGGGAGGAAAAGCTGGATGCGCTCGAGAGAGGGGCAGAAGAATCCTCTAGAGTAGTCAGTTGACAGCTCAGCTCAGTTAAGGTGCATGCCTCGGATTTATGCGCTAATAGCAGTTGGTATGTAGCAGTTAATTTTGGCATTCTTCGAACTCAATTATGTGTGCAGCGGTGGATACTATCTGCTACTGTCAAGACACGCGCTGCTCGCAGTCTTGTATTACAACAGAACCAGCGTCCAGATATTATTTCGGCTTAAAAATGTTTGGTAAAGTGTTTGCAGCTGAGAATATGACCTGTGCTGTAAATAAATGATTGATCATACGCATGAATAGGCTGTATCAATGCCATGATATGGTCGTGCACCTGTGGCCGTTACTCGGGAAAGCAAGGAGCCGCTGCTGCACGTCATCCAGGACAAGGCCGTGCACGGTTTGATCCGGTCAGAATCGTGGTGAAGTTACAGACGCTCTGCAAACCCGCTTTTGAAGCGGGTTATTGCTAAGCGTGGAGGGATACCTGCTACATCGACCAGAACAACAATGTTGAACTCCAAAAATTAGTGAGCTTCATGTTCGTCTGGTATCGCCTCTCAGCACTTGCCATCGCCAACTTATCGGATGTTCTACCTTCGTCGAAGTCTGTCGCACCCGCAAATAGCACTTGGAATACGTGAGGATGGACTGTACAGGAATTCTTCGCTCCTAATATCGTTCTTTCCTACCAATTAGAATGGACCCTGTATCTCGACGATCGCTCAAGCAGCCACAAGGAATCGTTCGCTACCATGCAGGTGTTGGAACGTTCAATAAGCATAAATAAACAGATGCTGAGTGCTCATAGGAAGGCCCACTCGGTAGACATTCTTGCTCATTCGTCCAGGAATCGTCAGGAATACAAGAGAATTGCCTCTGATCATAATATTATGGCGCAGGTCAAGATATGGCTTCTGTCCATGACATGATGGTCATCAGGACGCTGGAAATAATGCAATTGCATTGATTTCGGAGAAAGGGAGTCTCTAACGCGTTCTCATTGATACCTGCATGGGGCATACGCCTACAAATTCGTTAAATGAAATCACGTCTATCATGATGTCTCACGGAATAGAATTTACCCTATAGCTCTATAGCTATGCACATGCATCGAAAATATGTGTAAAAAAAATAGACTCGAAGTATTAACGCGGGTAGCACGGGGCTCCGCTACGAATGTGCCCAGTCTGCTTCATTTGGGTGTGGAGAACCAGATATAGGTCATTGTAGACCTCAGACTTGATAAATGTGTCTCGTAGGGATGTCCAACAACTTGTTAGTAGTAGAGACCGCATGCAATGAGCAGTGCATCTGGATTGTGATCAAACTTTATAGAGTTACCGCTTCGGGTCGCGGCGGAACGCTTGCGAGAAAAGTTTCAAAGGACTAAAAATTCGCGTGGTCACCACACCCAACTCGAAGCTTCTTTTACTGCTTCGTTGGACCCTTTCACAAACCTCTTCAGTTTAGTTAGATTCTCTCATCGAATATGTCAGAAGCTGCACTCGAACGTCAGATTCGTCCCATCTATGGTTAGCTATCGTTCACGTATGTGCAAGTCGGAACTGACCCGTGATAGATGCTTTGGACCATGGATCAAACAAGTCTGCTATCAATGCATGCAACAAAGTGCTCAAAAAGTATAATAATAATACTCTTGTCAAAGTATGTGCGTTAGTATCTCTGTGTAGGCTGTTTAACATTTCATCCGTGTAGGCTCTGAAAGCACTTGCATTGACGCGTTCGCAGAAAGTAGAGGAAGCATTGGTATTATGCGATGAGATCCTTGCTACCGTTGTTACGGATGATTCCACACTATCCGTGATGACGCACGTCCTCAAGGGCCTTGCCAGAAGTACGTGGTAGTCCCGAGTTCCTCATTGCTCGTATTGAACCCATCTTGTAACACCAGACTCCGACATGGTAGCCATGTTTGATAACGCATTCAAGCAGCAACCTCAGAGCGAGGAACTCGGTGCACAGACGTTCTTCGCTCATGTGCGAACTGGCAACTGGAAATCTTGTCAACAAGTGAGTATTTCTACATGTTCCTTCCTTTGTACACAAGTCGAATCATGTGGTCTTTAAGGTTGCAACCCGAATGCACAAGCAGTTCCAAGAGGACCGGTACGTATACTGGGCCGTGACAGGCGCAATTCTCCAGGTTTGTGCATCGTGTTGTGTTGCGAATAACACACTCTAATTGTGAGGAGTAGGCGAATGACCTTGGCACTCCTCCAAACATTCGCACATTGCTCTACAAATTGGCTCACCGTCATGTCACATCATGTCCTACGCCATCATATATGGCTGTGGACCGCTTCCACTTGCATCTGATCATTCTGCAAGAACTCCAATTGTGGGACGAAGCAAACACCTTGCTAGAAAGTGATGTCGGGAAGTCGATCTGTTCAGCCAGTCTTGTGTGTAATGAGACTCGCAGGGAAATCTGGCGCAAACGTGGTCTGTACAAGGACGAGGGGGAACGAGCTCAAGAGAAGATCAAAAACAAGTGAGCGGACATTAAGGGTTACTTCTGATATAATCTGATGTGCACTTCAGTGACCGGAATTGGCTGGAGTTCGTTTCAGTAATCGATGCCGCTTTTGCTTCAGTGCAAGGGTCCGATGTTAGCGAGGAGGGAAAGTCAGAATGTTTCGAGAACATTGCGAAAACGCGCGATTTCCTTACCAAAATCGCTGAGGTAGATGGCTCAAACAACCGTTCTGCTTCCTTGGCATTTTTGGAGCTCGAGAAAAATGCGGTTTCGCACGGAATATCCTCTGGTATGATCCTTGCCTTGGAACCTCATGCACTGATTTTAGATCTTAACAGATGAGAACACCCTGGTTGACTCGATGGAGAACTACTTCTCCCAGTTTGGCAATAAAGCGTGTTGTTTCGAAGATTTGCAGCCTTGTGTAGACCTTGGTGCTGACGCCAAATCACGATGGATAAGCTTCTTGGCATCTCAAGAATCCTCCTTTGTTAGTACTGTCTTCTTATCTGGGCTTTTCCGTGTCCTAAGCTCGTTTGGTAATGAAGGCTACTATGGGGGATCTGCAACGGGTGATAAACGTTCGGAAGTTACAACGAATCAGTCTTACGGCTTCAGAACTATCCACAGATAAAGAGCTGTGTCTGGCATCCACCTATATCAAAGAGTACATGGCCGGACTAGAATTGGGTTCTAGCTTGCCTGTAACCGAACTCCAGCCGGCCGATGATCTAGCAATCCTCGTCGGCCATGCGTTTGTTAGCCTGTGGACAATGACCAAGGACGAGAGCTATTTATACAATGCCGCCGTTGTGTTGGAGTTCGCTTTGGCGAAGAGTCGCATGTCATTCCAGATTCGGTTGCTACTTGTACGCATATACCGTTTACTTGGTATGTGTTCCTATGGATCACCCAAGGTCTTATACCAATGAATTTACAGGTGCCTCATCACTGGCTCTGGACCACTACCGTGCTATCAATATAAAACAAGTCCAAAATGATACTCTTTCCCACTTTATTCTCACACGGGCATCGACCTTCTCCCTTTCTGCAACTGGAGACCTGACATACCCCTCAGAATGTATAGAATCAAGTCAGATCTATGTTAGTAATTCCCAAGATGTGAGTATCCCTCCTGTATGTTAGCCTCCCTCTTATTGTTCATAGACACCGGATTTCATCATTCGTGCATTCACATCGGAAAAGTACAGTCAGGTTAGATTTTTTACACTCTTGTGCTTTCAGGATGGTTACCCCCCACAGATTCCAGAGTTTGTCTCCTTTGACGACAGGTTGGAGAACTCTCTCCAGCGTGACGTCGTTAAGCTTGAGCACGTTCGCATGCGGATGACGCATGAACCTATCAACTCTGATCTGATAGACATGGAACTAATAGAGCTGAAGTTTGTCTTTGATCGCTGTAAGGGCCTCCAGTATCGTACATATACGATTTTGACTCCTGTTCGCAGTTCATCATGACAACCGGGACTTCGGCATGCTACCCAATTATCAACCAGCATGTCAGCCTTCGCTAACGATCAGACCCTGATGTTTGGCAACTCGACTGGAGTATGCTGTTCATCTATGTCGACACTTGCATTTGTTGACTCCTTCTCAAATAGCAAGGATGGCTGTGGTATTTCATCAAAATCTACATCCGTGCTTTCCAGCATGCCAGTGATCTGGACGATATCGTCGAGGAGAAGCTACTAATCGGTGACCGGCCAAAGAAGAGCCCAGAACCAGAAGTCCAACTTCCTCTCAGGGAACGTTTAGCCATCCGAAAACCTGAAGAAGCAGCAGAAGTAAGATATTATGGTCGAGTTATGATTCACTCTCACAATTCGTTAGTTGACGGCTGATGAACTGCAACTCATGGAATGGGCCACTGCTCTCAGTGACTGGCTCGAGCCCTACCACAACTACACTCGCCCGCCTCCAGCGGTGGTTCTTGCTGAGGCCAACAGGCAGAATGAACTTAGGACTGGGCTTCCGCTCAGGGGCGTTGACCTCAAGGCTCTCAATGGCGACGCCCACGCCAATGGTCATGCAAAGAAGGATGAAGAAGCTCCTCCTGTGAAAGAACCGCCTCAATTGGTGGCACAGTTCTTCGAGCGTACGTTCAGTTTTTCTAGGCTGGCTCGCTGCTCACTCGTCTCACAGATATGCATGCTCGCTTCGTGCAGTTACAGCAGAGCCAGTGCCTCCCCTCAGACCTACTACATGTAGCAACACTCACCCAAGAGGTGCGCTTTCACTCGGATTCTAGTCTACGCTTTGTTCACTTCAGGTATAGGCTTTCCTTCTCTTTGCGGTGGAATCCCATCGCTTCAAGACGGCATCTGTTGTCAAGATCCACAAATTGGGGGCAGTGAGTAGGATGATAGGCTTTAATAAAAAGACACGTCTAAACCCATTGCCTTACATTCAGCTCGTGCAATTCCTCAAGGATGTTCGCTCGAAGGCCTACACGGTACTCAAGACAATGTCGAATGATCTTTTAAAGATGAGCGAGGTGGCCGGGTCGGCTGAACGACGGAAGAGCTTCGTTGAGTCTTGTAAACCCATCACGGACTTCCCGAGGGTAGGCATGCGTTTTCGATTATCAGATCTTGCTCTAACATTATTCAATAGTTGCATCATGACTTTGTGCTCAGTGTTGCAAAGAACGTTGGGGAGTCGCGTAAAAAGGTACTCGAGGGCGTTAGCAAAGGAATGGTCAAGATTTGCACCAATTATGGCCAGTGAGGCGGCCCTCTATTTTAGATACTGACATCGCACATTACTTTACACCTACACTGCTCCCCACTCACTACTCATGTTACTGCACAATACGTACTTAGGTTTGTCGGATGTAATTGTGACATCTTGAATTATGTCATGCAATACGCGTGACTTGTGACTCTACGCGTTTCTCCTCGTCTCGTGTCTTGCTCACTGCGCCATCACAATATTCACCCACTAAAAAGAACGTCGAAGAGATGAGCCAATGTAAGCAGTCCTACTATCTCTGAAAATCTCACTAATTATACTGAGAAGTTAACGACTACTACGCAAACACTGGTGCTGGAGGTGGTGGATTCATGACTGGTGGATCGCCATATGGAAGCGCAAGCGGTAGCCCGGGAGGAGCTAGTCGAGTACGTTGCATATACTCATTCCGACTCTCTACTAAACTAAGTGCAATACAGAAAAGCGAGATAGCCCACTCCTTACGACCACTGACTGTACTCCAGCTCCTAAATGCAACCCAAGCACATTCGGACGCGGAGTGGATGCTGGATGATACAGAACTCGGCCAGGTAAGTTGTATTCATCTTCGCGTAGCTAGCTGGACGAACCGTGCATTTGCAGGTCACCGTCGTCGGCCACGTCGTTTCAATACAAAGTCAAGCCACCAATAACTTATACTGGCTCGACGATGGCACGGGTCGCATCGAAGCCCGACATTGGATTGACTCCTCAATAGAAGAGAGTGAACCGGGATCAAGTGCCATCACGTAAATTTTCTCCTTCACATGTCGCAGTAAAACTAATGCGAGGACAGTGAGGGATCATACATACGCGTATCAGGCACGTTGAAAATGTTTGGCAGCAAACGATACGTAAATGCGACGCATATACGGCCAGTCAAGTCGCCTCATGAAATTTACTTCCACCTTTTGGAAGCGATGACGGTCACACTAATATGGGCGAAAGGAGCGGTACGTTAACCGAATTACGACATCACTGACCTAATCTTCATGAGCAGCCCCCTCGTGCTGGACAAAATCCGTCAACAACAATTCCACAGGCCCAGGTTGCCGGACCCCCGGCAGTCGGAGGCTCTGCATACGCAGCTCAGTCGCATCCTCCGGCTACTACCAACAACCAGTACTCCCATTTGCCGAAGTTGGAATATACGATCATAACTTTCATGCTGAGCCAACCTTCTAAAGAGGAAGGCGTGCATGTCCGTTCTATTGCGCGTGCTGTCGGGGGTAATGCTGCCGCAATTAGGTATATTGTCTCACAAGGCATGCTCAGCTCCGCTAGTCTGACGCAATCCCCAGTGATGCTTTAGATAAACTCATGGATGACGGCCTCGTCTTTACTACTATTGACGATTCGCACTTCAAGGTTGCTGATTGATGAACCCTCTATGGACATATTTCTTTGACGATGAAAGTTACTTGCGAGTACTTAGGTAGTATTGAAACTGCCGAGATTTTTGTTGAATCCTGATTGATTTAGTTTTCGGTTCGTTTCTGCGAGATTTCTAAGTATCTATATCAGTAGTTATCTCAAAACGGAATATTGTAAACATTGTTACACAGGGTCTTCAAGCTTCGAACTTCATCGAACTTCAGGCTTAGGCAATACTAGTAAGCTGGAAACGCTTTCGACACGTCTCTGTTGTGCTCACAACGATGGAAGACTACGAACCTTTGCTAGTGGAAACAACAGTCATCAAGTCATCTGAAACCGAATCAATCAGACCGATCACGGTCTACCAAGCACTGCAGGCGGAACGCCTACCCAACGATGTTCAGTTCTCGCTTGGCGGGGCCAAATTCGATAAGGCGAGTCACTTCTATTTGAATGTCTCTGAAAGATCAAACATACTCAGCGTGATCCAAATTTCTGAAGGTCCTGCTGGTCACCCATGCCATGTTACGAGATACCAGTGATGCTCGAGGCGCTTATGACCTCGATGATGGTACTGGGATGATATATGGGTCATGGGTTAACAAAGCAGGACTGGATCATGCCATGTTCTCGGCCATGATACATCAATTGTGCGTTGTGGTTTCAGGTTCCAACACAATTCGATTTTTCAATCTTATCATCATTCATCAAGCGACAACAGTCTGGCTTGTGTCATGGGCAATATTGTCCAGCGTGGCCAGCGTAAAATGGTCAATATTGAGTCCATGGTTGGGGCAGGCTATCACCAGGCTATGTATCACGCTCTCGACTGCATGAGGACAAGTTTGATGATTGAGAAGCACAAAGGACAAGTATGTGTATATTTCAGATTTATGATTGACACATGTATTCCAACTTCGTGCAGGCTCACAATACAGACGAGATGCTTGTCGTCCAAGAACTCAAAGAGGATGTGGAAGACTCGATAGCAGCCGACTCACGGGCATTCGAACAATCTTATCGTTCATTTTCATTTTTTGATCTGCCCCACAATGATGAAGGTAGAAATGTCAGCTCCCCTCAGACTCTTGCTAGGCCGTTTCTGCAGTATGGCGATCATAGTGAAGGTCTGAGTTCCGCGTCAACCTCAAAGCAATCTGCATCCCAACTTCCTGCACTACCTCTCGCACTTAAGCGTGAACCACCTCATTCTTCCATTGTTCGTGTGGCCCATCCTTGCACAGTCACGCGAACACCGAGCCCCCTTTCTTCCTTTGGCTCATCGCTCCAAATCAGTTCTCATTATACTCCACAATATTACAGCCAGCTAGCTCAATTGACAGCAACACAACTCGCTATCGTGTCCATCCTCAATCAACCCAAGGCTGATGAAATGTATGGGATTCAGATGCTTGATGTGTACAAACGCGTGAGACAGGTAATCAAGACCACTGAGGAAGAATTCAGGTAAATGGATCGCGTTCATCATCGTAATGGTCCATGGTTTATTTTATTGCGGCCAGCACCGACATAGAGTGGCTTCTTGAAGAAATATACATATTCAGCCCACTCGATGATGATCGCATTGCGCTCACGCCTCGTGCATCAGTTTAGTTTCACCATTTGTACAAATCAGTGAGTCTCACTTGAAGCAATGAAGCTCTCCTTGGGGCAATGTGCTCATGAGTATCCGTCAAGCCTCATCCAAAATTATTCAGGAATGAGACATTGGGAACCCTGGTATTCAAGTTGTGTAGTTGCGAAGTTTGTGCAAAGTCTACTTTGATTTAGATAGATTGTTTTTGGTACGCGCTTGGACGGAAAAGGCAACTCCGAAGCACCGGTGTAGTACTTTCAGCTATACCCCTGCACCCCCGGCGCTGCGTGTGCCCATCTGGCTCAATACGTACTTCTACAATATCATGCAAAGTACTAGGTCATGAATCAACCTCTATCTTGAACTCACCTTCAAGTGACTCCCAATTATCATGTCTACTTGGTATCCTTCCTGGTTCCCTGGACTTCCGTCGTTCGACTTCTCCTTACCCTCTACAATTCAGCGTCGGTTTCTTTCTTTCGTGCTCAAGAAGTCACTCGGACATCTCCTAAAGCCAGGGCAGCTCGATCTTCATCAGATAGATTCACAGATAGGCTCTGGAGTTGTACAAATAAGGGATCTTGAACTTGATGACCAGGTTCGGCTTTTATCTCTTTGTCTGACTGTCCATTCATTGACTACTGCAAAGGCGATAAATAAACTTCTTTCCGGATCACCCTTCAGGCTCTATGATGGCTCCATATCTTGTGTCACTGCACAAATACCTTTTCCCAATCCTCTCTCTTCTAGTGTAGGGCTTTCGGTACAATCGCTACACCTCACATTGCATGCCACCCCTCCATCCGACCTCGGCTCTTCAAACAGTATTGATCTTACGCAATCTGTTGCCTCAGTAGCGGAAACATTTATCCATGGCGAGCTTAGCCCTCGGGAAGAAGCCACGCTCCGAGAGTCTTTACATCCAGATTCCCGGCCACAGCACATTTATGATGAGGGTCATCATCTTCCCGGAGGACTAGATTCATCTACCCGTGCACACCCTAAAGAAGAAAGTGGTATAGATTCTGACCCTTCTGGGGTATCTCTATTTGCCACCCTCTTCGAACATCTGCTTGCACGCTTCGAGTTCTCTGCGGTGGATACGAAAATAGTCCTCGTCCACCCCGGGCACTCAAGCTTTACTCTGTCAATACCCGAAATCGCGTATAGTACGGAATCGGGTGTCCCAAAGCAGCAAAGTACTGGAGATGGGTCATCGAGCAACGTTGCTCTTGAAAGAAGCCCACAGAGTGGTCACATACGTACAGTTTCGATATCAGGTGTCGCCATTACCTCTCGGGACATTCAAGCTACTTTACAGCGCCCTGTGGCCTCGCCACGAACCATGTCGCCTGTGTCGCTTACTTCGTCTCGTGTCACGCTGCACGATCATCAACAGGCTCCTCGTCCTGTGTCACCTGCGTCCTCTTGTTCCTCCATTGATGAAGACACGCAGATGATGATGTCGCAGTCCATCGTTGCTCTTCCACCACGTAACCAGTTTCGAATTTCCCCGTCTAGCTCAGTTCTCAGTAGCATGTATCAGAGCGCGGTCTCTACTACTGGCCGCACTTCTCCAGCCATCCCCCTTGAACCCCTCGGCAACCTTGATACGGGAGATATGGCTCGACCACGCTCGTGCGATTACATAGCAGGCAATGGAGAGTCCGCTCATGTACCCCACTGGGCTACAGAAGATCTTGTTTTTTCTGTCGGTACAGACCCTATTGTGGTTCGACTACAAACGCCACCCGGCCACACTAAGCATGACCCTGCGCACACTTCGAACCCTGAGATAGCTTCGCCTCCTACGGAGAACATCGCGGTCAAACAGGACGAAACCTTGTGTCTCAGCGTCAGTGTTGGCATCATGTCCTGTGCTCTTCGGGCTTGTCATGTCCGCATGCTATTGGAAATGCTCAATTACTTGCGGATCCAAGGATGCTGGTGCCACTCCCCAACACCCTGAGACTACCCCAAGCACCCCAACCCTCCCGTGCGGCTTGCACGCAAGTCTAAACATCCGCGGAATTGTAACCCTTTTCATCACTGAGGCCCTAGATCAAGAAGTTCCTTCGCTTGAAGCATTTTTCCAATCTCCACTTGTCCCTCCAAGATTGCCTTCGACATACTTCCGCGTATTGTTGGAGAATATTGCAGGCTCTCTTGATTTATCCGGGGCTCCTGGAAATCAGACTGATGCAACACATGTTTCTCCAATAATATCTAACATATTCATCTCAAATCTCTCGGTCTTCATGTACCACTCTTCCAGGACTGTCGATAAGAACGCGGCGCAAGTTTCGCTACCCCTCCTGATTACAGACCATCATCTGCATAATCAGTATATTGTCAGTCATTGTCGCCCATTTTTCTCTTCGACGCCCATTCCGGCACAGCCGCTTTCTGAAGTAACATTACCGACTTTTGAGGTCGTTGATTGGACTTCTGTGAAACTTGCAGGAGGCTCTTCAAAGCTATCGACCTGGAGAGTGAAGTCATCTACAGGAAGGGATCAGCTAGTACACAGTCCAATATTGAAATCTTCTGCGTTTCCCACATCTCCAAAACTACCCACGGTAGCGTTGTTGAAGGAAGAAGAGCTCGAGGAGATGTCTCTTTCCAGTGCCATTACCTTCACCGCTCGTGTCACCCCTGTGACCACCCGTTCAGGGGGTTTGACCGACATCTTACTTCGGATTGCACCATTACACGTATTCTTCGACCTCGACATCATGCTGGAGGGCGGCAGTATACTCAAGTTTCTTGACGAGATCCTAGCAGTAGAAGGATCTCCCATTCGAAACACTTCCGGTACATCCCAAGGGCATAGTTCATTGGATGACACAGGAGAGAGGGATTCAGCAAGCGATGATGAACTCGACTATCCATTCATGACACCAAAGCAACTCGAACGCGAGAGGGAGAGAAGACGCTTGGAAAGACTTGTCCTCGAGGATCTGGATTTAGACATGGACTATCGGACCGGGGCACCATCGAGACAGAGACCCCACAGCAAGCGAGCTACAAATGCCAAACTCAAGGTAGATGAGAGCATAATCTGCATTTGTGGGTTATATATCTGACTTATCATTGTAGTCCAAACCCAAGCAGGTGTCGCGTCCTAAAATCACCGTTGTCCTACCTGCCCTCCGCGCTGAGGTTCGATGCAGATCACCATCCCTTCAGCTCTCCCGATCAGGAGGCATTATACTGGATCTCCATGACGTACGGGTGTCTAATACACCCCTTGATCAAGAACCACCGACTATCAGATTTGGGGATGATGGTGAATCAAGGAATCCCAGCGTCAAAAATTTGCCGGGACAACTCTTGAGTGGCCAGATCAGAGGGATTGTTTTATCGTATGCGCCAGTAGGAGATTCAAAAGCCCATGCCTTCATATCACTGGGTTCCTTGCCACGAACGGATGACGTTCGCCCCGGATCAGCTTCATTGCTATTGTCGGAACAGGCGCCGGACTCACTTCCCATTCACTTTCAACTTACGCAGGTGGCTCCATCAAAGTCTGCTATTTCTTCCTCGACACACAGGACTTCAATCATCATCAACGTTCCATTGGTCAACGTCGTCCTTGAAAAACAAATCTTCGATGGATTGCAAATTTGGGCTGACAGTGTCACACAAGCAGTCACCGCTGCCACGGAGGAGACAGAGACTGAAGTTGCTCAGAGCCGCAACCCGAGCCTGATTGGCAGTAGGTTTTTCGCCAAATCAAGGCGCGTTGGGAGTCGTGGTAGTGACGAGAGCAGCTTCGGTACTATAGCGCCAACGCCGAAACAAAGCGAGACAGCTGTGAAAGTGATCATTACTGAAGGTAGAGTGGATTTTGGGTTTAGTGATTGCTCACGTTCATATCTTCGAAATGCAGCTCTAGTAAGAATACTGACATCCCGTTCCCAATCATCTGCATCGTCAATTCGTCCTTTCGACATATCCGCCTCAGACATCGATGTTCTTGTTGAACTAAAACCTGAAGGCAAGGTTTGTAGAATCGTGAAGATATAATTTCGATATCTCACCTCGACTTCGTTTTCTTTCAATCAGGATGAGACTGTCATAACCTCAAGCTTGATGGACCTTCACGTTGGGGAGGTATCGCCAGAGTGGGAGCTCGTACCTCTCCTCGTGTTGACATTACCTCGCAGTCTGGTGCGTTGTGTAGATTATTTATTGTAGCTGCGTCCCTCACGAAAGTCTAGTCCTCTGTGCCAAGACCAATGGTAAAGGCTCGCTTCACTTCCCTCGTTGTTCCCGAAACTGGTGCAAAGGAGACCAAGATACGATTGGCTCTCTGGGGCTTCACTTGCCATGTTTATTCCAATCTGCAGTGGATTTCGGACTTGGCTCGGTTTATGAAAGCTCCGCCAGGAGTAAGTGTACCTTCCCCGGAGTAGAATAGATTAATGATCTTTTCAAGGTCTTCGAATCAGTTGTTCCTTCCGAACGAACGTCTCTTTCTTTCGCAATTGTAGACGTATCAATCAAGACATATGCCCCTAGCCACCCTGGCTCTGCAGTACTGTACATTGGCGAAGCCGACCTAAATACCGAGCTTGCTGGTAATTCCAGCGAGTTCAAGTTCAAGCTGCTAGTTCCTTCCTTGTCATTCTTATTTGTCGATTCCATGGCCGAATTCCCTGACGGTCCAGGTTCTGCCAAAACAAACGGAGGATCCAGTCTCAATTTGTGGAAGGTGAATTCTCCTTCAGCTCACAAGTAAAACAATGCGATGATACTCGTTCACAGAATTTCGGGTTTGCATTGATTGCAGATATCGCAGATCTGGACTTTGTGTTCAAGACTGACAATGCATATGTCCCTCCAAGTGTTGGCGTAAGTCGCAGTGTGCTGGGTCACCTTTTGCCACTCAATCAAATCTAGGTGCTTGTGAATCAAGTCAGCTTACGGGTCCACCTATGTGCAGACACTATAGCTGCACTGACAGGTTATATGAGTGACTTCACGTCCATATTCAAGTCCCCTTCTCCCGCAGAGTACGTGATTATTCAAACTTTCTATATCACAATGTCGCTTATAATCATTCCACAGACCAGCAGTGTCTAAGAAGAAAGTTCCCGCTTCACTTGTTCATCGTCCACCTGAACAAGGCATGATGGGTGATTGTTGTTGTTGTTGTTGCAGAAGATGCGAGGGTAACTGAATATTTTTCCAGCATCTCTCGACGAGCAAGCTTTCAGGCGGATTCCTGATGTCGGCAATGCAGCTGATATGATCAACGATGATTTACCGACGAATCTCGACTACCTGGACGAATCCTTTGGTTCAGCTGCTGGTCTGCGGGAGCTTAGGGATGATGACCTAGAAGACTTCGATATGCAAGAGGACGGCCGAACAACACCAGTAGCTGGCGAAACGGGGGTCGTTTCCAAAGTAGGAGGAGAAACAATCCGCATCATCAAGCCTATCCGCTCTATCGAGCATTATTACGACACGATTCCTGCAGATAACACGGGTGATTTTGCTAGGTAAGTTTTCGCCTTTGACTTGTATTTTCTATGATCGAGCTATCGGGCAGTCTACGTGATACTATTCTCCGAGTGCGCATCCATGACTCTGACATATCACTTTTCCTACACGACGGTTATGATTGGCCACGCACACGAAAAATTGTAGAGCAAGAAATTAAAGACATGCGCAAGAAGTTGGCCAAGATTAGGCAGCTGATCGCAACTGGTCAGACCCAAGACCCCAGCGTGGAAGAGACAAGCACGATGTTGTTCAACTCAATTCACATCGGCCTTGATCAGGACTTTGACAGTCTTGATCCGACAGCTCTTGTTGCTGCCATTGATGATGAACTCGAGAACGCGGAAACAGAAAGCCACAGCTCTTGGCAAACCCTTCCTCCAGCATCACCTGGACAACAACAGAGAATGCCTTCCGCTCGCATTCATGGGCGAAGATTGACAAGGTCTAAGGGCCCGAGTATCGAAATCAAGCTAATTGGCCTAGATGCTGAAGTCGATAATTATCGTCATCGTCTGAAAGATCCACTCGTCTCCAGGACGCTGGTTGTAATAAAGGATGCTGAAATATTGGACCACGTCAAAACGTCCACCTGGAGAAAATTCCTGACAGAACTACGGTCGGACTCTCGAGGCAATATTCGCGAGACGGACTCTAGTATGGTTCGCGTCGAGATCAAGACTGTCCGGCCGTCTCTTTCCCATCCATCTGAGGAAACACGTTTACGCGTGAGTACTTGTTCAGTTAAGACGTACTGACAGGGCTGAGTCGATGTTCCCGTAGGCTAAACTCCTGCCGTTGCGATTATATGTTGATCAGGATGCACTCGACTTTCTGAAGAAATTTTTTGCTTTCAAGGATCCCGATAGTCCGTCCGCACCCGCCAATACTGCCAGCGAGGACACATATATTCGTACGTTCCTGATTCGAACGCTGAATGGATGGCTATATTGACCCTTGTCCGCAGAGCACGCCGAGGTCTTCCCGATTGATCTTAAGCTTGATTACAAACCTCGACGCGTGGATTACAGGGCTCTGCGAGAGGGAAAAACGATCGAGCTTATGAACTTTTTCCATTTTGATGGCGCGGAGATGACTTTGAGACACCTGACTTTGCATGGGGTACGTACTGCTTTGGTACGTTGTTTCATGACTTGACTGGCTTTCATAGATCACGGGTTGGCCCCGGTTTTTCGATACATTGAACGACCTCTGGACGCCAGATGTCAAGGCAACCCAACTTGTGGACGTCATTTCTGGCGTAGCACCCATCCGTTCTATGGTCAATGTTGGCTCTGGAGTAGCAGACCTCGTTTTACTACCTATTGCGCAGTACAAGAAGGATGGACGCATCGTCCGCGGTGTCCAGAAGGGTACCAAGGCATTCGTACAATCAACTGCAATGGAGGCTATCAAGCTTGGAGCTCGGCTGGCAACCGGTACTCAAGTCATTCTGGAGCAAGCTGAAAACGTGCTCGGAGGCCAATTCAAGGATTCCGTTACGGCCGAAACGTTCCACATACCGTATGACGATTCTGGAGAAGGACCGGATGAAGAATTGATCAGTAGATATGCCGCCCAGCCCGCTGATGTCACAGAGGGAGTTCAATCGGCATATCGCAGCTTGCAAAGAAACTTGCATTCTGCTGCGCAGACAATATTGGCGGTTCCTATGGAAGTGTACGAGAAGTCCGGAAACGAAGTGAGTGGTATCTATAATATTTGCTCGATTCCAAGCTGACATGGAGAAGGGTGCGGTCCGGGCTGTGGTGCGAGCTGTGCCAATTGCAGTCTTGAAGCCCATGATTGGCGCTTCGGAAGCAGTCAGCAAAACTTTGATGGGACTTCATAATACCCTGGACCCGAACGTTCGCCATGAGAATGCGGCAAAGTATAAACATCGCTAACATTCTGTTCACGCACTGTAGTATATCATCGTGGTTGTATTAGGACTTGTATCTCATGATGTATCATCCCCATCATTAGCCTGTATGCGCAGATCGTTAATCTATGCACTGTTCCTCTGTCAACGGAGTGTTATTTCAGAAAAGGACCACAAATAACTGCTGGTTGCGTTCAGTACCGTAACTGTTTCAAGTTCTTAGTGCTGTAAATTGCCTGCGCTGTTAAATAGCAGGAATTGATGTTACTCACACTCCTATGCTTTATGGAGAATAGGGGGTTCAAGCTTCAAGCTTCAAGACCCTCGATCGGGTGAATTGGGGGGCAAGTCCTTGATCATCAAAAGAAGGATCAGATCAGATGCTGACGAAGTTAACTGTAGTCGTTAACTCCGCAGAAACGTGCTGATTTGATGTTCTATCTGGGTAGCTTTGGAAGCCGCGTGTGACCCGGTGGGCTCGTATCAATATGGTTTGATCTAGCGACTTAAGTATACGATCACCGCGGAAACGAGCTTGAAGCTAGCGATGAAGACAATAGCTGATGCTGGGAAATTTTGGCCGAGTATCAGAGAACGGCCACCGACCCTCGATCCAATATGTGCTAGGGTGGGATAGTCACCTAACCCGTTAGCAAAATCACACCTGAACACGCTTTTAAATGAAATTCGCGTCTTCTAGTGCTTCAAGTTCTAGGTGTTCCCCATTGACAGGCCTCACTTGACAGCTACCCAGCGGTTCAACCCACTAGTGACTACATGCACTGTAAGTGGGTCAAATGAGCAGCGCTACTAGTTAGTACTACATCCCACGAAGAAAACGACGGTCCAAATTGCAACCTCGATAGCTTCAGGCTTCGGAGTACCTTTCCTTGAACAGGTGCTGCTCATCAACAACGCACTGGCATGCAGCTCGCTTGGTTATCAAGGCTAAAGAACCTATCGAAGAAGTTGGGACCATGACTCAGAGATTTTACGGCCCCTGAGAAAGGCGCAACCCGTTAGCTAAAAGCAGGTGGGGCAGGTAGGCAGCTGTTACGAGGTTGCCTGGTTAGAGAGACTTGACGAAAAAACAACCAAGAAACTTACCTCATACAAACTCGAGGGTCGGGTTATGTAGATGTGAGGGTGGATATCGTTGGGTTATGAGTGTTAACACGGTGAAGAGAAAGGTGAAAACTCAAGTCTGCATTGTATCGGGTTAGGACACTTTACTTTCGAACCAAGATCTCGTTTACTCGCAACTCCCAGATGCTCGAATTTTCATCCACGTCGAGTATGAGTCTGGAATAGGTCTTACATCTGGGTTATACACCTAAACACCCTCGGATTACGCTGGAGCTAAAATTCCATGCCCATCGAGCGCTCTTCTCCTTTCATAAGTGCAGTTCTGCTTTTTGCTGGCACTTTTATTTTATCTAGTACTTCAATGGTTTCCTCCATTGCAGTTGGCTCGAGCAGTTTGACAGACACCGACTTCGCAGCCAACTTCTTCGTCCTGTGCGCGCGTTGTTTTTCCCGAGCAACTGACATTCTGCAATAATAGAAGTCAGTGTGGGAGACGAACACTTGAGTACAGAAAGTACGGACCTTGACTTCCAGAATGCGTGCTCTCTCCGCTGTTTAATCTCTCCAGATGCGTTTCATAGCGTTGATTGTCGTATGTATCAATTCGCGATCGTAGCGGACAGGAACGTTTCTACGCTTCTCAAAGTCGATCGTAGAGTCCTTGTCGCGAGAAGTGAGTAGAAGTTTCTTTAGATCGAGAAAACAAACATACAATCGTCATTTCCTTCCCTGCTGCTTTACGGAAAGCCTTCGTCCATCTTACTTTGCGAGGATTTCGTTTCATTCTAGGAGGACATTAGACATGGGTCGAAAAATATAGCTGAGAAGTAGCTTGCTTGAAGTTTTTGTGACATCTGGCGGTTTGGTTCAATAACGCACACTCTGGTTTTCTATCATGGGACTCACTTTGAAGTGCAAAACCGGAATACCTTCGAATCATTGCGGACGAAGGCACTTCCTGAACATGCTGTGAGATGTTGTACTGATAGTCTCATGTTTCTATTGCTCACCGTGCCCAGGATACACGTTCGTTGAGCAAAAATAACATTTCTCGATACGCATGTCTGCTTGCTACACCTGTGGGCGAAGAAAGGATAGCCGTGGGAAAAAATACTATCGCCGAGAACACGGAGCCAAGTTATCCGCGCGGATCATTCGTTGACGGGCTATATCTTAGAGTACTCGCAATATTTTCATCGCCAATCGTGACTAGTATATTACTCAATGAGCACAGGCTCAACATGATGCCCGTTCTATCATTGTTTCAACTTCTCGACCAACTCTGGCACTACCTCGAAAAGGTCTGCTACTAATCCTACGTCCGCCACTTGGAAGATGGGTGCGTCGGGATCCTGAAGACGAATTACAGGGGTTTGACAGTGTTGTAAAGATGCACTTACCTTATTTACTGCCACAATGAGTTTGGAATCCTTCATGCCAGCAAGATGCTGGATAGCACCAGAAATGCCCAATGCCATGTACAGTTCAGGAGCCACCACCTTTCCTGTCTGTCCAACTTGTAGGGAGTTGTCTGCGTACCCTGCATCCACAGCAGCACGCGATGCTCCAACCGCAGCACCAAGTGCATCAGCAAGAGGATACAAAGTAGATTGGAAGGTCTCGGCATTCTTCAATGCGCGTCCCCCAGAAACAACACGGCTTGCAACACCCAAGTCAGGGCGATCGGATTTCGTCAAAGATGTGCTAATATGTTCCGTGGGTACATCGGATACCTCAACAGAATCGAGAGCGTTGACTTCGCTCTCTGCCGCATCTCCTGCTCCAGCAGCCGCAAATGCGGTAGATCGGACAGTGAAAAACTTGATGGGGATGGAGGAGGATGCACGAACAGTAGAGATAGCGTTACCGGCGTAGATGAGACGGGTGAAGGTAGTGCTTCCCGATGCTGCGTCGTGTTCAAGGGATGTGATATCAGATACGGCCGGAACATCTAGTTTTGCTGCGACTCGAGGCAGAATAGACTTGGCAGAGCTGGAGTGAGCTGAAACGACATGCGTGAAGGGCGAGTTTTGTGATAAGAGCTTCTCTAAGAGTGGAGATACGGTCTCAGGTAACGGCGTGCTGTACTGTGGGGATGCGCAATGCAGCAGTGTATTCAAGCCGTTTAATCTAGAAGGGATTAGCGATGGACCTGAGGAAGTTCAAAAGCGTACCTCCTAGCCTTCTCTACAACAGACGGCACCTCTTCGGGGCTACCCACGACAAGGCCAGTGACTTGACCGCCCAATTGAGATGCTGCCGTCAAGGCAGAAAGTGATGCGGAGTCAAGATCACCCTGGCGGTGCTCCAAAAAGACCAAAGCATGGGGTGGGGCAGCTGTCGCATAGCTACGAGCGAGAACCCTGTTTAGCTGTGAAATCTGTACTCTCAACATGTTGAGCTGAGGGCTTTGCCGAAGAAGATTCAGATAACGAAATAGTTTATGCTAAGTCTCTATATATACATGCCATTTTTGTACTTAACAGTTACTCAATCAGTTTCGTCATTTCTTTTTTTTGGACTAGCCTTTCTACTAGTAACAGTCAATCGTAGCGGTGCGCGTGCGTGCACCAAGTCTTGGATCGACTTCCTCGGAATACTCTGCGCAAAACTCAATATGAGTCTATATTTGATTACTCGTACATGAATGCCTAAAACCAGTCTCGTATCTCATCATTTATATAATGGCATGCCGAGTTTCCCACTCACATGGCGGCATCTCCAGCGTCCGGACCAAGCGTTAGTGATCTCAAAGCTGGATGGGTAATTTAGCCAATCGGCCTCTCACCGGCACCCTTGAACTACTTTCTCCACGTCTAGTTGCTCCGGAACTACTAATACTGCCATGGTGCATAACGTTCTAGAATCATCAAAAAAGACAGGCTGCTGTGCGAAATCAATATACAGGTGCCTGGATATTCCCTACAAAGCCCTCCAGGGATGAGGTTTTTTTATATGAAGCAAGATATCGGAGTAAGCTGAGTCTGAGATCTGATTGTGTGCCGAAGTGCAAAGATTACAGGCAAAGACATATTACTGATATCGGATTGGAACGAAGATGGACGGCAGAAGCTCTTTCTCGAGCTTGCTTCATGGGACCCTATCCTACCAACTCCATATTTTTCTGATCAGCTCTTTTCACCTGCTGTTGACCGAGATGCGGATAGCGGAGTGTCGGCAAGTCGTTCGGCTGCTCGTGTTTCAGGGATAGCATACAAACCTTACTTGACCAGTTTAAGTATTTCGTTCTGCGCACTGCACTCTGACTTCCCACAGCATTCTAGATTTTGATTCAAACCCTAAAAGTCAGAGTATCGTCTCGCTAGAAATAAGTCGCAGACCAAGTGTCTAATGGTACTACAGTGTTGCAACGTTGAGACCTAGGCGCCAGAGTGCATGCAAGCGACGGTCATAACATAGTCACAGAGTTTGAAAGGCTCATTATGTTTAAACACCCTTTTAGATGTCACTTTAGAACAGGGCAGCATGCGGACTTGCAAAACACGAACGTTTGACATCGGCGCGTCGGCACGAGGACTCTGAAATGTAGATTTCGATTTAGAACGACGTTCAGAATAAACATTGCGGGAAGTCCTAGTGATCCATAGAGTAGAGGGTTACTAAGTAGCTCGCTGATAGCGGCACCTAGTAAGTTTACGGGTCCGCTTTGTCATTTTTGTTGACTCTTCGTCAATGTGACGGCGCCCTCGACTCCTCTGATCACGTGCAGTGATTCCACGTCGCGTCTCATTCAAGCAACTTATCAAACTGCATTCGATAAGTTTCCAACCTCGACCATATCGTTCTTTCCGTGCCTCTCTGTACTATGTTGTATAAGCTACTTTGTTTAATTAATGTGTTATTGCTCACCAGTGCACCCGTCGACGAGAACTTCGCGTTCTCATCACTTCCGGTTTGCATACTGGCTGACTACCAGCTATGCTTTATCGTCTCCTGTCCCATGAGAAATTCCCTGACAGATGTCCTGGAATCCCTCATCTATGTCTGTAATATTTCTTCTGTCCTGACAGACATCAAAATGCACTACGCGTGATTGGCGGGGCCCTCCACCTGGGCTTGCAGATAAGCCGTTTTTGGGGTGTTCAGCGTTGAGCGCTCAGGCACCAAATTGGCTTGTTGTGAGCGCGTTCAACTGCCGCAGAAACTGCACCAGAATGTCTGAAACTCACTCATAAGGGACGGTGATGACAGACAAGCGAGGGATTGAAATAGGCAGATGCAAAAGATATGCGGGGTCTTAAAGTGATGGTATCCTCAGGTCCACCACAATATATAGGGGAATCAGATATGTCATGAATGACAGTGTCCGCTCGTCGAACAGATGAGTGGCGCGGGACGGAGCCTTGACGATAGACGGCCTGTAAAATATCTAGAAGGCAAAGAATAAACTTGGCAGATCGGAGGGGGAGAACAAGGAGAATACGAACTCGGCAGGTACTCGCGTCCATAGCGGTAGAAGATGAGACTGAATAAAGGTAATGAGCAGCGTGACATACTAGATGAGGCACAAGTAATCAGCCCATTTAATTGGTGGACGAGAGTCTGATGGATTACGCGATCGGCGGCCTAATTTCTCCCGTAAGCGGAACTTCATAGTCAAATTTGCGGTCAACCTCCTCGAGCACACCGTGACTTCGTGGGAGTCCAAGGGAACCTATCATCGACTGTCCATTTGTTATAAACTGGGGAGTACGCAACGGTTTATCGCAATCCTATGATCATCTGTCGCCTTGATGAGTCACCGGTATCGGCCCACTATCCTATTCTTACATCCCCCGCATCTTCGTTATCGCGAAGTTCACAATATAAACTGGAATATATATACCTCACAGGTTAGCATTGTAGTACCAACCGTCTATTCATTTCTGAACCCGTTCTTCTACTCGTGCTGGCGACCTCGAGCTGCTTGCTAAATAGTAGACGTTCATAACTTCGTTCTCACTCATTCACTACTACCGCCAAGGTCAGTCAACTCAGTCCAACTTCAAACCACATTCAATCACTCACAGGCGTCTGATCACAGACTAAGAGATGGACTTGGATGTGCACGCGCTTCTAACAGGTTACCAACATCTCCCATTTCCCGACCTTTCTGATAGTCGCGTTCATGATCGTTCTACTACCTACCTCAAGTCAGCATCTCTCAACTTGATGGCTTTCCAGGACTGCGGTATAGACATACCAGGATCCGCTGCCCTACTCCTCGCCTCCTTTTGTAACATATTAGGTTTGTACTGTGCATCCTCGGACATCTTGGTCGGGATTCTATCAGCAGGCACAATTCTCCCCTGTCGTTTCTGTTGGAATGCCGAAACGGTTTGGGGAGATCTAGTGGATGAGGCTCGTCATTCACTGGATAGAATCGCGGGTCCAAATATCACAGAGTCTGAGTTGAAGACTGAGCTCGGCTTGAACGAGGACCAATCACCGTTTACTGCTCTCTTCGTCCTTGATGACTCTCGACCAGAGAACGCATACATCCCCGACGACCTTCTTGGATCTCCTCTACTTTTGTTCAATCCTTCGGCAGCTTTGTTGTCTGTCTGGACATCATCGCGCCTTGTACACCCTACCGTAGCTGATCAGCTACTTTCCCAAATTGTGGTTTCGTCGGTGCACGCAGCTCAAAATCCCATCTCAAAGATCTCATCACCTCCTCCCTACCCAGCTAATGTTGCGTCTGCTGTTCAGTGTCTTTCCTCCGAGGCTCGTGCGTCCGTTTACCAACATATCCGTCCTGTTACCATTGCCACAGACTTCATCCTCCCCTACGTCCAAGTCGATCCCAATGCCCTAGCAGTGTGTTGGTACCCTAATTTGGCAGCAGGACCTAGAGACAATCTCGTTCCCGAAACGTTGTCTTATGGCGATCTCCATGTCCAAGCCAACAAATTAGGTCGATACCTCATATCTCAGCAGTTGAAGCCCGAGGACAGGGTTGCTGTGTGCATGGATCGCAACACGCTGTTTCACATAGTCTTGTTTGGAATCTTGCGTGCCGGAGGTTGTTATGTTCCGGTTGGTATCAAGAAATTATCATCCTTATATGCGCTGACTTAATGCGAAGATTGATCCCGAGCTTCCGGACGAAAGGAAGTCATACATCGCAAAGGACTCGGGTGCTAGATTTGTCATTTTGGAGTCTCATAGGCACTCTCCTGAGATATACGGGGGCAATGTCCTCGATCTTGACGATGATCATATTTCGCGAGACATACAGGCAATGACTACAGCAGATCTAGATGTCGCACTTCCAAACAATCTGGCGTACATGCTCTACACATCTGGTAAACAACATCAGAAAATCCATTTATGTCCAGTGAATCTAACAACTGATTTAGGCACCACTGGCACTCCAAAAGGCTGTCTTCTCGCCCATGAAGGTCTCGCTGAAGCGATACTAGCGTTAAGCTCCTTCTCCGCTGCTGTCCATATGGACAATATTCGAGATGGAAGGTATCTCGGCGTTGCCTGTAGGAACAATCTTTCCCCCTCATGTATTCTCCTAACTTGGGCTCCGAACCATAGCTGTTGCGTTTGATGTACATCTCTCGGAGACCTTGTGTGCCTCTCTCTGGGCATGTTGATGATTTCTGCGCCACGCGGAATACTGTTGGAGAACCTTCCATATTATATCAGTCTTTTGGGCATCACGCACGTTGGAATCGTGCCCAGCTTGATTGACGCGACCATGGGCACTATTCAAGAAGACGAAGCGATGGGTGGCTCGAAATTGCGATTCATCGGCAGTGGTGGAGAGAAAATCAGTGACACAGTGAGGGTCTTACATCTCAATGCCCTACGGATCCTGAAAGGCGGATGGTAGATTCTAGAAAAGTGGGCGGATCATCCCAAAGTCAGACTTGCGAACTTCTACGGGTAATTGACTAATTCCCTCCTACCGCCAATTTTTTTCTCACCACATCCCCCAGACCCAGCGAGGTGACCATAGGATGTTGTGCTCGTTTTATGGATAGCAACACACCCAAAGGCAACGTTGGACGAGCCTTCAGCAATGTTGCGGCTTATGTCGTTGATCAACATCTCGATATATTGCCGCGGGGAGCCGTCGGAGAGCTCGTCGTTGGTGGCCCCCTTGTCGGGCGCGGTTACCATGGACGCCCGGATCTGACGGATAAAGTATTCATTGAATGGCCGCAGAAGGGTTCTTGGGCATATCGCACAGGGGATCTAGCGCGAATGATGCCTGATGATACATTGGAAATAATTGGCAGAATCGATACTCAGATCAAGCTACGCGGGGTGCGCATCGAGGCGGAAGGGATATCCGCTGTGCTTCAGCGAGCTGCTCGGTCCTGCCTGCAGTTCAACCTTGATGTTGGGACCATTCTTGGGACCCATCCGGAGATTGGAGGTGGCAGCTCACCGCAGCTAGTCTCTTTCATTTCCTGGGACACAGGAGTATCAATCACTACGAGACGGGGCGGTTCTAGGCCTGCACTAGTGAAGTCCGGAAGGGACCTGTTGCGCGTTCTGCGTGATGCCTGTGAAAAGGAACTCGCCAGTTATATGCGCCCTGCCCATATAATAGCCCTCAGTTGGCTTCCCCTCAGTGCTAACGGCAAAGCGGACATCAAAGTCTTGGCCTCCATCTTTTCAAGACTAGATTTTAACGAACTGATCGGACTTCAAGACCCTACTGGCCACGTTGACGACCCAGACAGCGATAGCCCTGCTTCTGACCTCGAGGAACGGATACTAGAGCTCTTGAGAGAAAGCTTTGCGATTGCGAGCTCCGGTGGATCTGTTGGTGTACACACTAGCTTATTCGCGCTTGGAATGGACTCATTGTCACTTGCGCGGTTTGCATCCATACTCAGGAGGGCCTTCAATATCAACATAACAGTCGCAGAAATCATGAAGTCTCCCACCGTTCGGGGTCTGTCTACTCGATTGGGAGATCTTGTTGTTTCGCGACCAGGAGCAGATGTACCGGATATCGACAACTTCTCGTCACTATGGATGCCAGAAATTCGGAAGAAAATGCCGCATCTCAACATAGAGCGTGTTCTTCCTTCTTATCCTATCCAGGAGGGTGTTCTGTATCGTTCTGAGAGCGCGCCAACGATGTGTGTGCAGCATATCGTGATGCGAGTTCGAGATGATGTCTCTATACCGCAATTGCATAGCGCCTGGGAGAAAGCAGTGGCAGATATCGATGTTCTAAGGTTTGAACATTACCCTGTCTCCGAATTTCTCTCATGATATCATAATAGGACTGTATTTTTCTTTGGCAAGACCCTGGTCCAGGTGCTTTTGTCGCGTGCAACCTGTCACCTTCATTGGGAGGAGTCTTCCGTTGCAGCGAGCGACAGTGAAACCTTTGCCAACCATTTCTTTGATGAAGAAGCCACGAGAGTTTCTGTGGAAATCAACACCCTTATCACTTCTGTACCGCCCGTTCGTCTTCGGCTCTACCACCAATCCTACGGCACTTACATTGTACTATCCATTCATCACGCATTGTTCGACGCTATTTCTCTGCCTCGCATACTGAAGTACGTCGAGGACGCATATCTTGACAAGCCGCTTCAGAATCTAACCCCTCCCAATCAAATATTGGAACACACAACGTTTCGGGACCTGACTCCTGCTCGAGAGTATTGGACGTCGACTCTTCGTGATTTTAACTGGTCTTACCGCAATTTGATGGATGTGACTCAATCGGCTTCTCCTAAACGGATCTCCATAACTCTTGATACGCCGCTTTCATACTTCCAACAAATGCTTGCCCATTGCCAAGTTACATTGCAGGCCGCGTTGACTTGCACATTTGCTTCGATTCTCGCAAACCGCTTGTGCCTGTCCGACGACTTAATCTTTGGGGTAAGCCTTACCGTGCTTGAGCTGAGCATCACTGACTGTGCAGCTTAGATCATTAGATCGGGGAGGTTAGCACCTGTCGAGGGTATGGGCGACGCCCTCGTCCCTCTGCTATCTCTTGTCCCTATGCGCGTCAACCTCAACAACCCCGATTGTCTTCGTCAAGTCCAGGATGACATCATTAGTGCGATTCCATTCGAAAATGTTCCTCTTGGGCAGGTGCAGAAATGGGTTAGACCGGGTGCTGGTTTATTCGACATTCTTTTCTCGGTCATATACAAAGACCAGCCTGCGTACGAGCTTTTTGATGTCGTGCGAAGTGAATTGCCTCAACCTGACGTGAGTCTTCTGTCTCATACTTCATCATGCTTAGCCTTAGCCACCGTCATCCAGTTCTTCCTGTCTGTGGAAGTTGTAGTGGATGTCTCAACAGATCAGCTCATTCTTCAGGCAGCCTTCTATGATGACGGATCCCAGGCTGCCGATATTGAATCGATGCTTCTTCAATTTGAGTCTGAGGCTCGCGGTGTCGTGACTTCTGGAGTGCCCCATGTCACTGTTCCACAAAAGTCCCTAGTCAATCGAGCGGAATCCACACCACCGGTCAATACCACCAATGGCACACACAATTCTAATGGGGAAAGGGGCATCAGTGTAGCCCTGCACTCCGTGAGGAAGATCATAGCTGAGTTTTTGGGTGTTGATCCCCAACGGCTGTGGTCGAGAACATCATTTATTGCCCTGGGCCTCGATTCCATCAGGTCGGTGGGGCTTTCGCGAGCACTCAGGGAAGAAGGATACCATGTAACTGCAGCAGAACTTATGAAGTCCGCATGTCTGGCTGAACTAGAGTCCTTACCGATGCTACTTCAAGATGCTAGTCGTGCACAGTTGGAGTTGGAAGCCCAGAATCTATTTCAAGAACAATGTCGTATACTGGAGTCCCATTTTGACGTCGCCACCTGTCGGTTTTCTGATCGCGATGAAGCCAGGATACTTCCAACGACCGCTTTGCAGGCAGGGATGTTATCACAGGTAACAAATAACTCTTCTTCTTTGAGTGTAGTTACTGATATGCTGCTTCATCAGACGGTCATCTCCTCAGGCTTGCTCTATAATCATGTATTCATGTTCAAGTTGGCATCTTCCGTGGAGCACGCCCGTCTTCGGCAAGCTTGTCAATCCATTGTCACGAGCTTTGACATCTTCAGGACAACATTCCACTACATCGTCGACCTGGGGAAATGGGCACAAGTTTCGCATTCTGATGCGCCCATGGTTTGGATCGAGGTCCGCCTGCACGCTGGAGAATCTCTAGATGCGATGATCAAAACTGTCACCGCATCGACGAGCGTATCAGAGCAGGGATCGTCCAAGCCTTCATTGGCCTTTTGTTTGGTCGAACAGCAGGAAGACGCTGGGACCAAGAACTATTCCCTTGCAATTGCCATGCATCATGCTATATATGATGGTATTTCCATTGGAGCGCTGCTCGAAGAGTTGGAGCGGGCGTATCAAGCCCATTCTTCCACGAAAATACCTCAATTCTATGACGTGCTTCCTTTGATACTACGCGAAGAACATCAAAGCATTCCCTTTTGGGTCCAACATCTGCAAGATTTTCGTCCTGTTCCACTACCTCGCGCGGAGTCTAGTACACAGCCTTCCTCGGTCGTCTATTCTCGTCGATTGAAGCTGGACCACAATGTCCTGAAGACTGGCTGCCAGTGGTGCGGGTGTTACTCTTCAGTGTTTGGGGCAGGCAGCTTGGTCAAAGTTCATCTCATCAAAAGTGTCTTCCTGGGATATAATGTTCGGGCACGTTGTCTCTGGACGCTCTTTTCCAGGCTACGAAGACGTTATTGGACCCATGTTGGTACGTATTTTGACCGAGGGGCAGCCTTACATGCACTGACTATGCGGGGTGTAGAACACTATACCGTGTCGTGTTCGTATCGGCGAAACCACAACAAATAGGGACTTATTGCGTTATATCCATGCAAATAACTTGGCTGCGTTAGAGTGGCAACACGCTTCACTTCGTGACATACAATCCGAGACGGGGCTCTTTGAACTATGGGACAGCATATTTGTGTTTCAACCTCTAAAGTCCAAATCTTCAAGTCCTTTGTGGAGTTTGCTCAATCCAGACGAGTCTGAAGCCAACATCCAGGTACGTACTTCGCCACTTCTGTATACCTCTACTAATTGGGCTACTTTAGTATCCATTAAACTGCGAGTTTCACGAAATGGATGATGGATTTTCTGTGACGTTGGCTTGCATGTCAAATATCATGGATCCGGAGTCTTTGGATCATGAAATGTCGCGGCTTGAGGCCTTCCTCAGTACCATTATATCCCAACCGAATGCTAAGGCCGTCGCAGATCTTCCCTTTGACGGCAGAAAGCTTCCCCTCCATAGCGATGTGTCGACCGCCAGTATCGCACCCCGCAGAGGAATAGACCATTTACCTCCTGCGTTAGTCAACGTCCTAACTTCTGTCGCCAAATGTTCTGTCGACAAGTTGGACCCGGACAGACCAATTGCAGCTATTGGGATTGACTCTATCACAGCGATTCAGCTCAGTGCAAAATGCAGGGAGGCAGGAATCGCGTTGAGCATTGCGGATATTATCGCTTGCCGTACAATCGGTGATTTGGCTGCCAGGGTGGTCGAAGTGGAGACACAGCCAAAGACCCATCCACCGCGACTGGATTATTTAGCCCCTGAGATCGATTTCCAAGCTTTCGCTGACAGATTCCCATCCGACCGGCGCGGAGACCTCACGATTGCTCGGGCAACCTCTGGCATGAAATGGCTCATTTGCGCTTGGCAAAGAAGTCATTATGCGCGATTTCAACATGTGTTCGCCTGGAGAATGACCCAGAAAATTGATCCTGAACGACTACATAGCTCGTGGACAGAGTTCATTTCCCGACATCCCATTCTCAGGTCAACATTCGTCTCCACAAAGTCTCATTCGGACGTCCATATAGCGACCTTCAGTACCGACAAAATGGAAAGCTCATTTGCCGTTGAGCCATTTGATGATTCGGCCGACAACACGGATAACCTGCAGGCGCGGATGAACATGATCATCTCTCACCCACCTCCAACTGATGGACCTCAGGCCTACGGACTGCTTTTGAATGGCTTGCACAACCAATATTTATTGATTAGAATGCATCATTTCCAATACGATGCCTGGAGTCTTGCCCTTTTGATCGAGGACCTCTCCCACATCTACCTTGGACAACCCTCGTCGGTCACGTCAGATTACGAAGCGTTCATGTCAACATTTGCACCGACGCCAGAAAATCTCCAGAAGCAAGAAGACTACTGGCGGTCCACCTTCTCACCCTCTTTCCGACCGGCATATTTTCCCCAGCTCAAGCCTCTCGCAGTTCAGGATGAAATCATCCCTCGAACTATCGTCATCGCGAGGGATGTAGTACGTGGGGCATACACTCTTGAACAGCGCGCTCGGGTGCATGGCGTGTCGCTACAGAGCGTTTTGCTGGCATGCTGGGCATACATCCAATCTTCCTATATGTCGCCAGAGCAAGTGACGTTTGGACTATGGCACGCAGGTCGAACAGGGCCTGTCAAAGATATTGACAGATTGGCTTTCCCATGCATGAACGTGCTGCCAATGCACACTCGTCTCGGAAGCAACAGCATCATAGATGTTGCTCGTAGCATTCAAGATGACCTACGGTTGCGCACTCCTGTCGTCCAGCAGACGGATCTTCAAATGATTGATCAGTGGATAGGAGGCACGGGTGCACCATTGTGCAATGTGTTTGTCAACTTGATTAGGCCCTTGGCATCAGACGATGAGGAGGAGGCCGGACTGTTCGGATCGGTAGATGTCAGTGGTGTCCCAAGCGAGATTGCTCGAGATCTAACTCTCACATACAGATTGCCTACACGGTACCGGAAGCCGTCTCAGAAGTCCGACCCGAAAACTGTCGACTGGATCCCTACGTCGAATCTTATACAGGTCAGATTCATGTCATATTTCCCGCCTGGAGATCATGCTAAATTGCAATTTAGGACGATGTTATGGTTGAAATTATTGTACACCCTTCGGAGGATACGATAACGATGTCGATCGAGAGTGCCCCAGCTATCATGGACACGCAACTCGCCAGGAAAGTTATTGATTACTGGTCAGAGATAGTTGGAGGCCATTGGGAGAGTGCTCCTGTAAACATGAGGACTATATCAATGTAATGGACAGTACTCAAGTACTCACAATACTAGACTAGGTGTGATGACCTCTGCGGGCAGCGTCTAAGCATTCTTGCTCCAAGCCGCCGTACCAGATAACCTCGACACCGGCATCCTTCATCTTTTGCGCACCCTCACATTTGACAAAGTCATCTGGCTCTTGTACACCTATAATACAACGTCTGATTCTGGCGCGAATGAGGGCGTCAGCGCAGGCAGACAGGCCCGATGTTCTGACTGAGCATGGTTCAAGAGTGGTATAAACGTCTACGAGAGGAAGAATGTCTTCTACGACAGGTACTGCTTCCAATGGCCACGGAGAAACGAGAGATTGTAGCTGCGGGGAAGTGAGACTCTCAAACTTGGTCAAAGCATTTGCCTCCGCATGAGTGTTCCCTGGTAATTCCCTCGAGAAACCTTTGGACAACACAATTGGTTCTGAGTCTGGAAAACGCGCCACAAGGACGCATCCTACACAGAATGCTGTCTGTACAGGTTCGCAGAACGCAGCCTGCTCTAATGCCTGACGCATGAATGGATCATGCTCGTGGTCTTCTGGAATCGGTGTCGGCGTCATGTGTAGCAGGTAATTAATAAGTACCGCCGGATTGCTGCCAGGGTTTCAAGTTTGCATCTCAGCTTCGTTACTAGTGACCATATACATACCTTACTTGTCCTGCAGGCTCGAAACAGGTCGGGGGACCTAGTGACGAGACGATGTACAACCCCCGGTGGGCTTGGCTAAGATTGACTTTCGGCATTAATGCTTTGTATTACGTAACAGCATGTGGCGCGGCGAAGTCCGCGTAAATTGAGCACGTCTTGCTCATGAACCATCATGTCTTCGCCTTCAGCAGATCCTGTTGACCGTGTCATCGAGGACGATGAGACAATGGCCTCTGTTCAAGAGGAAGAAGGGGAAGGGGATGCCACTATGGCAGATCCCCAGGTCATTTCGGACGATAGCTCTGAAGAAGCGGAGGAAGATGAGGAAGAGGCGAGAAGAATCAGGGAAGGCTTTATTGTGGACGAAGATGAGGACGAGGAGGAAGACGATGACGAGGCAAGGCATCGACGAAGGAAGCGGCGTAAGAGGAGACATCGGAGGCGCGGTAAGCATATGAATTGGGCTTATTAATACAATGTTCTAAGTATTTTCTCAGACGAGGAGGCCTTGGAAGAAGATGACCTTGAGCTGCTAGAGGAAAACACAGGCACTTCATTCAGGAATCGACTGACTCGCTTACGACGCGGGCCAGAAGGTGGTTCTCCACCCGCTCCATCGACCTCTAAGCGCAAACCAGTTGTGGAATCGTCAGAAGATGACTTAGATGATGAGGACCTGCCGCAAGTCCAGGATATTCAGCGGATTTGGGATGATGAGCGCGCTGGAGGTGGACGTGATGATGAGGAAGACATGGACGATTTCATCGACTACGAAGATGAAGACGAAGGTGCTGGTGCTATGGATGAGCAGGAACGTGAGGAAAGACGAAGAGAGAGGAAAAAGCGAGAGAGGGAGAGGCGGCAAGCTATTGGCTCTCGTCCTGAGCTAGCTGGCATCGACGATATGTAAGTCAAATGTCAATTCCTTGGGTTACATCATTCATAGTGGGTGCAAATTCAGGGCATGGGACGAAATACATGGTGTCTTCGGAGACGGCCATGACTATGATTGGGCATTGGTGGGTGACGATGAAATGGATTTCGAGGAAGAGCGTCTCAAGCCGGAGATGAGATATCAAGACGTACGTATACTTATCCAACTCCTCCTGTGGAACATATTTACTCTCTTTCATTAGGTATTCGAACCGTCAGAGATCCGTGCGCGTATGTTGACTGAGGATGATGATCTGATTCGGGCGCAAGATATACCAGAGCGCATGCAATTAGCAACTTCGTCACTTTCTCAATCATCGACGCTATCCCTTCACCAGAACCTTACTGAAGCTGATTTGGACGATGCAGCAATGTGGGTTACCGTCCGACTATCCCCTCGAAAAACAAGAGATTTCTTTAGTCCGGAAGGCCCGTACAACATGTATCGCGAGCCTTTGGTCATGGCCGTGACATATGCTCTTCGCTTTCTTTTCGTCCAGGAGTTCGAAGTCCCGTATATTTGGACTCACAAACGGGACTACATCTCGTATTTCAACCCTCAAGAAATGCGCACTCGGGTTCAGCTTATCAGCCTCGCCGAACTCTGGCGCATATATGCACTTGGCCAAAAGTATCGGTCTCTAGCTCAAAGGAGGAACGCCCTAGCCTTGTCATATGCGCGCCTGAATGTCGAGGACGAGTATTTTGAGCAGACAATTAGGCCAAAAATTGACAGTGTGGAGGTTGTCACTGATGCAACCGAATGGTTGACCATGAGGTATAAACTCAAGAAGCAGGATGCCTTTGACTTCCAGTTCCACGACGACGACGATCAAGCGGAAACCAGAAAGCGAAAGACTCCCAGCCGCATATCTGCGTACGAGGTAGCCAAGAAGAGTATAGTTTCTAAACTTGCTGATGTACGCCAATCCCCTTCTGAGTTACCTGCATGCGTTCATGTTTTGCCGTATTATAGGGCTTCGGTATTAAACCACACGAGGTGGTTTACAACTTCGTTGCACAAGAGAACGCGCATTTTGTCGATGATCAGGAGCTGAATCCCGTTGCATTTGCGGAGCAGTTTACGGATCCGGATGCCGTTGTGGCACAACCCGCTGAAGAGGTACTGCGTCGTGCTCGGATGATTCTTGCAACAGAACTTGGCAAAGATCCTTTGTTGCGTCAAGCAATGCGTGATCTTTTCAAGACTGATGCTTTGATCTCTGTATTGCCGACAGAGAGGGGAATGACTAAAATCGATGAGCACCATCCATACTTTGTGAGTACTGCCGTGACTTTTGGTCGAGCGCCTACTCAACCTTTTCTGCATCAGAATTTCAAGTACCTTCATCACAAGAGTATTACGCAGATGATGGACACACCACAGTTTCTTCATATCCTTGCGGCAGAAGCTGAGCTCTTGGTCACCGTATCAACATTCCTTACCAACGAGGCAAAGTCGAAGTTCGAGCGTAGACTCAACGATGCATTCGCATCTGACAGTTATAGTGATACTGCCAGAGCTTGGAATGAAGAGCGGTCACGTGTCGTCCAAGAGGCCCTTGAACAACACCTTATACCTGTGGGTGTTAAGTGGGCGCGGGAATGGCTTCGAGAGGAAGTAGAAGACACACTCGCAGCCCACTGTGGCAACGTTTTGAGAGAGGTGCTTTTTCACTTTCTTACTATTGATCTGTCATTGACACATTCTCAGCGCATTGACGTGGCTCCATATATCACTCCTGAAATGAAACCTGGTGACACTGCGTCTGTACTTGCCGTGTCTTGGGGCAAGGGTGACCCTCAAAAGGATGCCATCACCTTGGTTTTTCTAGACGAGGCAGGGAGACTACGCGAGCATACCAAAATTGACAATCTTGTTGATCGTGATTACCTGGACGAGTTCACAGATCTTTTGAAGCGAAGACGTCCTGACGTTATCGTCATGGGTGGCTTGAGCATGGCTACGACCAAGCTGTCATCGAAGGTTAGGGCTCTTATTAAAGGAGAGCCATCAAATTCGGATTCAACAGCAAATGGTGCGGATGGCTGGGGAGTTTCAGAGGCCCCAAAGGAAGCAAATGAACAGGCGTTCAACATCCCTGTGATGTACGTCCGTGACGAAGTTGCTCGTATGTACCAACACAGCAAACGAGCCGCGGAGGAATTCAGTGCACTGTCGCCTGTTGCCAAATATTGTGTTGGACTTGCTCGGTATGTTCAGAGTCCGTTGAACGAGTACTCCGCGCTTGGGCACGACATTACTGCCATTCCCCTTGAGGATGAAGATCAGCACCTGGTATGTAATGGCTGCAGCCTTCTAGATTGATGCTGATCTGTGTGTAGATTCCCAAGGAGAAGTTACTCTCAGCTCTGGAGCGAACTCTGGTTGACGTCACGAATAAAGTTGGAGTTGATATCAACCGCGCTGTCAACGACTCCTACTATCAGCATTTATTGCCTTTCGTCTGCGGACTCGGCCCACGAAAAGCCCAGGTTCTAGTCAAGAAGATTTCCGCCATGGTCAATTCACACTTTGTTTTTTCTAAAAATTGGACTTACTCACGTGCCGCCAATAGGGTGGAAATCTGATAAATCGTGACCAATTCATCAAGTCGTCATTGTTAACGACCAAAATTTTCCTTAATGCTGCTGGATTCCTGCGCATCTCACGGGATCCTGAAGTCAAGCTTTCCAAGAATCGACACTGCCGACGATGACGTTCAAGATCCCCTTGATGATACTCGTATCCACCCCGAGGATTATGAATTGGCCCGCAAAATGGCAACTGATGCCCTGGAGTTAGATGAAGAAGACATTCACGATGAACATCCTTCTCATGTTGTCTCAGTCATCATGCAGGATGTTGACAACGAAAAGAAGTTGAACGAACTTAACCTCGACGAGTTTGCCGTCAGTATGTATGAGGCGAATGAAGACCGTAAACGTCATACATTGAATGTCATTCGGGAGGAGCTGCTGAAACCGTTCTCCGAACAAAGGGCTCCTTTTCCCTCTCTAGGGCCATGGGATGTTCTCACGATGCTCAGTGGAGAGACTCCTCGAACGCTCCGTATGGGTCTTATTGTTTCGATTATGGTGGTCCGCCTTGAGCAAACTCTCGTCCATATTCGCTTGGATTCCGGTATCGAGGGCGTCATTGATATCGGGTACCTTACTGAAGAAGGCAACATGGCCCCCAAGGATGTCGTTAAGAAAGGACAAACTATACCAGGTGTCATCGTCGATGTCAAGCTGGATTTACCTGCAGACCAGTTCTTTGTTAAAGTGTCCGTTCGTCAGTCTGATCTTCGTGCGGGTGATGGCCTTTTCCGATCTGTCAAACGCGACGATCAATGGAACCTCCCACAGTTTGAACGGGATTCGGAGATGCAGGCTCGTAAAAAACGCGCAGAGATTGATCGGACGAGGAGAGTAGTCAAACATCCCAATTTCCATAACTTCAATGCCACCCAGGCTGAGAACTACCTTGACAAGCAACAGCGTGGCGATGTTGTAATTCGCCCATCTTCCAAAGGCGTTGATCACCTCGCTGTAACTTGGAAGGTTGACGACAAGCTTTATCAGCATATCGGTACGTACATTAATTATTGGAAGTCGACTTCACTCTCATCCCACCACAGACGTTACCGAAATTAATACAGGCCAAGGAGGGAATTTACTCATCGTCGACGAAAAGCATCAATATGCTGATCTAGATGAATTGATTGTTAATCACGTTCAGGCAACCGCCCGTAAAGTGGAGGAGTTGATGGCCCACGAAAAATTCAAGCACGGCTCTGAAGATGAACTTCGTACGCTTAAAGGCCCTATATTTGAATGTCTGGGATTAATATTCGTATTCCAGATCTGTTTTTGAAAAACTTCGTTGCGGCCAATCCTGCAAAGAGTATATATGGCTTCACCTTGAACCGGAGAAAGCCTGGCCATTTCAACTTGTGCTTTCTTGCTAACAAGAACTCTACCGTTCAGACATGGGTAAGCAGGCGTTACTTGTGTGTATCTCATGCTTAATTGTATCGCAGCCTGTCCGAGTTATGCCCGAATCCTATTGTCTCTTTGATGCCGCAGTAGCTGGTGTTCCTGAGCTTTGCGATGCCTTCAAAGTCCGGTGAGCTTGAGCGCTTTCTTCCAAGCAATTTTTAGCTGACCCTTGTCTAGGCATCTACATCAATCCCAAAATTTAGCTGGTTCTGCTGCTACTGCTGGAGGGAAAACCCCATATGCAGGTGCCGGTGCACGCACACCTGCTCGAACTCCCGCCCACCCAGCCGCTGGGCACATGTCCATTCGTCAAGCCGCTCGGACACCTAATCCTTACGGCGGCCAGACGCCTGCTCCCGGGATAGGAGTTCCGAGCTTTGGACCAGGCGCTCCGAGCTCCAGTTTTAATATACCCCCTCCTCAGGCATCGTTTGGTTATCAAACCCCTGCATATTCAGGTCCACCAGTACCTGGTATCCCTCCTGGAATGAACCCTCAACGAGCCGCTATGATACAGAATACCGCAGGTTGGGGTCAAGATTCGGGTTGGTCATGATATGTTATTGTGTTACTTCTTGTTGTGTTATTTGTTACTTTTTCAATGCCCATTATACTGTTTCGATGTAACAAGGAATCGCCTTCGGGTGGAAGGACGCATAATTTATGGGAGTGAGCCAATGAAATCTCAACCTTCTTTGCGCAGTCCCTTGTTCGTCTTAATCTCAAAACGTCCAGAGTATGTCTCCTTAGCGGCATACCGAATACTCAATTGAAAGAGGTTCATGTGGGAATCAAGGGCAGTGCGTTTGCGTATGGTACCTGCTGAGCGGAGAACACACCTTGCACACATCCAAAGTCGTCACATCTTAGACGAATCGCGCATCTAAAACAACCGACGGGAACGGCGGACTGGTGGGGCACGTCTCACATCAAAGCACTTAAGAATTCGGAGATGCATCCGGGAAGTGGGGCCCTTGGTCTAGATCGTACTGGCTTTTATAGGGCATACTCTCAATAGGACATTTTTTGGACAAGAAAAGAGGGATGCTTTAGGATTGTTTGCAGAGCACTGGTATGAATGGACTTTGACAGAAGAAGTTATGCACAGAGAGATGACTTCCGAGGCGGACCGTTGTCCCTGACCAGCACCGCATTCGGGAGCGTCGATGTATAGGAATATGGGTTCCGTCCCTGCTTGAGCTACCTCAGTGGTATGGTACCGATTCCCTTCAATTTGCTGAGGTATCAAATTTCGCAATCATGGCCAAAGCGAAAAATTATGTCATTGTTACACGAAGCAGGCAGAAAATCAATGAAGCAAGTATCCAAATGACTGCTGATGATTCAAGGATTGGTACACGTTCGTCCTGGCACCGCAGGCTGCTTGCCACGTATCATCGTTGAACTCGATATCGGTGCTAAATTTATTGGCTCTTGTGAATGCATCCAGCGAGCAAGTCCCAAATCGGCTATCTTTCTTGGTTTCTGCGCAAGTCCGCAAGGGATATGTCTCTTCGTTAAGTACCAGTCGAATTTGTGGTCCATCGAATCTTGACGGCGAATGAGTTGATAAATCACAGCTCTGACGAAAGAAGACCTACGACTCTTTACAAGTGAAACTTTCCCAGATCATCTGGGCAGCAAAGGGAGTTTGGTAAGATGTTCGGAACCTTCGATGCGGGCGTAGTTCTCCTGGAGACAGCTGGGGTTCATCTCTGCAAATAAATATATGAAACGGAATCTCCGACTATGAACATGGAAATGTACTTATTGAGATCCATTGCAGCCATCGCAGCCATGATGGTAGCGTCGTGTCCGAATTCGAGATAGAGGGACTGGGCTTCCCCACTAGTGTTGGAGAATCTAGCACACATGTCGTTAGGACTAGTCTTGACATGCCTTAGAACATACCTATCGATGAGTTTATTAACAAAGACACTTCCCATGACACGTCCGGCATTATTGGGCACCAGGTATCCGACACTTGCGACCATAATGAGATCCAGTTCATACCTAAGTATAATGTCAGTGCCGCGGCGCCACGGTGTTCAAATAGCCTTACTCAAAATCTGCAAGTTCACCCTCATAGAAAACATCGCACCATGGTGACTCATACCCTGCGGCTAGGTCATATGCGCATGCGTACAAAGCACCGTGCGTGTTATTATCAGTCAAGGAAACGCCGTAAGGAAGAAGGTCATTCAAGCGTTCGGTAATTTGAGGGAGGTACGAGTTGCTCCATTCATTGGCCACCTGAGCAAGTGATATGTTATGAGACAAGAATTAAAACCCGGTTTACTTGCCTTAGATGCGTAGTGCCAGTCAATGCCAGGGCACGAATTCCACGGAGTGATCCAAGACACTGGACCGGGTATATCATTGACTGTAAGTAGGTCCTTGTCCTCAGCTTCGCGACCAAAACGTCCCTGAGCGAAAAAGTACATGGAGTCAATCACTCTTTGAGTAGTGCTAGATAATAATGTTTCCGTGGTGAAGTTCGGATACTTCAATCCGAATCTAGACGGCACATTAGTGCAACTCGACAAAATCAATGGAGGGATAAGCGTACTCCACACCATGGGAGAAGAGCTGCTCACGCCCGATGATGGTCAGGTTTTCTGGAACCAAATGTGATTCATATCCCTTCCCAGTCTGAAGGAAACGCAAGTTCTCGGGCAGATCAGCATCCTGGAGAGCGTCGTGACCATTCCTGAGCGTTTGGACGAGGGAGTTAATCAGGGCCACCTCTTCGCTGCCAGAGGGTCCACGAGAGCCATGTCTGTGCAGCTGTTGGACTGCGTCACATGTTTGCGCTTCACAAGGAGAAACTCAGACATACGAGCATTACTCGATCGACACTGCAATCACCAGGTAACTCTGCCTCAACTTTGTGAGGAGCAGGAGCTACACGGTATGGAGTCAAGTTTCCGAGTCTCTTGAGAGGGTCTTCATCTTCATGTTTATGTGAATTGAACGTTAGAGACGCTAGGGTCAGCCAGTTCAGAATACCCTGGATGAACATCGCTGGGGATACTAGTAGGTCTTTAATTCAGTGCACTGGGACTAGGTCTCTTTTATATTGGGCTTACGACCACCATTCCATTATGTTGCCCGGATGCGAGAAGATCCCGAATTCCAGTTCGGCTCGGTTAGCGGGCATTCCCCACACCTGGAGTACTGTCCCGAGATATGTCATGTTGGCGTTCTCGGCTCCCAGAGACCACGTCGCGAGTCGTAGGTCCCTAGTACCATTCGAAGTATGTTGTACGTGCATTACCTGCGCTCGGTGGAGCTCCGTGGCAGCACCGTACGGAAAGTCAATCATTCATGAAAAAAGCGGACACCACTTCAACGGCACGAGCCTGACCAGTAGGTAGTCACAACTCCATATATTCAATACCCAACCACCTAGGCACCCTTACACTAGTGTGCTTCAATTTAGCACGCGCAATTTCTTCTTTCCAAACGCCGTAGGAAAGTCACTGTCTATTGCTCGCAGAGGGCTGCATCCTACGGATACAACAAGACCACTTCGAGGATCTTGACACCGGCAGAGCTCGCCCATACCATGCACCCTGCGTTCAGTATCATGTCCCTTAATTCTGTCGATGTTTTTGAAATGGTTGGATCCAAGGAGGCATAAATCTGCCCCAAGCTATCTATGGATATACAAACTCCCACGGCGCGGCGGCCCGCTACACAGGCCTTTCCTCGAGTGTCAACGAGCGTAGTATTGCATCCATTCCACAAAGTAGTCCCAGAGAAACGAGGAATTTCGGGCAAGTCCGAGTCGCTATAGTTTCAGAGACTGTCTTGCGCCGAATTTAAACTGCAGCTTCTGCAGGACAGAAATATTTAGTGCAGTGGCAAGATTGTCTATTGCATTGGTCGGTTCAAACCCCACAAGTCGCATTCCAGGTCTCGTCCCGGAACCGAATGCTTGTGCTGTAATGGTTCGCATTCACGAAGGTATCGAGGGAACATGTCCCAAGTGTGGAATCCATGCCTTGACCGCAAATAGTCAAGGGCATGGTAGCATCATTTAAAATAAGGCGAATCTGGGGTCCATCATATCTGGAGGAAATATAAGCACTCCAAGCATGGATTCATTAAAACAGTGTGGTACTGACGAGCTTGTGCATGTGAATTTTTCCCAGACCATATTGGCGGCAAATGGCGTGAGTTCAGATGTCCGAAACTTCCGCCCAGGACGTAGCTCGTCGGGGGATAGGGGAGGGTCATCCCTGGAAGATCCACATCGTAAAAGCCCCCACGAATGACTATGATGCTCACTTTGCTAGGCCTAAAGCAGATAGAGCAAGCAAAATTGTGACATCGTGCCCGAATTCAAGATATAATGGGCGGCTGTCTCCTTGAGAATCTGTGAAGCTGTGAAAAATGTAAAATTATTTTATGGTGAAATGTAGAACACGTGCATACCGCTCAATCAGCTTATTCACAAACACCGTCCCCGCGAGAGGGCCCATGTTATCTGGTAACATATAGGCGCATGAAGCGTCCATTAAGATATCCCTTTCGTACCTCGATAATAATAATAATAATCAAAAAGCAATGCGTGCTTAATCAATCAGTCTTACTCGAAATTAACCAGTTCGTCGGGTCGAAAAATGCCACACCACGGAGAAGCACCAAGGGAAGCCAAATCATAGGCACAAGCAAATAAAGCCCCATGAATATCGTCTTCAGTGAACCCGACACCAGGTAGAAGCATGTTTAGGCGATCAGTAATTACAGGCAGATAGTGTTTGCTCCACGTCCGCGTAGCCTGCTGTCCAAAACTGTAGTTGAACTTGGGACAAGCTGGTCCTGGTGCAGGAGTGATCCAAGAAACTGGATCATCTTTGTTATTGACAGTCACAATGCGGACATCTGGATCCAGTCCGAAAAAACCCAACGCAAACCAACGTGCAGATTCGACCACTCGACTTGAGTCGCTAGATAGGATTGTGTCGGTTGTCAGGTGTGGGTATTTCAAAGTGAACCTTGTGGGTTATTATAATTATTGTCTTTGCATAAAATCGAACTTGACTCACTCAACTCCATGGTCAAAAAGTTCCTTGCGCCCAAGTATAGTCAAATTATGCGGTGCCAGGCTGAAATTATACCCTGCTCTCAGAAACTCGAGCTCATGAGGCAGTTCTACTTTCTGGATAACATCCGTTGCGTCATGGAGTGTTTGAACTAGCTGCTCTATATATCTCTGCTCGCCAATGGGACCACGAGAGCCATGACGGTGCATCTGCCTCATGATTGGTATATACAAAATCTACTGCAGAATTGCAACTCACAAGCATTACTTGGTCAGCGGTACAGTCGATAGGGAGTTCTGAAACGATTTCTGAAGCATGGTGATGACGGGCACGGTGATAGGGGGAGATGCTGCCAAGATGGTTCAGGACATTGAAAGTGTCGTTGAAGTAATTCTGGACATAATGCGTGGACGAAAGGAGGCTTAGAATCGCCTGTATACGCATCCCGAGATTTGAAGCGCGTGAGGTCTCGTGAGTTTGGTTCCACGTTGCATTGGTATTGATTACGGCATCAGTCACAGAATGTCACATGGTTCAATTTCGCAACATTTTGAAAACACTGTGACAAAAAAATCTTTACGGCCTGGAAAATACGTCATTGATTTCTTGTCAGATGGTATTCAGTTAAGCTCGTAAGGAGAATTATAATAATGGTACTCAGAGTAAAATGGGAATTTTCGGTAAAGCTCGGTAAAGCTCGGTAACTTCGGTTAGAAACTGACAATTCGGGCAGGAACAACATGCATAGGACATGCGGCACATCGGCATAGTTTCGGACTTCGAAAACTATGCCTGTCATTCGACCACCACGTCCTTGTCGTTCTGCACGCCTCAAGCGTTTGCAGCCCAAATCTATGGACTACAACCAAGGACCCGTCACCCGTGGCCGAGGAAAATCTCGGAGTACTCGAGGTAACGATCATGCTGCCCAGGCACCCAAGCTCGTCGTGCAGTGGCAGGCGGACCCCTCTCGCACCCAGAGGGTTATCGAGTACCTCCGCAACCATCCAGCAGACTGCCGAGTTCTGTTCTTTTCGGATGGGAAACAATCGCATACCGAGGGTGATCGCCCATCGGGCAAGGATAAACTCTCGGTTTGCTCTGTCGTCGCCCGCCATGTTTTCCAGGCTGATCCTAACTATGCGGTGCAATACGCTGAGGTGCCGGATAAGTTTCGCGACTCGACCAACAATCATATCATGAGGTACGATTTTTCGTATTGATTCACATGTGTACTAACATTCCCTCCAGTCTCAAAAAAAGGTTTCGTGAATGTCACGACAAATTAAACTCGACGGGTGCCGGCGTCATGCCAAACGACGTCGCTCAAAATCTGCACGGTATGTTTTTTATATTTATATTTAATCAGATTAAACTAATAAAAATTACAGCGCAAGTACTACATACGTTCCCATGGTATGATGAGCTCCTCTCCATCATGGGGACAAACCCTGCTCTATCTGTCAAGACCATCTCATCACGCCCTGGAACTGATCACGCTGCTAACTTCTTCGCTCTCACCCAAGGTGCCCAGACCTCTGGTCAGGCGCCCTTCATCCCTGCGCCCTCTGGCCAGGCGTCCTTCAACTCTGCGCCCTCTGGCCAGGCGCCCTTCAACTCTGCGCCCTCTGGCCAGGCGCCCTTTGGCTCTGCGCCATCTGGCCAGGCGCCCTTTGGCTCTGCGCCATCTGGCCAGGCGCCCTTTGGCTCTGCGCCATCTGGCCAGGCGCCCTTTGGCTCTGCGCCATCTGGCCAGGCGCCCTTTGGCTCTGCGCCCTCTGGCCAGGCGCCCTTTGGCTCTGCGCCCTCTGGCCAGGCGCCCTTTGGCTCTGCGCCCTTTATTGTCCCCCCCTTCGCTTCCTCCTCCTCGCCATCTGGGTACCATCCCTCCCATCCCGGCATCATCGCTCGCTCTCACCCTCCCGCGCCTGCCCCCTCCGAGTCCGATACGTATTGTGACAACAATTACGTCGGCGACGGATACGACGAGGACATGGACATGGACCTTCGCTTCAACGACGTGCCACAGCCGCAGCCTCCCGTAACGTCAAATTACTGGGAAGAGGAGGGTGACGTCACCATCTTGAACAGCCCCCCCAAGCCCAGAGCCTCCAAACGTCGGGCACGTCAGTCTGCATCCCCCTCATCATCTCGTTCCCCCTCGCCCAAGTCATCATCATTTGTCCTTCCCCTGAAATCGCAGATCTCCCTCCACGATAGTCGCGCTGCCTTCGGCAAGCGCGTGTCGAGGACAAGCCAGACCAGCACCAACTCGCCAAAACCCTCATCCAGCGGCTCCTCGCTGTCGAAAACGACGATGTCGGCACCTGCCTCCACCTCCCAGACGTCACAACTCCCATCCTCCAAGGGGAAAGGGAGGCAGGTGAAACAGGTGCGGTCGGATCTTCAAGGCGACCTGAACCGGCTCAACGACGAGATCGGAAGCGTCCAGTCGGACCAGATCACTCGGGGCGAGCTCAAGAACGAGCGTTACATGGCGAAGTACAACCTCGCCCGTCAGGTAAATGAGCACAAGTTTTTGCGCGAGGAGCGTGTACACTGCGACAAGGAAGCTGTCGCCACTCATCGGCGCTCCCAGGAAGCGAAGGATACGGAGATTCGCCTCTGCTTTGCGGAGGCGAAGATGCATGCTGCGCTGGCACATGCGCATGCTGAGGAGGCAAGAGCGCTTCAGCTGAAGATTGAGTACCAACGTTTGATGAGCGGTTCTAACTCTTGAGAGTGTTGTTGTAGTCTTACTGTTGTCCTTTTGCATCACATATCTCATGCTGTCCTTCATACTACATATGTTGTTATGTTAACCATTAGTCCTGTTCATGTTATGTTGATAGTTCATGTACTACTAGTTTTCAATGGACCATGATGGTGTTTCCTCTTGGCTTTGAAGGTGTGATGCTTGACATATGTTTTCTTGGATAAGTAATGTTTGATAACCTGAGGAGATGTTAGATGGTACATATAACTAGTACACTTGCTAGGATAAGCACCACAATATTAAGCAAGTGAAGAGACTGACCATCACAGTGCTCTAGGTTTATTAGCTTTCTTTGCAACGCAAAGAAAGCTGATTTCAAACCTAAGCAGCTGTGATGGTCAGTCTCTTCACTTGCTTAATATTGTGGTGCTTATCCTAGCAAGTGTACTAGTTATATGTACCATCTAACATCTCCTCAGGTTATCAAACATTACTTATCCAAGAAAACATATGTCAAGCATCACACCTTCAGAGCCAAGAAAACATATTCAAGTGGAAATTTGTAACTACAACTGCTATCCCTGTCTATGTTGTGCCTTTGAGTGAGGGCTGTCAAACAAGAGATCCATCAACCTCTCACGACGAGCATGACCTGGAGTCCCTTCATATAACCTATCACCTACTTGGTCATTACCATCTGGTCCTTCAGCTGCCTCTTGAGACATAAAGTTTCTAGCCTCTTGACAAGACCACTTGACTGATCCCTGGTCCTCTGTCAGAGCATGTTCTTCTTCAAACCGTATGATCATGTTGTGTAGGATCAGACAACACTGAATCTAATGGACTGCTGTCCGTAAGTCATCTGCTGAATTGATATTCTGTCGGAGATCTCGAAGAGATTGAAACCGCCCTTTCAATGCAGCAAATGCATGCTCCACTCGTACACGGACCTAGATAAATCAAATTTAAATCAGAAAAAAATGGAAAAATAAAGGGACAAACTGTAGAAAGGTGATAATTGAATGTCCTCTGATTTGCTGTCAGCCGTCCATTGCGGGGCTTCTTGAAAGGGGCAATGCACCAGGTGTCCAGTGGATAAGCACTGTCTGCCCAGACCCAGTGGCCAGCTGGAAGAAGTGTGTCATGTTCTTGATAGATACGAGTAGATCTGAATGTGTATGCATCATGGATGCTTCCAGGGTGACCAAGAGAATAATCAACTATGAGAAGATTGTGGGGCATAATGACTGCCTTGAATTTATTTTAATTTTTAACCATGAAATTTTAAAAAAAAACATACCTGACAGCCCAGGGAATATTTGGATTTCCTGTCATAAAAAGACTGGTGATAAAATCCAGGTGTCTCATACAGGTCAATTGATGTCCCATCAACAGCTAGGACTCCATTCTGCCACTCAGGGCAAGTGGTCACCCGTGCAGTATATTGCCGAGCAAGCTCAAAGTCCTGTGAATCAGGTGGGGGAAAACCCATGAAGGCATCATGCTGGTCAAGCAGTGCAACCATTATACGATTGGTGCAGTTAACCACAGACCCAACACTAATACCAGCCCATTCAGATACATCCTGGAGAGTGGCAGAATTACCATAGTGGCCGACACGGTTGAGAAAAATAGCAAGTTGAATAGAGATAGGAAGCTGGAGGTTGTTGGAATTGTTATGAAAAATGGGGTGGCCAGAAATGAGATTGAGGATGTCATCGAAAATTTCGGGGTCGACACGTAGTTTACGACGAAATAGATGAGGGCGATGTTCCCCAAAATGGACAAGGAGGTGCAGCTGTGAGGCTCGTGGGATAGGCTCACTGGGTCTATGGAGCACATGTGCCCTCTCTACCTCATCCCGAAGACTTGCAATGGAATCTTGAAGACAGTCGTAGTGAGCAGTGGTATGGTTGATGTCATCATCAGATGAGTCATCAGAGAAAGAGTCGGAGGAAGAACTGGAGAAGCCAGATAAAACTGGAGAAAGAGGAGATGGAGGGGTTAACATGATGCTCATGAAAAGGTCAAGGTCTGAGTCACGGGTAAGATCGAAAGAGTCGAGACTCGAGGCAGAGTCTGTAGTAGACTCGTCGTCCTCCAGAAGATGTTGGTATCAGGCTGTGGCTACTGCAAGTGCAGATACATCGATGTCATGCAGCATTTGTGCACGCTTTGACTGACGAGGCATGTTGGGAATCAGGGGATCAAAACTCCTGTCTATCCCTGGCATATGTGACGCACTTTGCGGCGGAGTTTGAAAATTTCGGCAAATTCCGGTGTTTCAGCTTGCTGTGCTCATGTACCTCGTGATCATCACACCCCCTCACTCAGCACTCAACGACGCTCGCGCGCAGCCCACCTCCCTCAGCGAACTGCCAAGGGCTTCTAACATGCTAGGTACGTACAAACTCCTTCTCAACCGTCCTCCGAAACTCCTTCTCAAACGCCCTCAGCGTCTCCAGGCGTTTCACGCTGCCTACCTCCCTAACCGAGCCTCCAAGCGCTTCTATTGCGCCAGGTACTCCCTCCGAAACTCCTCCTCAACCGCCCTCCCAAACTCCTTCTCAACCGCCGCCCTCCGAAATTCCTTCTCAAACACCCTCCGAAACTCCTTCTCAAACACCCTCCGAAACTCCTTCTCAAACACCCTCCGAAACTCCTTCTCAACCGCCCTCCCAAACTCCTTCTCAACCGCCGCCCTCCGAAACTCCTTCTCAAACACCCTCCGAAACTCCTTCTCAAACACCCTCCGCATCTCCAGGCGTTTCACGCTGCCCTACTCCCTCACCGAACCCCTAAGCGCTTCCAACACGCCAAGCACTCCCTCACGCAGCACTCAACTCACGCGCAGCGCACCTCCTCACAGAACCGCCAAGCGCTTCTATCACACCAGGCACTCCCTCCGAAACTCCTCAAACACCTTCCGCGTCTTCGGGCGTCTCATACCACCTTGTGCCATCCTCCTCCAGTTGACGAGGATCGTTCCAATTTTATTGATGCACGCAGCAGTAGATTTTTTACTTTACAGCACATACCCTCACTGTTACATGTAGATATCGACTTAGTATTTTTTTTCTTGAAATCTTATCTACTTTGCCTATGCTACTTTCGTTTCACTAAGTGTCATTTGAATGTCCGACATCATGCCGATGCATATGCCGAGTCTTACTGCTCGAGTTTTGTCCATCTCTAACCGAGAGTTAGCGACATTTAGCGACTTTAGCGACATTTAGCGACATTTAAATTTTTACTCTGAGTACCTCTAATTTAGTTTCGTTTATGTAAGTAGCTTTAAGATTTGTACCAGACAAGGTGTAGTTGTTTGAGGATGCTACTAAATTTGGTAATTGTATTAAGTTGAGTTTAATCTTACATACAACGTAACACGGACTCTTTTGAACCTTGCATGTCCACGTCAAACATTCATGTCCAACGACATTGAACTTGAAGACTTTTCTAGCAGAACACGTACACCGTGTTCAAACGATGAGACTAATGTCGATGAATCCCTTTCCAGCCGCCAAGATGGAGCAATATGTCTCTGGGCTTGGATTTCAGCGGCCTTGTAATCCCAACCTACTACCTCTTCGAGATTATTGTATTAAAACCTTCACTCCAGCTTTATTGTGTTTGCTACAATCTTGACGCTGTTTCCAAGGTTTCTACTCTTCATGACAGAACCGTCAGGTGGACGAAGTATACTCTCGCCCCTTGAATCCTTCCTCGCGGTACTACTTGGCGTTACGATGGGCGCAGTCGCCCTCACTCTGGTAGTAACGGTGAGAAGTCTTGCAAGAGACCGCATGCTCCGAATTTTACTGATGCCGGCACTCACAGATTCCAAACGCTTCGCCTATCGATTTCCAGCCCGAGCAGCATGTAAACTCGCATCCACTCCTCGTGCCTGTCACTTCCGCCTCAGTTGTTTTGGCATTTCTTTCTTACAATAACACTGGTGTTGGCTCTCTTGGCAACTTCATTTTTCTAGGGTCATTTTTCATTGGGTTATTCGGACTGTGGGCGGTACGTGTTTCCAATGATTATATCATCACTAAAACATACGAACACGATCTGGGGTCTCCAGCTTCTTTTTGCGGGGCCATCTGTGATCTCGAAGAAGACTGGAGCTGACAAGCGCACCTCCGCATTCATGTTCGGGAACAGAAACGCGGCTTCCGTCCGCAAAAAGGAATGGAGTAAGCAGCAAACAAGGAACAAGTCCATCAAGTGACCTGCACTGCCCAGCACGACCCTTGATTGATATAGAACAGACCAGCACTGTATTAATAACCATCTTTTGCATTAGTAAGGTATATTAGCAGAGAAGTGATGTATTTCATACATCCTGAACTTTATTTGAGAATTCATCGTCCAGCGTTGCCGCCCATACCCATCATTTTAAACATATCCCCAAGGTTTGGCATGCCACCTCCCATGCCAGGTAACCCTCCAAGCCCGCCGAGACCATTGTTCATCTGTCCCATCATCCCTGGGGCGATGATCGACAGATTAGCATATGATAATCAATCAGAAAAAAGGACTGACTTTGCATCTCTTCCATATCAAATTGGTCACCTCCTTGACCCTGCATCATGGCTTTCATCATCTCCTGCATACCGCCACCGCTCCTTAATTGTCGTTGCATTTGTTGCAGCATCCCTGGAGGCATTGCGCGCTAGAAGGGAAGGGTTAAACCCCGCTATAATGACAAATCGTCTACTCACTTGCATCGCTTGAATCTGTGCAGGGGTAGGCATGCCGTTGGCTCCACGCCCACGCCCCCCTGCTGCGCTTTGCATCTTTTGCATCGCTTGTAACCTGCGGTTGTCATTTAGCCAATCACTTTTCAACCGAAGATCAGATCCGGCGTACCATCCATTCTTCCCACCCGCTTGCTTGGCCATGTTAGCCATCATCCTGTACTGACAAAGCAGTTCTTCGACTTCCCGCACACTCGTGCCGCTCCCTTTTGCCACACGCGTGACTCTCCATGTGAGTCCTACCGGTTTACCGTCCTTCCCCATTTCCATAAATAACGAACCGTCCGAATCAAGCTCGGCCGATGACATGCTGTCAGTAATATAGATCATGCGCTTCATTCGCATTGAACCTTCTTCGTCTGAACCTTGAAGTAATTCCTGGGGAAGGCCCGGTATCATCGAGGCGATCTTGCTTATTGGTCCCCTGGGACAAGGTTTATGATTACGATATGAACCTTAACAAAATAACTTACATATTCATCACGTTCTGTATTTGCTCCCTCCAGTCCCTTATGCTGAGTTTGCCTTCTTCGAGTTTTTTGGCCATTTCCTTCTGTTTATCGGGGTTTTGAGTGGCGAGATCTTGCATATGCTCCATGAGGCCCTGCATGTCGCCCAATCCAAGAAGTTTTGATATGAATGGCTGAGGCGAAAATCGATCTAGATCATGTAGATGTTCCCCAACCCCAAGGAAAATGATCGGGGTCTTTGTCGCGGCGACACTGAGACATGTCAGAAGTCAAGAATCTCAATAGTTATTGAACATGATCATACGCTGAGATGGCACCTCCACCCTTCGCATGACCGTCCATTTTGGTGACAATGATGGCACCAAAATCAGCGCTGTCCTTAAATGCTCGGCTCTGTGCCTCAGCGGCCTGGCCTAAGCCACGATTTAGTGGCCGTTGCGATTGGAGCAGTGCAGAATTACCTATGCTGGCATCGAGGATCATTACAGTCATGTTGGGCTTGACGGCTTCTCCGATTTGTACCATTTCTTGGAATAGTTCAGATTCTTGCTTGTGACGACCAGATGTGTCGACGATGATCACTTCAAATCTCTCTTTTTTGAATTTAGCAACACCTTGAGCTGCAATGGCGACCGGATCTGTTTCAGTGTATGAACCAAAGTAGGCTACCTTGGCCTTGGTTGCAGACTGTCTGGTCTGATCAAAAGCACCCGCGCGGAAAGTGTCCGCACAGACAATAGATGACTTGAAACCACGTTTCTGATAGTAGACAGCCAGTTTTGTACATGTGGTGGTCTTCCCGTTTCCCTTAAAATTATTGTAAATAGGCGGAAGGATAGCCGTATGTTGGAAGAGGTGCTTACCTGAAGACCCACGGCCATAATAACATTCGGTTGGCCTTTCTTTGGTTTGTATGGCTCGACACCTGGATCAACCAAGTGAACTAGCTCGTCGAAGACGGCCTGGGTGACAAGCGGGATCAACGCCGGTATAATATTCGACAAGCGTGCGGACCTTCTGTATGAGATTCTTCCGGCTAGAATCTTTTGACTTCTCTGAGCCATCCAGAGCTGCCTTTACCTTTACCTTCACTTTCTGTCGTAGAGACGCAACTAGTTTGACATTCACATCCGATTCCAATAGTGCAGCTGTGATCTCCTTGAGCGTTGCATCTAGTACCTGTGCGGCAGTACGGTAAGTGGATGTATTTGTAAATCTGCAGCAAACGTGCCTTCTCGTCAACGACAGGCGCTCTATTGAGCGACGACAAGGCAGCATTGAGTTTACGGCCGAGGTCAGCGAGAACCATGACAGTAGCAACTGAGGAACGGGTATGATCACGAACAGCCGCCACGTGGGAATCTTGATCATAACATGGCTCACAGCGACTCTGAAGGAGAAACTATCGATGACCTCGAATTCGATACAAGAACTACAGATGGCGATGCTGAAGAAGAGAACGATATCGACGAGGATCTTCTGGGTGCTTTGGACAACGGCGTAGATGAGGCAACAGAAGCAGACGAGGTAGATAGCAATTCACCCTAATTACATTCCCGGTAGCTTTTCACATTTTGTGTGCACACTGCAGGACTCCCCTTCGGACGACTCAGAAGATGACGAAGACGACGAAGATGAGTCAGAGCCTCCTGCTGAAGTCCATCTAGGTGGAACCTCTTCGTCGTCTGTCGCCGTTGTCCAACCAGATGTCAGTAAATCAGCTTCGGTTTCACCCAAACCGCCAACCCCTGAACCACCCAAAGGTACGTAGGACTTCCAAGTTCCGGATCTACCGTATCATATTACTTATACTTGCGACAAACTACCAGTAATACCTCAAATTCACCAGCGATCACCATCCCCTGCAAGTGTTCGAAAGAAGGCACTAGCGTTTCGCCGATCTCACAGCGAACTACAACCGCGAACTTTCACAGTGGAAGCAATAGGTGCCATACCCCACCCGGTGCCTACACATGCACTTGCTTCATCCTTCTGCATGACACACCTCCTTACCGGTTCGGATGACGGATTTATTCGTGACTACGATATATTCGCCACCGTAAATGGCAAGACCACACTAACAGCACCGCAGAGACACCACTGCAACGTCGTCGAGGGAAATATGAAAGCCGGTCAGATACGATCTTGGTGGGAAAACCCAGATTTTGTTCCTCAATCGGGGTACCCTCCGATGGGTCATTCTTCTCCATGCCCCGTTTATAGTCTAGCAATGCATTCCGACGCAATTTGGGCTCTAGGAGGCGCTAACGTATGCTTTCTAAACAGCATAATTTTTCCGACAACACTGAATTGGGAACTTCTGCAGCGTGGCCACATCAATCTCTTTACAGTACGACATGATCCGGGCCGTTTGGTTCATGTCCTGGCGAACGGACACCGAGGACCTATATCAGCTCTTTCCATTGATCATGACGAGAAAGGCTTCTTCAGCGCGGGATGGGATGGTGAAGCTACTGTAGGTCATACCCCTTTGATAGTGCAAGGGATTACTTGATTGAGAATATACAGCAATGGGATTTGAATACCGGGCAAGGTATCCGAAGGTTCACTGCCCACGGCGCGCAGCTTGTTGCTATTGCTGTTCGACCGCTCGGTTCCCCATACTATTCCGACCCTGTATCCTCCGCGGGAAGCTATGGTTCCTACTCGGTATCACAACCTATCAGGGAGAATGATATTTCCAGGGCGGCCAACGCGGAGCCACCGATCGCTACCACTGACGCTCAATTCAAGCAATCACCCAGCGTTTCTATTGATCCTCTTTCAAACCACAAAATGCAAGACGCAGATGCTAAATCTGATGCATCTTTTGATCCCCTATTTGATGGTGAACCGGATGCTGATGGTGAATTTGACAACGAGAATCCGCCTTCTGACGAATTCGGGGCGTTACGTTCTCAGGTTCCACAAAGGGACGGCTCGGCTGCGGACAACAAGTTGAACCTGGCCGTTCCTGAGGTGGCACCTCACTCTGGCCAGCAGGTATCGCGATCGCCTCAAAGCTCTGTTGCGCCTCCAAAAAATGCTCCGCCTTTGCTAAATGCTTCCAATAGTGCAACGTTTTCTCCAGATATTTTAATGATTGCTGCAATCGACGGGCAGATCATGCTTTGGGACAAAAGAGTTAATTCACAAGGAACAGGTGTAGGAAGACTTTGGATGAGTGAGAAAACTCCACCATGGTGTGTTTCTGTACGTATTCGCATACTTGCTGTATTGCGTTATTAACGCGGTCTCTAGGCTTGTTGGTCCACGGACGGGTCGCATATTTACGCTGGGCGCCGAAATGGAACAGTTGATGTTTGGGATGTCCGACTGCTCGGTTACTCTGGGCCGAATTGCACACCAAGACTACTGAAAAGTCTTCGCAATCCACCGAGTTCGGGTGTTGTCTCTTGTGTGGTGCCCTTCCCTGATGGCCGCCACATCGCATGGTGAGTCCACTCGTGACGTTGACAGGGATGAGAAGTTGAGGCCCCGCGTACCAGTGCATCGACAGACAATATCCGTTTGTGGAATGCCGTAGAGGCAGGTGAAGTGGACGGAAGTATGAAATCAAGGGGTGGAGTCCAATTCAAGATAATTCCAGGTCATCACGGGGGCTATGTTTCTCAGATGCGTACGTGCTATCCTATTGAATCCATACATATACGTGCCCTGTCAACTGACTGTTCTAAAGTTGTAGATCCGGGTGGTCGTTTCCTTGTGAGTGCTAGCAGTAACCGTGGGTGGCATGGGGATTCCACGCGTACCGTATTTGTGCATGACATCAAGCCAATACGATAAAGTTCATGAGTTTGGCATTACATTCACATCTCCAGATTTATGACAGCTCGGCTCAAATGTAATAGGATTAGGATTGCGCTATTTCAAATCCTTATTCAAGTTCCGCGGTATACGCACCTTTTCGCGAGAATCACATCGTTGTCCGCACATGGATGTCACATCTTCTCGTTATCCTTTTCAACTGAGATATAAGACTTGGGAATACTCCTTTCACAGCACTATGTCACTTCCTTGAATTCAGTCCACCAGCGCTTGCTCATGCGTCTCAACTATCCTATAATCTTCCCTCTCAACCAACTTACCTATGTTGGCGAGGATGACTCCGAATTCTTTTGTCAAATCCATGGCAGGAGATTCAATGCCCTCAGTTCCAGGTATATGCTACCTGCAGACGAGGAAGAAGTCAGGGTTAGATGGTTTCCCTATGCAGCCTCCCTTCCTTGTGTGATGAACTTGTTCCTGTTTCCAGCGATCAGAACTTCAGCACAAGACGATACAATTTCTCTTCAATGGAAAGAACTACGTTGGGCCCATCGCTGACATACTAAAACCAAAAGAGGCACAGGAGCGTTGCCGTATTCTTGACTTGGGCACGGGAGGTGGTTTCTGGTGAGTGTTCTAGGAATTTCGTGACGAGTTGGTGACAGGTATCTATAACTACCTTACAGGGCTATCGACATTGCAGACGAATTTCCTTCAGCGGAAGTCATAGGTGTCGACCTCGCTCCTGTTCAACCACGGTAATTTAGACTCCTTATCATATCATCGCGGGATGTCGTTAACATTGTTTTTCCAGTGAAGTGCCTGCCAACTGCACGTAAGTTTTCCCCTCTCAGTAGCACTTTGTCATTAATACGAAACTAGGTTTGAGCTCTGTGATCTGGATCAGTTCTACCTACCTTACCCGAGCGAGCACTTCGACGTTATCCACGCAAGGTTTATGCACACGGGAGTAAGAAATACCATACCGGTGGTTTGGATTCCCCCACTGACGAATCACAGATAGAAAATTATCCTCGATTTCTCCATGAAATCGCACGGATGCTTCGTCCAGGTGGACTCGTCATACTGATTGAACCCGATACTGAACCAATCGCGGATGAGAAATCCGCATCACATTTCATCCGCTCCGGACAGCCGTCTGGAATGCGTGGCTGGTTCACACTGTGGGAGACCTATAGGAGGTGCCTGCGTGACAAAGGCATCGACGTGAATATTCCTCCGGAGCTCTCCAATCTCGTTGCATCGACTGGGGAGTTCGATAAGATCGTCTCGCAGGAAGGAAACATCCCAATAGGGTTCTGGCCAAAGGGTATCAAATAACCGCAATGCCAAAGCCTCTTCAAGCTTATCCATTTGTACTTTACAGATCCCGTTGCTCTCAGTATCGGTCAGCTAGCGTGGATGAACTATGACATCATGCTTCCTGCGATGAAGCCTCTTTTCTTATCTTCTGGGATGCGGGATTGGGAAGCAAAGAAATTGATCGAGGAAGCTCATCAGGACCTGTATTACCCGCTTGTTCGAGCTTCCTCGCGCCTCCATATTGTGCACGCAGTCAAGAAGGCAAACCATCCTTGACTCGTTTTCATACTTTCTGATCATATGTTGCTTTCTGTCTGGGCGTTGGAAAAGTACCATAGCTCTTCATGTATCCTACTTTTTCATGTTAATGATTGGCACGATGAATACGTGACGAGCATTCGATGGCAGGAGAAATCACACATGCAGACAATACAAGCATATCACCTCTGTTCCTTTATTTAAGTACACAAAGGATTGACCACCACCTATACCTATGACATAGAGAAAAAGCGATGACGAGGAGGCAGCAGTCGCAGATGATAAACATGCCACACAGCGTGTAAACGAAACGAAAGGACGAGCCGAGAATCTGCTCCAGAAAACAATATCTTGAAACAACAAAACCGCCGAATGACCCCGCCCCAAGCTACACCTCATGCTTCTCCGGTGCTCAAGCTTCTTCCTTCGCGAAATCGTGGAGTACAGCGAGAGCCTCGTTGACCTTGGCAGCCATAGCATCAGTGGACTGAAGGAGGTGGAAGAGTTCTGCGTTGTCCATCTCGAGCAACATGCCAGTAATCTTGCCAGCCAACTCAGGTTGCGAACTACGATAAGCGATATCAATAACAATGCGCAATTAAATCAGTGACAACTTACGTCAGAATATTCATGTAAATGATCTCGCCTAGCATCTGCTTCTGTTCCATAGGAGATGCATTAGCCATGGCAGCCTGGATGGCGTCAGCCTGCGGGTGAGCCGCGCTCGCGGGGGGAGAGGTAGCTGGAACCGGGGCGGCAACAGCATTGCGGGTCTGAGGATTGAGCTTGTACTGCTGCTGGCTACGAGCACCAGGAACAGGAGCACCACCAGGAGGACGAGAGGGAGGTACACCGCCTTGGGGAGGACCGGGGCGGGGAACAGCACCGTTGGCCGGGGGGCCGTTGACACGCGGCAGGGGAACATTAGGATTGGTGGGGGAAGAACCAGGTCCACGAGCAACGGGAGGACGAGGGCCTCCACGAGAATACCCAGGCATACCAAACTGAGGAGGTGTGCCATAAGCAGGCATGGGCATACCGGTGGGGGCTTGGCCGTTGCTGGGAGGGTAGCGGGGACGTGGGGGCATCATACCAGGTTGACCGTAACCCATCATGTTGCGGCTCTGAGGAGGGAAACCGCCAGGACCGGGGTAGTAGAGGGGAGCACCCATGTAAGCAGGCCCTGGCATTCCAGCAGCCGCAGCCTGTTGCATGCGGATCTGGTTTCGCTGAGCAATCTGGCTTTCCAGTTGCTGCCTGCGAACCTCGCGGCGTTGGGCGAGAGAGACGTACAGTGGCTTTGAGCCAATCATCTTGTTGTTCATCTCTGCGACTGCCTTGGTAGCTTCGTCGGGGGATGAAAAGCATACAAATCCAAAGCCCTTTGAGGTGTTCTTCTCGTCGCGCATGACCTTGCAACTAGTGATGGTACCAAAAGGTTCGAACTCGGCTCGGAGCTTCTCATCATCAACGTCATCCTCCAGGTTCTTGATGTAAAGGTTGACACCCGCATACTTGCTGAGCTTCTCCATCTTCGCCTGCTCATAAGACCTGCGCAATTCCTCCTCGCGCTCAGCCTTCTTCTGGGCACGGGAGACGAAGAGCTTCTTGCCGTTGATCTCCATGTCGTGAAGGTTGTCAACAGCTCTCTGGGCCTCATCGTGTAACTCATAATTGACGAAGCCGAAACCCTTGCTCTTGCCCTCATCATCGACCTGGATGATTGCGGAAGTCACCTTACCATATCGGTTGAAAAGCTCCTCGAACTCCTCTTGGGTGACTTCGAGGTCAAGGTTCTTAATATATAAATTGGTGAATTGGGCCTTCATCTCATCGAGCTTGGATTGACGTTCCTATGAAAATAGGGGAGGAGCTAAGTATGAGACCACACATTCTGACAAATGACGCAAACCTTGCGAGAGATGTGGTGACCGACGTACACCTTCTTGTCGTTCAACAGCATGCCGTTGACAGCTTTGATGGCACTATCGGCAGCTTCTGCCGTCTCATAATGAACAAAACCATAGCCCTTCGAGCGACCCTGCTCGTCAGTGGCAACCTTGCACGACAAAACGTTGCCGAAGGCAGCGAACGTATCATGAAGAGCCTGGAATGACCTGTAAGATGACGAGAGTGTAATATTTGCGCAAAAGCTTACTTTGTTGTCGATAGCCTCGTCAAGGTTCTTGATGAAGATGTTGCCTTGACCAGTTTTGCGCAAGGCAGGATCACGCTGGGACCACATGATACGGCTTTAATAAAATTGTGAATGATAACTCTGTGCCTTGGCGACGTGTTGTTGGCCACTTACCATGCACGGTTCTTAATAAGCGAGTAGTTGAGCTGCTCGAGAGCACGCTCACCTGGGAAGATTAGATTAGAAAACCAATCTGAGAATGAGTCTACTGTAATCGACGTACCATCACTGGTGTTTAAATAATTGACGTACGCGTATCCGAGGGAGCGACGCGTCACAGCGTCGCGGCAGACACGGATGCTGGAATATGCCACGACACTTCAGAACCTAATAAAACCAGGCGACTAAAACACGCACCTTGCAACCGGACCGATCATATTGAAGATCTCAAACAGCATGGCTTCCGTGACGGTAGGGTCAAGTTCGCCGACGTAAAGCGAAGCCGAAGGAGAGGACGTGACCGAAGTCTGAGGGTTGTAAGATGGAGTTGGAGCTGGGCCAGCAGGTGCAGGCTCGGGTTGGACCATCGGAACGGTCTCGGGAACGGAAGATGAAGACATATTTGGTTTTCTGGATTTTGGGGTCGTTACTGCTTTGAGGACTTTTTCTGCGACTGCACGGACATAAGATGTAGATTGATAAACAAGATGAACGGAGATGATAAGAAGAGACGAACGCACACAGGAGGCAACAAGGCAACCGCTTTTTTTTCTAAAGTCTTTTTTATGAAATTTTTTGGTCTTTTAGGCTATTGAAACCAGTTAGCACGCGACACTCGGAAACATGGATGACGAGACTAACCAAGGTGGTGGTTGTAGAAAACAAGTGAAGCTGGACGCTTTTAGATCAATCTTCAATTTTCAAACTCAGCTTACTCAGACCATCCACCGGTGGAAGCAAGGGTGCAGGCTTAAATATTTTCTCTTGTTTCATCTAGCATAATATTGTTCCACAAGTTTTATGTCATTGATCCGGTCATACAAGGCCGTCCATTGTGCAGTGATCATAGCTCAGATTTAGACAAGAGTTCGTGATCGGAGAGGTAAGTAGTACATGCACGAAGTCGCCACATGACCAAGTAAGTACTATTCGAGAAGGAAGCGTCATATCAGCCTCGCGTGAAATAAGCCTTCGCGCCATGAGAAGCTAGCTCTGCTTTAGCCTGCAGGACCGCATCAGCACCCTAAACATGGAACACGTATGTCAAAATAAATTACCTTGTCCATGGTGTGTCCGGCAGCTGAATGATGGTTCCATATCTGCAAGTGCCCTAGTCACGCCTCTACTGCGCAGACTGCACGGAGCAACGTACCTGGCGGTAATAGAAAGCATTCCCTAATCCTTGCACTGTCCAGCCCACTGTAGCGATCGTGCCAAGAATGCCAGCGGCCCAGTGGCCTTGCGCGTACATCTGAATTGTCTGAATAAGCCCTGCAGACCCTGTACTGGGAATCCCGATGATCCTGCACGGAATGAAACCACATTCAGCTTGATAGTCATGGTTTGCGAGGCGTACACGCACATGTAAACACTGAAGAGAAGGTGGAAGCCACCAAAGAAGAAATAGAAGTCTGTGAAATGAAATGCGGTTTAGCGCGATCGAGGATCAAATTTTAGTTTGACGGACAGTAGTAAAGCGCTTGCTCCTGCATGTCATGTCAATTTGAGAACATGCTGGTAGGATGTTGCAATGACGCTAACCTTCATATAACCATTATATATGGGCCTAATGAGGGGTAAATTTCTGAGACCCTGGTGTAGCATGGATGCCCATGACTTACCTATACCACAACAAGAACGATAAAGGCGCGATGATGAACATGTATCTAGCGTTTCATTGAGCGAGGAAGAGAATACACACTAGAGCCTTGCTCACCCTATACTTCCACCGAGGTCCTTTCCGCCGTCGCTTGAACCAGCAATTAGAAGAGATATACAAGCTACCATGTTCAAGATTAGGGTTCCCAAAAGGACTAGCCAGAGCTGGTACAGGCGAGTGATCAAAGGTCTTGAAGCCTCGGGAATCTCTTCGGAAATGGCATGGTAAATAAGGGGGTAAACTGGTTTGGAGGATGAGTATACGTTGCGATGAAATGCCCAGTCTGGCTCCTACACGGTGGCCAATTGTTGCGTCCATGGGTACGAATATGCTCTGCTCTCTGATTCAGTTCGCGCTCACGCCTTTCCAAATCTTGTTCTCGTCTGCTAATATCCTCAAAACGGGCGTCGTGTTGAGGAACCTGCTTTGATGATGGGTCGTCAAAGGGATTCGTGTCAAGCGAATGGCTTGAGGCGAAGGGGTTTTCAGTGAATTCACCTTAGACAAATTCAAGTTAGGGGACAGTTGAGAATTTTCAATGGGAACGCACTCATGACTGGAGAGATTCTATTGCTGGTGTGTTAGCTATTTCGCTTTAGCTAGCTATGTTCCTGAAAGTAACCGTCCGACGAAGAAGGGATGTGCACGACTGCCACAAGTAACCGAGCATCGGAATTCGCCGGGATAACCCCCCTTTGTGAGAATTATTATTTTTCGATCATATACGCCTATTTGTGGACATTTAAGCGGACATGTACATGCGTAGCCATGCACTGCTGCGGGGACCTAATAGAAAATTTTCTACAAATGAAATGATCATCTTACAGCAAAATGTCATTACCCATTGGACGTGGTTGGTTACACCACAAGTTGAAAGCAAGCCTGGCGAAGGCTTCTGTGGCACAATAAAAAGATGCGACTGCAATCGAGGACAACGTTTTGCCGACGTGGGAAATGAAATCCATTAATCCGGTCATACAAGGGATAAAAGTCTGAAAGACTTTATTCGGAAGTAATAACCGTGTCTCTCCTCCTACCACTTTCTTTCTCCCTTCAATTACCGTCAGGTAAACGCATTCCTTCGTTTTTTTCATAACGTCGGTTCCTCGCATCCGACTCATGCTTTTCGTGCGTGCTAACACCATTTTTTTTGACTTAAATAGTTGGACCTTTGCAAGTGTCCTGTCACTCGTTGATCACGAACGCCTCGTCTTCACCCCGCTCTCTCCACATCTGCATTCTTTTTCTCCTATTTACACCACATTATTCAACATGTTCTCCACATTCGCAACACTCGTCCTGTCCCTCATTGCTACGTCTGCAGTATCTGCGCTCGTCGTTCCTCGCACATCTGCCCCTCAAGGCTGGGACACCTCAGCTCTTGAGGTTTGTCAATCTATCCCTTGTGAATTATGACCCTGTGTCCTGACACCGTTTCTCAGCCCTATGACACCTACCACTGTAGATATGTTGCAATCCAGTGCCAGACCCAGCACAACACGCAATTCTTTTCTGACTGCTGCCACCCCCTTGCGGTTGGTGTTATGTTGTATGTCTTGGATTGACCTTGCTCATAGTTCATCTAGGCCGGCGAGAGCGCTAGCGCTCTTCCCGCTCAGTGCCAGATGCCCTCTGGTGTCACCTGCAGCAATGGTGAACCTGTATCGAATGGTGGGAGTGACGATGGCTGTGATGATGGTCCCTCATCAACTCCAACAGCTTCTCCTGCATCCTCTGCCCCCGTCGCTGCCCCTGCTCCGACTACCACCTCTACCACGGAGGCAGTATCGACGACCGCGCCATCGACTGGTTCTAGCGACAGCAGCCTGAACTATGGCGGATAGTAAATATACTTTGTCATACCATTGCTCGAATACTCAAGTTTGCATTACAGTGCAACTTACTTCTACCAGGAAGGCAACCCAGGCGCATGTGGAACAGTTCACTCTGATTCTGACTTCATCTGCGCTATGGATCAATCTCGTTATGGCAACTCTGGCAATACTTCCCCTCTTTGTGGTCAACAGGTCCAAATCACCAATCAGATCAACGGCAACACTGTCGTGGTTACGATTGCTGATGACTGCCCGACTTGTCAGAACTCGAACTCCATCGACCTTTCTGTTGCTGCCTTCCAAGCTCTAGACGACCTCTCCGTCGGCGATCTTCCCAGTACGTCTTGTCTCATCACTATGTTTAGTGATCCTGGGCTGACCTGACCCTTAATAGTTACCTGGAAATTCCTTAATTAGTTGTCTCTTAGCAGACACTGTGTGCCTCTTCCATTGTTCACTGTTTTCTTTGTCGCATTGATGCGTTATTTGGTTTGACGGGCTAGTCCCGTTGGAGCGTGGTAGCTGGCCTTGGCGTTCAGGACATCAATTACCCTGGTGGCTCTTGGTTTCCACACCGACGATCAAATACCCCCATTCCCTCCACTGGCAACATATGTTCATTGTTCGCTCTTGTTTATATGGCTTTACAATCACTCGGAATTACGCATACTCATGAATTTCTTTTGTTATCCAGTTTTTATCATATTTAGGGCGTGCAATATGTTTCATACATTGTTGATAGCTGGCTACAGTAGTGTCACAGATGCTCGGTCATGTCATATTCACATAGACGACGCAGTGCGTAATAACATAGATATTAAATCATTTGATTGATGCCATTGTGAGTGCTGTACTAAAAGAACAAAGGGAAGTCCTGGTTTATACAAGGTTGCTGAACTTTGGCAGCGTGCAACTTATTATTAGGACCTCGTCTTCTGTATCGCCGAAGGTTGTCGATGATGATATTTGACATCGGATGGTGACAACGTTCCAAAAAAGTTAGCGCTCGCTATTATAATTTGTTCCTCATGGAGATAGATGTATGCATCGCAGCGTTTAGAACGTTCTTGTTCGATGATCTAGAGTCCTTGTGCCAACATGCCGCCGTCAACGTCAACGTTCAACGTTCATACCCAGGAGGGGGGTCTCCAGTTTAATTATGGTACGTTCCCTGAATTTGTGGCTATTTTGCAACGACATTTCAATAACACTGTAAATCTAGTTACAAAATATTGGTCTACGTTGCAACAAGGTACGAGACAACACTCCGACCTTTTAAGGTTTGAGTGAAAATCTAAAATCTAAATGCTGCGGAAACTCATTATTCGATCGGCGAAGAGCTCACGCGCAAATACTAATGCTATTACATAGACGATGTGAGTCATGTGACGCGGTCAATTGCACTATCCATATTATGTAATATTGGATGCGGCCATTAATCACCCAGTCACCAGTGCAAAGATAACTAGTCCACATAATTGTTTACAAGCAAAAAAAAACAAGGAAAAAAAGGATTGCTCCTTGATGAGGGCTGTGAACAGATTTGAAAAGGAGGGGCTACATCGGTTCACTGATCCGGGCCGATGGACAGGGTCACTACTGCATATCATGTCAGTAGGTCGGGCATGCACTCGGGCACGAGCCACAGCCTACAGGCCGGTCAGCCTGCGTCATCACGGACATCCCAATTCAACTAGCCAGCGCCGTACCAAACAGTCGCAAATACCTCCATATATAGGTTTTGCGCGTTGTAGACGCGTTCAAGTTGATAAGTATCAAGTATCAGTACCTCATACAGCTCTAACCTAGACACCATGTCAGCTATTGCTCATAAAATTCTGGTTGTTGGTGGTAATGGTTTTGTTGGTATGAGCTTCTAACTCCTTATGTCGTGCCAAATCATTTATGACTCGCAGGATCCGCGGTTTGTAAGATCGCTCTTGCCCGGGGAATGGAGGTCACCAGTATAAGGTAAGTCATTTCTGCAGCGTATAACAATTCTACCATCCGCGGTGCGGCAGCTCTTCCGGAAAACCTTACAAAACTCCACAAGGCCATACCCCTGCATGGGTGGAAAGGGTACGTGCCTCGTGCCCCCCTCCCAACCACATCAGCCCACTCAAACCCCAAACAGGTAGAGTGGCGGAAGGCTGACGCCATGAATCCGGAATCATATGCGGACATTCTCCCCAGTGTTGATGCCGTTGTCCACACTGTTGGTACACTTCTAGACAACACGCAGTACAAGCAGAAGATGCAAGACGGTGATTTATTGGGCTTTATCAAATACATTGTGGGCATGGGCGGTCCTGCACCAGAAGGTCAACGGAGCGCTTACGATATCCTCAATTATGAATCAGGTGCGTGATCCTTAATGGCCTTGTTTTACTGCGTGCGGTATTCATGCGTCGTCAGCTGTTCGAGTGTGTGAAACATTCGTCGCGAGTAAGCCCGTATCCGGACTTACACGTGTTCGTCCCTTTGTCTACGTCTCCGCGGAGGACTTCAACCGACCTCTTGTCTCCGCGCGCTATTTCGAAACGAAACGGCAGGCCGAGCAGCGAATTGAGGAAATCGTCACAGATCATCCTCAATACAAGGGGGTGTATGTCCGCCCCAGTAAGTACATAGCATTGACGATTCAATTTTTAATAACGAGTTATACTAGGTATAATATACCATCCGCATAACCGACCGATAACTACTATTCCAGCTACGATATTCGGTTTCTCGTCATGGGCCCATGACGCAGTGCCATCATATATCCCGATGCCTGCTTCGGTTCTTCGATGGTTAGGCACGTCGGTGTTTCCCACTGCTACGGACAAAACGCCTTCCTCCCTGAATTCCATGGCGAACTTGCTCTCGATCCCGCCAATTAATGTGGATCATCTGGCTGAGGCTATTTGTATTTCCTTGGATCCAGCTAAGGATATACGTGGTGTTGTTGGTACACGCGATATGCACCAACTGATCGGGATGTCCCAGACGGGATCAGAGGAGCCGGCGGCAAACACCTAGAACGTTATATACCTTTCATATTCCCTCGACGTCATACTGTACATTTTTTGTTCCTTCGTGGTAAATCGTTAATTCTCGGTCGACTGATTACGCGCTAGTTTCGTGAAAAGAATATCTGAAGGACATTAGCTTTATGCAAGTTGTTAGGTGTTGTAGTTAGTATAAAAAGATCTAGTGACTCGGGGGAAGACTCGGAGAATTTCAGACTCAGACCCAGTGTTCTCGTCAAGAACTATATAAACGATCGAGGCTTCAAAAGTCTTCCAGCGAGTAGAAGTGCTTTGATAGTGTGAGCAGGACAGTCACTGACTCGGAGATAGATGCACGGAGAGGCAAAGTCCGAACTTCGTCTGTCATGGGCTCGGTCAGTCATTGGGAATAAGACGTGCTCCTCTGCCGTATACCAGTGCGTACTGTCATTTTTGGACTGGTACATGCATATAACGGGTAATGCGGACCCTAGGCAATGTCTCGAGCGGAGATATGGTTGCACATTCTGACTATCCCGATCAATGACACCATTATCCAATAGTTTGGATGACAAGTAGAGCAAGAAACACTTGAAGCGGACGGTTCGCTGACATACCTTGCGTAAAGTCAATCACCTCACCCCCAATTGAGGTCGCACACGCAGCCTGAGACGCCGCTTGGCACCAATATTGGATATGGAAAGATTGGACGCTCGACTGATGACGAGGTCTCCAAGCCAGGTGAAGGCGTTCATCCAGTGATTTTTCAGGTAAGCCGACGATTGTCTGAAACTTATGAAAGGGATTTGATTTTCCTAAAAATCGTCGAAGGAAAGCACGTTGCTAGTGGTACAGCGCAATGATAACTATCGCGGATGGTCACATGGACGTTGGCGTGTGAGATCGTGACTAACCACAGATAGACTCGCGAGTGGCTATGATGTGATAGCGGGTAAGATGTAAGACATGGCATTACCATTGAGGGGGATGTCGTGGTGACTCGTTGGCAAAGTACAGCACTTTGTCACCCAACCTTTGCCGTGGAATGAAGTCTAGACTCCAATTGTGTGATTTGCACTTACTTACTTTGGTATGACACAAACTGTCTCCTTTAAATCATTGAAATGGGTGATTCAGACTTCTTCCCCACGTAACACCCCATTACCACGTAACACCCCGCCACTCCCCCCCCCCCCCAAATTGTTGGTGAAGCGAGGAAGCGTACCTCGCGAAGCAGTACACTAAGCTATCCGCGTACGTTCGTACGTATCGACGGAACAAAATTTATCGAACGACATTCAATAAACACATCATTCGATACCACCCAGCGGAATATATACCTATCATTAATTCGCCTCTAATTCTATCCGCTTCCTTCCTCATGAACTTTCTGTTCGCTCGCGCCCCGTCAATACGATTCGCCCCCACTGCAACTGCGCACAGATCTATCTCCCATTCTGTATCGGTTTCAAAGGCACTACCATTTTATCTCAACACTCTGCGCTCAGCGGAACAAAATGACGGCAAGGTCTTGCGTATGCTCATGTTCGGAAAACCCGGCGCTGGCAAGGGAACACTCTCAGCCCGCCTCGTGAAGAAGTATGACATACTGTCCCTATCCACTGGTGACCTTTTGCGGCAGCACATCGCGGAGAGGTGAGGTCAAATTCACGTGTCACATATGTGGCTACGGCGCATGATGCTGCGGTGCTGACCCTTGCTTGTCATGGTATTAGAACTGAAGTTGGCAGACAGGCAGAAGAAATTGTTGCACAGGGAAGCTTACTTCCTGATGATGTCATGCTAAAAGTGGTCGCGAGCAAACTCGAGTCGCTCAACAACAGGGTCAGTCTGCCACATTTCCCTCCGACATGGTTGCGGGCCTGAATTAGTACCCGATTTTTACAGCATTGGATTTTGGACGGCTTTCCACGAACACTAGGTCAAGGCAAATTGCTTGATGCCCATCTTCAGTTCGTAATCTCAATCTCATGCCGTCGGGGCCCACGTATTGACTAAGGTTTCAGGAACCAGAATGCCCCATTAAGTCTCGTAGTCAACTTGGATGTCGCAGACAATGTCATCCTGAGTCGGATATCTGACCGCTGGGTTCATCTGCCATCTGGCCGTGTGTACAACATGTCATACAACCGACCCAAAGTGGATGGATTCGATGATGAAACAGGCGAACCATTGACGAGGCGACCTGATGATAACCCTGTACGTGGATTCAAAACCTAAATGTCCATAACAAAGTTCCGACGGATGATTAATCAGGAGATATTTTCTCGCCGTCTCAAGCAATTTTACGATTCCACGTCGCCCTTGCTCGCATATTACGCATCGCCGGTCAACAAATTGGCACGACTTATTACTCTGCAAGGCGAAACGTCGGACGAGATTTGGCCTCAGTTAGACGCCGTCGTGCGAAGGTCGTTCCCCGGCGTTCGGGAACGCATTTCAAGCATTTCCCAGCGGCGGTATAGTCTCAGTGACCCATTTGCAATGGAACAAGAAAAGCGGGCCATCATGCGAGGTGCGGCTAGTGATGGGCCTAATCCATCCAAATTTTTAAATTAGCCGTGTTTCGTAGTTGACGTTGAGTATTTTGCTGTTCGCCCTTTCGCCATTTCTTGTTGCATTTTTCTTGTTCTACCTACGTCTCAACTACGTCTTTCGAATATTTTGACATCTCACCATGTTTTTTATCAATTGTATTTCTACCCTTGCAATCATACCGATAGGAAGTCTGGTATGCAGCCTTGGGATCAAATTGATTACCAGACAATTGTTTGTAGAACTTCAACACATTAAGGAGGTAGTCGCGGAAGGTGTTTACCATGTGCCAGGCTATCGATCCTTCTGTTGTACGTTGCCACAAAGTCATCCGCTTGGTCCCAGCTGTAGAAGTCCATCTCCCTGTTCAAATTTTCATGTCCTCCACAATACTTGAGCTCAATTGTTGGGTCCTTGGTGATTCCCCAAAGCACATGTTTCCAGTCAATATCGAAAGTGCGAGTACTGTGGACCACTTGAAGGACGCTATCAAGGATAGTGCACCAAATTGATTTAGTGATATTGATGCTTATGTGCTTGACCTATGGTCCATGGAAGGTGAGTGATTGAACTGAAGATCTGGTACTGACGATGTGAAACTGCAGACGGTTAATATCAACACAAATGACGTGGACTTACTCGACACAATTGGATATCAAGACAGCGTCAAGGGTGGCGAGCCGCTGAATCCAATGGCCAGACTGCATAAAGTGTTCAAGGATGGATTGGAAGATGAACATCTTCATATTGTTATGGTGTATTATTGAAAGTGTAACAAATGTATCGATGTAACTAAGCTTTGTCTCGACTCTCAACCCATCACTAGCATGTCACCACGGACATCTCTAGCTCACATTTCTGCGTACAAACGTTTTATCCACACGTCTAGGCCATCGTTCAACTTTATCGGGCTTCCAGATCCAACTTCCAACCTCCGTCCTATCATATACACCACTGCCACCTCTTCGTCCTCCCCTTCTGAGTCTAAACAGCACCCATACTCCCTCAGAGAATTCTCAGACGATACAGTAGACCACGAACTACAGTGGAAACTTCATCGAGAACAGCTCGACGGGTTCAACCACGCATACTGGGCAGAAGTAGGTTCTGCATTATCGTGATTCAGAACGAATGATTCGAATCGATCACTACTAGAGTAACACCCGCTTCGAAGCTGCCAAATCCTCAGTCCTCGCTGCCCTCCCACCCCATGCACCTACAGAAGCACACGAGCACGCCTTGTCTGACTTTTACAAGAAGTGGGTGGTCCAGGAATGGGCGCGCCAGGACGAGTATGCCGCGGAGCTCAGGAAACGGACACTCGAGGATCTCTCGCTCTCTGCTAAAGTTGAGTTTCAGAGGGTAAAAAAGAGGTTGGCAAGCTGGAGGTTTCTATAATTTATATAGATTTTGCAACTGCAGGATTCGTACGACACTACTCTATCCCTCTCTTGCGTACCCCAGATCCAGCATCACCAGCTCCCTAACACGATGATACACGTCTTCCAGTCTCAGTCCTTCGACTCCTGAGCTCTCGGCTCTGTAATCTCTCGCCAAGTCACCCACCATGTCCTCCTGTATGCCTGGGAAACGCGACTTAATCTCGGGCATCAAAGGCACCGACAAGCATTCTTTCGGGTCAAGGTCGACACCTGGTATTTGAGATAATTGGGGCGAGGGTAAAATAACGTTGAACGTGGTATAAAGCGCGGTTGCACGGAAGCGGGAGGTTAGTTGAGCGTCAGTGATGTTGGCAGTTTCGCGGATTGAGTCCCAGCTAAAATGACCATTAAAGCTGATGAATGGTATAGGGAAATGGAACATACTCATCGTGATTGTATATTCTACACCACACTCTTTTGAATGAGGATTGTCTCCTTGCGTCTGGAATATCCTTGTACGACAGTCGTCATTCCAGCGACAAAAAAGCCATGATAAGCGCGACGACATACCTCGGCATGCGCAAGTAAGTGCAGCGCAGTAGCATAGTTTTCCACGCTCTCCGCATTGTCTTGCAGTGTAAGCACGTCCGCTGCATCTTCCAAGCTGAGCGCCTTGCCCTGAAGCACTTGCCTCACAAAAATCTTCATTATCTGCTCACAGAAATCAGCACAAATTTAGAGAAACAATAGAAATCTACGCACCCCAAGCAGCCCGTGCCTCCGGTCCCCTTTTAGTCTGGTACCTTTCGCCCTTATTACCGCATCCACTTGCGCGTCCAGGCTCTGTTTTTGTTTGCCCCGCAAACTGCTGACAGCTTCCCGAAATTCCTGAAGAATTTTCTCCTGCACCGATATAAAATCCAGGCTATCATGGAATGCTGGACGGCATTTAGTCCAGCACATTGGTGCAAAAGGAACCGAACAAACGTACCATCCAATACAGCATCGTCCGCATCCCCAGCCTCCTGCATCTGCGCCAAATGCGCAAGCTTGCCTACGCTAAGCATAAACTACACCGCACACCAATCAACACCTACCCCGATCCAATCACCGAAATCCGAATTGACTCACATGCTTAACACCTACATCTCCAGCGCCCTTCGCCTCTCTAAACAATCTTGTGCCAGCAACACTCCACCGCCCCTGCCCCAAATCCCTCAACCACGCCACCGCATCGCATCTACCTCCCTCACCTTCCTCCTCCGCCCAGTACTCATCCATATACCTTCCCCACTCTCCCCTCCCACTCTCCTCCATCGCAAATACCACCCTCGCTTCCCCATGCACCATACACCATCGCACGACCTCCCTCGCAAACATTCCGCCAAAGCGGTCGACATACTCTTCGATCGTGCGCGCGTGCGGATTGGAAGAGGGCGGGTAGACGGTGTCTTGGTGTAATAGCGCAGCGAGAGAGCGGAAGTCGGCGTGTGATGCGGCGAGCGTGAGAGCGTTTGGGAGGTAAGAGGTCAGACCTGTAAATTATGGGGTAGTTAGGAAAATGAAAGGGAGAAGATTGAAAGAAGGGAAAGCGTACGAAGAGTTTCGAGGATCTCGGGGCGGAGTTGGTCGAAGCGTTCTTTGAGCTCTATGTGGTCCCTCTCGGAACCAGGTTCGTCTGCTGCTATGGGACTATCCGTCGATTAGCCCTCTTCTCTCTCGCGCTATGCATTGAGATAAACAACTCGCCTATCGAGCCAATCCAATCTCTCTTGCATACATGCGAAAAACATTATCGCAAGCTCTGGGAGAAGCTCTCTCGATGCGCTTTTAGTGTTTGCTTTGCTCGGGTCAAGCGCGAACCTATAGCAAAGAAGGGTCACGATAAACATGATAAACGCATCCAAAATCTACGCACCTCGTGGCTGCATCGACAAGCTTTAACACACCGTCGATGGCGCTTGGACGGCTCGTCCACGGCTTGATCATAGGCAGTTCAATGCCATACACGGCAAGATTATACGCTCTATACGAGAGCGCTGCTTGCAGAATCGTCTAGAGCCCACATCAGAACCATTCCAAACACGTACAAAACATTGTGAGAGTGTGAGGGTAAAAACTCACAACAACAGCACCTCCAACCTCTTTCATAGCACCTTCTCCGGTCCTCTCGACCCGTTCCACCATGAACGGAACCAGCCGGCCAATCTCTGCTACTCTATACCGGAAGAAATCTCGGACAACATCGTGCGAAGCGGATGGGTGTAAAAGAGGGTGGGCAGCTGTGAATGCGTGAATGGCATCAGTGACGAGGGAGTGGGAGGCCCCAGCGCTGTTCGGATGTAATCAGAGGGGTAAATAAAGGAAGGAGTAGATAGAAGACGCACTCTAAATGTTCATTCATCTTCAACCAAAGCTGATGACATGCATAAAGCTTTTCCGCATCTGTAGCAAGACGCTGGCGGCTGCGTTGCGACATCTTTGCGAGTGCTGCATTGTCATTGATGAAACGTATGAGCCAGCTGAGCCTATCTTTTCGAGAGGTCAGTTGAGAGGTGAGGTCATGATTTGGTCGGATGATCTCTGGGTCTTTCCGGTTGGAATAAAGGTGTCGCGCCAATAATGAAAATAACCGACCGAAATCATTGCAGAAGAAATCAGCGTCTTTGAAGTAGCTGCAAGAATAATATGTACGTACCACTCTCGAGGACGGCCCTGCTTAACCCCTCTGCACCTGTCATGAGCGCCTCGGCATCAACCTCGGGCGGAAATGAGAAATGTAGGGGGTTATCGGGGTTGCTTCCGTAAAGTATGGCTTGTGTGAGGAGTGCTCTTATGAGGATCGCGCGGCCGGTTCTGTGGAATCAGATTGGATCAGTCATCAGGACACGGGGCAAAGAAGTAGACGGAGGAGAGGAACGCGACTTACGCCTCATCGAATGATTTGACCCTCCCTAAATCCACACGAGCACGCATGAGCACGCCGGCTGTTAGTATGAGCATGTCCTCGGGTCCTGCTCCTCCCCCTTGTTCCTGTTCTGCAGGAAACGAGTGCATTGGGGATTGGAATGTTGTAAGCACACCGAGTCCGAGTATCTGATCTGTGTTGGGGGCTTTCAGGGTAAGGCGATCCTGGTAGGGAGAGTCTATGCCGCAAAGGGGTGAGTTGTTCGCTGAATCATGGCAGGCTGAGACGAGAACGCACCCCGAGCACAAAATACGACCACATCTACGAATCTGATCGCTACGACTGCACCTCCCCCGAGGAGTGTCAGACGAGGATGTAAGGGTGCCGACGCGGCTGTCTATGAGCACGCTTTTTAGCTAGATTTCATGCAGAGCCAAGATAGAGAGTCCCACCGTAGCATATAGCACCCCCGTAACACCATCTATCTTCATGCCTCCACCTATGCCCTCTATCACACCTCCATCTCCACCCCCTCCCTCAAACTTCGCCACCTCACCCCGCTTCGTGCTAGCACTAAGTCTGACAAGCGCATATATCCTTCTCGGTACCGGTACGCCCATACCAAACCCACCGTACTGGTCAATCGCCATCGCAGCTGTCTCTTGCTCGGACCCGGCGTATGAGACCAGGACAACGAGTGTCCCATCGCTGTAGATACGACAATTAGCCAGATCTTAACCCAACACGATCAAAATGCACCTCTCCACGCCCAAATCGACACCCTCTAGATCCTCCACGTTCCCCACTGCTTCCCGGACATCCACTTCACCCAGTAGCACCTCCTTATTCAAGCTCCACCTCTGCACGCGGGTCTCGCTGAGCGTCCATAATTCCTTATCTGCTACCATACCCCTTCTAACCTCGCCACTACCAAAACCAAGAGCAAGAGCAGATATATTCCCTAGTGTAGGCTGGGGAGCAGGCGTGGACCAGAGGAGACGCGCAAGAGAGAGCCCAGGTGCGGGCGGCGGTGCAAAAAGCCTCGCTGAGAGCGTATGCCGCCCGCTTTGAGATGTGAGCGTGAGTCTAAATAGACGTCCATGCGATGTAGACGCAATGTAGATTTGACCCTACGAGCGTACGTCAACACAAAAGACATATGAGCGTGCTGAGGCACCTACGTCAACCCTAAGCAATCCAGACGTATACTCTCCCTCTCCGAGCTCAAGATTGATGCTTTCGAAACTGCCGCCACCTGCTAGACCGCTGGTTATGCTGTCCCAGAAACGGATGTCACCTCGGACGGAGAGAAGGACAAGACCAGGTTCTGAACGTGACCTAGAGGGGACTAGAGCGTGGAATGGTGCAGATGGAGGTTGTGCATAATCTTGAGAGGAAGGTGGACAAGGGAGGATGTAGCATGTAGTCGGTTTGGTGTGATGCCAGATGAAACAGGTGTTCGAGGACGCGGCAAGGGCGTACCCCGTGATGGCATCAACTGCACCTGTCCAAGATTGAGAATAGAAATCTGTGTACGGTCAAGCTTATTTTCAACGCTTGGATGAATTGAGTTGAGCAGATAGACGTACCGGCACCCTTTAACTCGCGCCTGACTTCAAACGGGAGTCCAGCATGAAAAGCAACACTGATCTCATCCGTGCGCGCGTAGAGAGTCTCCCTCCCTGATCCTAGCATACGTTCATTATACATTTGCACGTCGTCGACCTCCATGACGTCTTGTACCACAGCGATATCCTCAGTGCGCCTGGAGGGTGTGCCGGCAGGGCGTGCACTGACCATCCGGCGCTGTCTAGGCGGCGTCAGTGATTGACGCGGAGTAGCGTATCTGTGCGTTTTTCGTGGTGCAGGCGACGCCATCGTTGCCTAAGCTGACTGCAGTGAGGGTCCTCAAATTCAATACAAATTGACAATGTAATACAATACTCTGTGATTCAGTAGTACAAACAAACATCAACATCTGCTCATCGCTCTCCACGACGAACAAGACAGTATGCTAGGCATAGAAGACTACGGTAGTGACGTCGACAGCGAAAACGAAGCGTCACCCTCTGTATCGTTTCCTAAAGCACCAGTACCAGCGCCATCGAAGCCCTCAGGCCTCTCCCTACCTGCACCCAAATCATCAAGTCTCTCACTTCCACCACCAACCAAAACAAAACGCACAAAGAAGATCGAAATCACGCTCCCCTCGCTTCCTTCAAATGATTCTGACACAGATGACCGACCACCAGCCAAGAAACCCCGAATCACATCTAGCAAAGGGGCAGGCACATCATCCCTTCTCAACATGCTGCCCGCACCTACTCAGCCTCTGCCCGTCAAACCCAAGAAAGCTGAACGCATGCTTGGAGGCGGAAACGGTCCAGGACTAGTGTTTCATGCACCAGTGAGCATGCAGGAGGACGGCGAAGGAGATGGCGAGGAGGCATCTATGTCTTTCCTACCCCTTTCAATCAAGAAGGGCAAATCCAACGTCAATCTAGACCATGAGGACTATCAGCCTCAAGCACCGTCAAAGGGACCTGCTGTGAACTTCTTCTCCCTCGGTATGTTCCCTACGACTCTGCGTTTCTTATCCTGATCCCCTGCAGGTACCTCTTTGAGACCTAATTCTACGGTACCTTCTACATCCACGACACCAAACACATCCACACCAACTGTCTCGTCTGCCCCTGAGGTGGCCTCATTCACTCCCCCATCTCCAACGCCTACTGACCCCTACCCTGGATACTACCTCCTCCCCTCTGGTGCCTGGGCCGCTCACGACCAGGCATACTATGCCACATTCGTCAAAAAGTGGCAGAAAGAATATGACGCCCAGGTCCGCGCACTCGAGAAAGGTGAGGTGGAGAGAGAGGCAGAAGAAGCGGCGGAGGTCAACATGCAGACAGAGATGGAGAAAGCACGGAAAGAGATAAAAGAGAGGGAGGACAGGAAGGCTCTTACGGGTGTCAAGACTGGGGAGCCAGAGCGACCGCGGATGAACGTACAGGTCTGTGTGCTGTTTTTGATGCTTCCGTTGCATGGTAGACCAGTCCTCACGATACTACACTCTACAGGGCGCAAAACTAGGCTCGACAGCTCGTTCACGACATCAATTGACGACGCTCCTCACAGACGCTTACCAGAACCGGGAAGCAATGGAGGAGAAGATTGCACAGGCACGCAGGAACAGGAAAGAGGCAGGGAACAAATATGGTGCGTGTCTTTTCCCTTGTGTGGCCTCTCCGTTACACAACTCATCAATCCTACAGGTTTCTAGGTTCTTGGAAACGATTATACATCATGTTAGGGATATGCTGCTACTGCTAAGAGGGTATGCATAATATTTACGAGATGGACTATGCTACATATTTAATAGATCCGCGTCTGTCCATTCACCATGCTCGATGCGTCAAAATCGGACCCGGCTCTCGCTGCGGTGGCGTGCTTAATCGCCCGTCTCACCTGGCAGCAGAGAATTCTGCCCACAAATGTTATCATTTGCACCCATAAGGGAAAAGAACACGCACTTGTGACACTCTTCGTTCCCTCACTAATCGCATGCTTTGCGAGCTCTCCGGGAAGAATAAGCCTCACTGCTGTCTGAATCTCACGCGAGGAGATAGTAGACTTCTTCGTATAAGATGCAAGCTCTGCACAACGGGAAGACATCGGTCGCTGCCAAAATAAAACAAAATCGACCAAAATGACGTACTGCTCGCTTCCGTGGCGATCCTTTCGAACAGGTCATTTACGAATGAATTCAAAACGCCCATTCCCTTGTTCGATATCCCAGTATCGGGGTGCACCTGCCTTAGCACTAAAAGAGAAAACACGTTAGCCAATTATTGCATCCGAACGCGAGCAAAAGCGAATAGGTAAACACACCCTTGTAAATATAACTGCTGTATGTCTCCTTCCTTGCCTTCTTACGCTTCTTTTTCATATCCCCATCTTCTTTAGAAGGTGCCTTCCTAGCTGCTTTCTGCTGTCCCGCCGACGACACGGGTGCTTTAGCAGCTTTGGAAGCGGGCGCCTTGGAGGCGGTTGAGTTGGGCTGCGTCAAAGGTAAGCAAGTTGTCAGTTTGAATATTGACGAACTAAGATACCTTGAACGGCATACTTGCTCAAAGCAAAATAAAAGGAAAGAAAACACAGAAAACACGTAAACGCCCCTACAGAGACGCGTCGCGCTTTATACTAGCCGACGCGCTCCCAAGCGGAGTTTGAAGCGCTGTGGCGGTCTTGTTGGAATAGGAAGGTGGCTTTTCGGGCGCCCGCCTAGCTCAATCGGATAGAGCGTCAGACTTTTACGAATGTCGGTTCCATCTGACGTAATCTGAAGGCTGCGAGTTCGACCCTCGCGGTGGGCTATTGTTCACTTTCGCTTTTTGAACTGTGACAAGCCTTGAGTGCGTTCAGAAATCACCTATAAATGCAAGTTTTTATTTACTTCGGCGAACTAACAACCCATAGACCAGTGACTAATTCCCCAAACTCTTCATTATTAGCGGCCCGCCTTGCCGGAACTTCGCTTCGAATGGTTTCTTTTGCTGCCTCGTCGACTGGCATGCATGTGACAGGCTCTAGACTCATGACCAGTTCATACTACGTCTCTGAAATGTTAGGTGTTGGTTTCGCCACTCGACTTGTCCCTGGTCACGAGCCTAGTAGGCAGGCCCTTCGTTGGGCCCGGGTAAGTGGAACGAAAAAAGAAGTGGCCTAAAATACCAACAAAATACGATGATAAACCAACGGCCGGAACTACCAATTTCTGTCTCAGGGGTATTTCAGACAAAGAAGACTCATGATAGATATAAATCGAGACGAACCAGCTAACAACACAATCATAATCAGTGGGTCGCGGAATCATTTATTTGCTCCTGCTAGTGGGTTGTTCTTACGCTATTTATCGAATTGTTTGCAGCAGTGGTAGCATCAAAGTAGTTTCTCCTAGAAAGACCAATAGACCAATGAAGATAACATACTAACTAGTTGATAGTCGAGCAATGATGCATGGTCTGCCTCATGGTTAACGCATGGCCGAGTATGGCCTGAAATAAACAATGAGGAACGAGGAGGAATAATTGTCTCCCTTTGATTGGTTTGACCTGGACTTGGCAAGACTGGACCTAACATATTGTGGTTCGAAAGTTCATCAGAGAACATGATCTGGGCAGATTGTCTTGAAGCAATCCAGTCCATCTCCAGCGAAGTAAACGTGCGCTCGGAATAATATATCAAGAAAAACGCTAGACGTGAAAAGTCTGACAACCAGATAGGAGAGTCTCTATGTAAGAGAGTGTTGCGATACATATCACTCAAAGATGATGCTAGTGCTTGCCTTCCTCCGTGCTGGGTACTTCAGGCACCGACCGAGCACGATTCACCCATCCTCCAACGATCCATGATCCTGCGAGTAAACCGAGCAAGACCCAAACTCCTCTGGCTTGCTCATTGTTGAGGGGCCTAGACTTTGCGTGCAAATCAGGCCCTTGCTCCTTGGCAGCCCGTACCACATTCGAGACCGCCTGGCCAACCTGGAAACTCCGCTGCAGCCCAAGATCATCGGCCAAGTCACGGAATAAGCCAGATTCAATCGCGGGTTTGGATTGACTTTCTGGCTCGATAACCACTACTTCCTCAATAACCACAGCGTCCTGAGGCTTTTCAAGGTTGTAGGTGGGACCACCATCAGGATGTGTCGCAGACCCCGAAACAACGTGTAATTTTGGGTGAGAAGGTTCTATGGGCTCGGGTTTCGGACTAGAGGAATCCCAAAAATCGGGAACGAAGGGCTGAGGGGATGATCATCAGATGTGAAAATACAAGGTCGTATCAAAGAGTTCGCATGTGACAAAGACTCGATATGGTCGATGAGGAATAGAACCGTTAGGCTCGTAACTTAAATCGAACCGCCTCATCGATCAAGGAATGAGGGGGAAATACTTACTACTTGAACGGGTTCGGGTGGCCCATCTTGAGAGAGGTTGGGTAATCTGACCAAGAAAAAGTCGGGCGTCTTTGAGGCACCCGCGGGCTGTGATGCAGGCGGTATGCCCGGAGATGCAGTCTGAGGTGGAGCGGCAGATGAAGACGCATTGCGAGATACGGCGGGCGTAGGCTGCGAAAAAGGAAGAGCTTTAGATTCCTCATGCACCTGAATTCGGTTTATGATGTCAGATTTGTTGCCCTTGCTGATGGTACAATCAGTTCGGGTTTCAATGCGAAGAGAACAAAGCAAAAGAAGTTAGTAACCGTAGGAGCCGAAAGTGACTCACGTCGAAAGACCTCGGGTTTTCGCTTCATGACGCAAAGTGACCAGAGTCTCATTTTCCCAAGTTCGGGAGAGAAGAACCGTAGAAACAAAATGCCTGTTGTTTACTGTGAAGCGTGAGGCATTTATGAGAATTTTCTGGTGCACGACAGCTCGAAACATGATTTTTGATGTTCAAGTTGGGTTTGGTTGGAGCGTTCGGTGCTGTTGCCACGTGCCACACAGCTTGATGTACGAGTCACATCTAAAGTAATGACATTTGGGAGTCCTTTGTCAGGCTCGTATCGACGTCGGGCCAAGGGTTACCCGCTGTGGGTATTGATTATCATCAAACTTGGCTAAAGAAAGTTCTCGTGAGTTCGGATCCTGGGATCATTTGATACGAGCGCTTGATGACTTGATCTATCTTTTGCAGCAATTGACTCCTTGCCTCGTGTTTCTATCGCGTGTTCTCGACCTGCTAATAATCAAAAATCCTTTTTTGATTTGGCATGACTCTTTTCCTCATACTCTAATCCCCAGCCCTCCGTTATTTCAGCTATGCTTCTCTCTCCAGCGTAAGAAAAGGCCACAGATATCCCAATTATCAGCCTTCAAATGTTTTCTTCATGCAGATCAACCAGCGCCAGTCTTCCCTCTCAATCTTTTTGGGGAAAGTTCAAGAAAAAAGACAAGGAGAGCGAGTTCCGCGAGAGGCAAGCCCAAATGGCGCTTGCACGACAACGACTCCTCACACTTGCCTACGAGGATATGGAGACAGTGAGAATGGTACGAACATTTCCCCTTTGCCCTCATATTATAATGTAATTCCGTCTTCCGCCACAGCTACCTAATAGTTTCCCCGTAAGTGGCGGTGGTCGTTGCCCGTGTCCGGCTGATCTGTTCCTGCACAGGAACTCGAAGCAGTAGCTAGAGATTGGACAAAACCTCCCCCAGATGCCGTCTTCGGCCTGCGTGTCCCTGTTGAATTCGCATCCCTTCATGCCTCTGTAAGTCGACGCTGTCGGGTTGGATGATATTTTTTGATGTCATTGCCAGCGGCTGGTTTCCGGGCCTTATATCTATGTGCGTGATCGAATTCTATCTTTGATATGGGTGGCTCATGGCAGATATGTGTAGCTCACTGGCGAGGATTCATACCAAATTGCGATAATGGGCGTGCAGGGGCTGCGGGTGGAGATTGTAAGCGACGCTCCTCCGCCACCTGATGAACCACCGTAAGTTTGATGCCATGATCATGAACTCGTCTAAGCTAACTGTGTCATAGGCCGCCACCGTAAGTACGCTTTTGAGTTAGCCATGCACTGCTTGAGATGTCTTCAGTCCCCCCCCAGTCACGGAAATGCCTGCCACGTTTAACCTGGAACTCGTACCCGGCCAACACGTGGTCCTAGAAACAACAGTTGCTTCTGCTGATGATGTCGATATGGCCCGCATGGAAGACGGTACCGTTGTCGATGGCCAGTTCTGGGGCAAGCTAAACATAGTGCACGACGGCGGCACTCACACTGTCGACTTCACAGGCACCCGTATAATCAACCCCGACGTCCCACCTGACATGCTCTTCGATTCGCGTGTCATGAGTAAACTCACGACCGCTGCCAAGCCTTCTTCTGTTAAATGCCACCTGAGCATCCTTTCACCTGCCCAGCAGTATTGCGATGTCATTCTCTCAGTCAACCCGCTATGGAGGCTTGAACTTACATGGCCCCCTGCGCAACCAGTTAACGAAACCAAAGTGAAATATTTTCTGCGTGTTCACCCTGGTGGTGCGCTCGAGCATTTTGAGAGTGAGATGGTTACGACGTCGTTATATTACGAAGCTGTGTAAGTCTCATACCTCTCATTCCTGGATCATTGATCCTTATACTACGCAGACCCGACCCAGCGATGGTCGATCCTAATGATTTTATTGCACCCCGAAATGGATACGCTATGACTTTCCGAGATTTCGTGCCACACCTTATGAGTGTCCTAGACCAGCTAGGCATGTCTATGCATGCGCGAACTAACTTCATCAAGTACGTGTTCCCATGCCATTCATCTGACATGACTGACACTGACACTGACACTGACGTTGACGTATACAGTAACAACATTTCCGCATTTTCAGCCCACAAAAACATTGCCTACCGCTTCCTCTCCCCTTCAAAGATAGCCGCCGCAATTGACATTTCAGTTACTTCTGACCCCTGCGTCTTTACGCGCCTATTTCTCATCTTCCGCGGGTTATCGGACGACGATGTGGGATTGTTTGCAGGTGCAGGCGAGAAGGAGGCGAATTCAGTCAACTGGAGAGAGATTGTGGGGTGGAGCGAGAATTCGAAGGACACAACTCAGTTCAGGCTTCTCGAAACTTCTGTGTTTGAAGTTACCTAGGAGGGAGATACCTTTGAGCCGAGGTGGATAACTGGTCTTCCCACCTCCAGGCGTGTCCCTCATATCACTGGTGATTCCTCGTTACTCGCCAGAGATTAGCATTCTTCCGTTTCTGTTTCTGTTTTGCGACGCCCCACCTTTTTGAAACGTCTCTGCATTTGATATATTAGAACATTGTCGGGCTATACCATCGCTGTCCTGCACATGCTTTCTTGTCACGTCCGCAGCTATTATATCTATTCGATATCTGCTCCCCCTGCGCAACTTTATATTTCTCTGATCTTGCATCATTTTGACGACCCCGACTTTTCTACATGTTTCTCTTAGCGATTTTTCTTCATGATATGTTGTTGTATCCGCAGTTGTACTGTAGTCGATATCGAAATTGTAACAGTGAAGGATTATCGATTATCAATCAGCCGCCACAGTCAGGGGGCCGTGATGCAAAAGCGCGTGACCGTGACGTCACGCGACGCGTTCGATTGGTCTCACCGATCTTGTCTTCAATTACTCCTGCATACACGATGTCCGAGTTAACAGCATAGTAAGTTCATTTCATTTTTCGCGCAGAGTCCCTTAATAAGCATTTAACTCAAGTGAACTTGAGCGTGAAGCCAACATCGCGCGCAACCGCGCGCTCCTGGAGGAGCTTGATCTCAAGGATGCTGTCACTCAACTCGGCATCCCGCCCAAACCCAAGCCTGCCATCAGAACAAGAGCAAAGCCCATACAGCCTGCGAAGACAGTGAAACGAGCGCGTGAAGTTGTAGAGGCGCCTCGTAGGCAAAGTGCACGTCTTAAGAATGGAGTCGTGAATCCAAATGAAACTCCCGCGCAGAAGAGGCAGCGAGAGGTGAGCGCCAGTATGACTGTAGTCTTCCAGCATTTACGATTCATCACACTGCAGGAAGAAGAAAAGAAGAAGCGCCAAATTGAAGAGCAAGAACGCCTCGAGGCCGAGGAGAAAGCTCGTCTTGCAAAACGCCCCAGACATCAGGAATTAGATCTTACTACGTTGGGGGACAAACTAGAGGAGTCAGATCTCAGCTCGCTCCGATCATCCCTGCAAGCTGTCACGAATGTTCCGTTACCGAAACGTACCGCAGATGCGGACGCATTTGTATTTGATGAAGACCAGAAGAATGAAGCTGAAGTTGAAGAATTGAGAAATAAACTTCAGAAACTGAGGATAGTGTCTCGCGCCAAGGTGACTGCAGACAGAATCTACAGCGCTGCCTACCACCCCGATGCTACTAAGGATCTAGTATTCTTTGGGGGTAAGGTACCGTGATCAAGTTATTGGCAAGTCGCTAACATGCATGTAGACAAACACGGTCAAATTGGAATATGGGATGCCAGAGCTCCCGTAGATGAGGTTGAAGATGAAGATGGTGACATCTCCGCGGACCATAGAGAAGGCGGAAAACATTGGCGCCTCCAGTGTCACTGGCCAGCTTCTTCGACATCATCAATATCATGTATAAAATTCGACCCAGTTGATGCGCATAGTGTGAGGACACAACTTGTTCATGGAATGGCTGCACTAAGAGCTTTTTATAGCTATTTACGACCTCATACGATGGCACAATACGCCATTTTTCTTTTGTCTCGGGGATGTCGCAAGAGATATTCTCTTCAGAATACCTCATTACAAGTGTGGATCTTCCAGTTAGTGGCCACGAAATGTGGATATCCGACGCTTCCGGCGGCATCACCCACCTTGATCTTCGAGAACCCAAAGAAAAAGCCTGTTGGTATGGTCTCTCACCTGCGAAAATTGGCACCGTTAGCATCAACCCGACAAATCCGCATTTCTTGCTTACGGCTTCGAACAGTCGTGTATTGAAGTAAGACATAATTATCATCTATGCCCTTGTTTTCTTTTCTTAGCAATGGGTTTCTAAGGGTGTGGGACAGCAGGAAGCTGCAGAAATTGACCTCCGCGACCGGCCCATATCAACTCAGCCAATACACTGTCGAAGACTTAGTCTATTCAAAGAAGGGAAAGGGCACTGTTCGCGGTATATTCCAACATGGAAAATCGGTGAGCTCAGCATACTGGGACCCGAGAGGGAGAAGTATCGTCAGTACGAGCTACGACGATTCAATCAGACGTGGGTGATATATTTGCGTGCGTCAAGACAAACTGACCATTTTGCAGTGTGGGATTTGGATGTTGCGAAGTACAATTCGTCACCCGGTTTTCCCTCCTTCACGCCGTTCCGCGGGATAAAACACAACTGCCAGACAGTAAGGACCAGCCTTGTTATCGTACTCCGTTCTCCTTTGTTGACGCTTTCCAGGGCAAATGGGTAACTATTCTTCGTGCGGTCTGGAATCCCAACCCAGACGTGTTCCCCCACTTCACAGTCAGTAATTTGATGCAACTGGGCGCAGCCTATCGTCTGACTGGTGGCACCGTAGATTGGGAATATGAGCTACGCTCTGGACATATATTCATGCAAGGTACTCATCCACACATTAGCTGGATCCTTTTAACTGGCTCTGACATTTTTCAATTTTAGGGACACTTGATTGCAAGACTCAAAGACAGTCGGTCAGTAATCTGAGTCCTGGGTGACCATAACTAACTTCGTCATCTCAGGCTCACTGCTACACAAGCTGTGACATGCTCCCACCCAAGCATTGTCGAAAGATGTGCAACAGGAAACGCAAGTGGGCGTTGTGTACTCTGGGCACCACCAGATGTAGAGTAGTTCACATCATCGTATGCCATCGTAGTGGTGTTCGCCGACTCCGCAAGAGTACACCATGATTCGCAAATATTGTAAGACAACAACATAGGATGCTTATGCAGTTTCGACCCAAGACAAAGAAGCCACCAAGAAAAACAACCACAAGCTACTCGAATGCATCACTCATAGTCGGGTAACGATGAAACGATATAGCACTGCGCGCACATGATGCTTTTTTGTCTTTCCTGGACCTCACAAAACTGAGACAAGAAACACTCAACTAAGACACTATCCCAATAAATGTTGGTCTCACTGTAGTAGAACTACGTCCAAGTTTCGAAGGCAGACACTTCTCAACAGAGAGCTGCACAAGAGGAAAGCTTGTGCAAGACAACAACAACAATGGTAGCCTGCAACGGCAAATTCACTTGGTGCCATGATGTTTGCTGGTGGCATAGTGATATACAAACGCCGTCGTATGAAACACAACCATGAAGGTTCGACCAGTGACACCTCGAGTAACACAAAGGATGGATTCAAGCGAAGTCTTCGGCCATGTGCAAAAGCGTTCGGATGCTTCAAGAAATGCAAGATTAAATTGTGGATGATAGAGGGTATCGTAATAACGGAGACAGCGTTTCACATCATGAGGTTCGTTGCAAGGATGACATTGTCCCTCATCGAGAAGGCGAGACAAACGACAGGGCAACTTTAGAAGAAAAACCCTGAAAACACATGAGCTATACTGCAATGATACGAAATAATCGAGAAGGAATCATACTCACATGCGTGCTTCACTGTATCTGCAACTGAGCGGCCGACAGGCCCCATACTCGGACCCAGACAATATCCTCGGAGTCTGTGACAGACTTGCCCACAAACTGTCCATTTCCTGGACGTTCTCACTTTCCGATTAACGGGAAGTGTATGCACTATGGGTTTCAAAGGGATGTCTCGCAATCACCTACTTCAGTGACTTGTAAGTTGTTCAACATTGAACGCGGACGTTTGCGCCAAGGTGTCAATGTAGGCCCAGTCTATTCCTGACTTTCTCCTTTCCACCCCTCTCTTCCATCCAGATGGCTATAATATCGTCCATGGCGAATGCTGATGGATTTGTGGAGGAAAACGGTTACCCGGTGTGGTTAGGGTCCGATAGATCACTTGTTGCTCTCGTTTTGCGGAATGTCACTCAACTGTGATCTCACTTTTTGTGCCTACTATTTGCAAGTCTCCCGCACTCAATAGCCACTTGATGATCTGGAGTCTGGACGCCCAGTGGTTGCAGCAGAAACGATATTTGACGACGATTTCCAAATTCTGTTGTGCGTACATGATTCGTCACGCGGACGTAAAACGATGTTGTGGATTGTGCTTGGAAAATCTATGCGCAGACCCCACTTGACGAAATTGCGAGACGCTATCGCAGTAGGTGATACGATGTGATAGATCAATCGACGTTTTCGGGTGCTAGTTTCTAACGCTGACCCTCCCAAATGGTGTGATTATTGAACGTTCACCCTCGTAATCGTCACTCGGTATGCTATATGGTCTAAGACTGTGGCAGCAACTTGCCCTACCCAATCCCCATGGATAAATCATCACATATTCGAGCTCACCAGCTCCAGCATGAATCGATTATCCTTGAACTATCGTTTGGTTGAGGATGAAGCTTAGAAACATGCGGTTTCAGAAGAAGGCGCAGCTTACGTAGTGAATTCGGAAGAGAGAGCTGTGGGCTTTCAAATTTCATGCACCACGGCTGCAAGCTTGGGAGGCGGAAGAATCTGAGCTTTCACTGCAGTAAACCGTGGAAATTGAAGATTAAGGAAGCGCGTGAGATAAATAAATCAAAATAACGCGTCCTTGCACCAGAACATTAATCATGTCTCTCGACGACATCTGGGACGCGCCAGTTTCCCCCACTCACGCTATTAACTCTCAGAAGCGCCCAAGAGAGACACTATTTCTTTCTGACTCAGACAATGAGGATGACCGACCAGCACCGAAAAGACCTACTAGCTCGGCACCAAGACCAGACGTAGACGCGCTCTTCGCCGACATCGATGATGATGACGTAGGGGAAGAGGATGACCTGAGATATAAGCCCCTTGCACCTGCCCTTGACCTTGAGGCACTCCGCAAACAGGCCGAAGCAAAACACGCGCTGACACCCCATCAAATCTTGCCTAGCAGTTCTCCACCAAGAGATTTAGGTCCCGACGAAGACGATGAGGGGGAAAAGGAAAAGGGAAAAGGAAAAGAAGGGAAAAAAGAGAGAAAGAAGGTTGTATTACTCGATGAAACAAGTTTAATTGGAGCATCCGGATTTCCACAGCTCATCCAAAATATCAAGGACTTTAAAGTTAAAGGGAAAGGTCATGAGGTGAGTTACACTGACAGCGTACTTGTGCTCTGATGCAGATATCCAGATATCTGTTTAGCATTCGGACCTTCAGCGCATTCTCCAAGTGTACCAGTTTTGGTCTCATAGATTATATCCCAAGACTCCATTCAAGGACACCGTTGAGCGCGTCGAAAAATTATGTCACTCAAAACGAATGCAGGTACGACCAAATATTGATTGCATTCGCATATCACAATCACACATCAATGAAGGTCCGACTAAGTGTATGGCGTGATGAGGCGAAAGGCCTTGTCAATGGCAAGGAACCAGGAGAAAATGGTGGCGACGATGTTATCGACCTCACCGATCCAAATCTTGAGGGTGCAGACGTGAATGACGATTCGTCCTCTTTGCATGCCCCGTCCCTTCCACCCTCATCGTCAGAGGCTGAAGATGACGACTTTGATATCGATGCTGTCGTTAGAGAAGAGGAGAAACGCCTCGCTGCGTTTAGAGCACAACGTTCGGTTTCGCCTGAACCTCCCGCGCCAAAAGCCAAATACAAAGTTTTGCCACCCGAAGTTGCAGATGGGATGGACATCGACGAAGAGGCGATGTGGAATGACCTCGAAATATTTGATGACTCGATCCCCAACCCTGCTCCACCTCTGGAGAGTAGTAAATCGAGCATCGTAGTCGATAACCAGGATGAAGAGATGTGGGATATGGTGCAGGAATTGGAGAGAGAAGAGTACACAGCATCGAAACAACTTCCTGTGTCATCTGTGTTGAGTACGCCTTCGGCAGAGAACGCTAACATATCTCTCGGGACAAATGACGAAGACTTTGATGATATATATGCGTAGTGAGCAAATGCCATATTATAATCTTGTCGTTGAACACAATAGCCGAGCTTCTTTTATCATCACGTTCATCCGTTCCTCTGACTCCAACCACTGTAGACATACTCTTTGATAGAAGGACCGCCTATCTATAAAGGCTTCGCTAGATTGACGATCAGTCCAGCTGGAATCACGTGACCTAAGTCTTGATAAACAGATCTTGGATCAATCACAGTAACGATAAACAATGTCTTCGACCAATCCAATTCCAAGCCTTGAAGCAGGTATTCAATACTGGGCCACTCAGCCCGCAAACTACGACGGCGTGCTTGGTCTGCTTCATTGTTAGCCGTTTTGCCATCGAACATCGGCTAACATCACATCCAGGTGGATTTGGAACGGGGGTGACTCTGATCTCAATCCTCACCGACGAACTTTTGTGCTGAAGTATTTGTGACAGTCACTTCCTCGTGTCGATTCTCTTGGATCACGTCGTTTCCTCCTCGACCTCCTTCCTGAATTATCCACAGTCCCATCACCGTTTCGGAGTCTCTCCGCCCCTCCATCCGAAACTAAGCGTGTGAGAGCTCTTGACGTTGGCGCAGGTGTCGGGCGCGTCACATCAGACGTTCTCCTTCATCTTGTCTCGGATGTTGTTCTGCTTGAGCCTGTAGAGTCTTTCATCAACGAAGCCCGATCACGTGGAAAAGCCAGCGAATCCGGTTTAGAAATCAACGACAGCGGGTATAGGGTTTCATGGAAGGGTATCGCGGATCGATCGAAGAGCGTCACATTCTTGCAAGGTGCCTTGCAATCTTTTGACCCGGTCGTACCAGGGACACCTCTGGATCGTGTCGGTTATCTGCCGCAAGGTGGTGATGACGAAACGGAAACGGGATTCGATGTGATATGGTGCCAATGGTGCCTCGGTCACTTGAGAGATGATGATCTTGTGCTTTTCCTTCAGAGGAGCAAGAAGGCTCTACGTGATGGGAGGAGTCTCATCGTAGTGAAGGAGAATATATGCGGCAAGCAAAATGAGCCAGTGACTGTTTTTGACGAGCAAGACTCCACCTTCACTCGGTTTGTAAGAAGTGATTCTGTATTACAAAACTTTGACTTTGCTTCATAGGTCAGATCTCGCATTCAGAAATATTTTCCGGGATGCTGGTCTCAAAATCATCGAAGAGAAAATCCAACACGGGCTTCCCAAAGGACTATACCCTGTGAAAATGTACGTACTCTGGCTGGACTGCCATATTATTACTATGCTTACTTGCTTCAGGTACGCACTACGGGAGGCATGAGACATCCTTCAGTAGTCTCTTATTGTCGTCAGCCATGCATGCACGCGTTATATGTGATTGCGTCCGTAGTGCAAGAGTATGTAACATCGAGCCAACATAAACACATTGTTCATCTGACATCATCTGAACTTCTACACCAACGTCATTGCCTACATAAACAGCTATTATCGTTGGCATTGTACGAGTTTGACGTTGTCGATATGCCAGAGAAGGCTGCGAACAGAGGTTTGACACGACGATGTCGCAGATCTATTCGTCGAACTGAATAACGCCAGTCATGCCGACAACCCCTTCATCGTTTTCGCACCACAATTCCGCTTTGTCTTTTGCCACAATAGCACCACGTATCGTTGCGGCACAATTCACAAAAATTGGATTGTGTGCGCGATAGCTAAAGGTGCGCAGTTTGGCCCTTGGTCGGTGGTAAATGAGACTCTCTAGAAGCATAAGGGCTGTCAGGGGCCCATGAACGAGTCTTTCTAGTGACAGGAGTTAGATGATATTCGTTGGGAAGTAAATCTCGAACTCACCTGGATATCCTTCGACTTTCTGCGCATAATCCTTGTCTAAGTGTATGTGATGCCCGTTGAATGTGAGAGCAGAAAAACGGAATAGCGTCGTCAGGGTCGGAGTGTACGACAACGAAAACTCAGACTTTGACAGATCGTTCACTAATCAGATATGTCCACATCAGCACCCAGATAAATCACGGGTTGTTTCGAGGACTGGCCTTGACGGGGTACGCGGCTCCCTATACTAGCTACAAGTGGTTGGTAGACATGCGCTCGTTCCTCCACTATCCCAGGTTCACTTTGTCCTTCCACAGTCACTTCAATTCTCTGTTTGACGAATATCATCGGCTTCCCGACCTCAAATCCTTTCTTCTCGACCTTGGCTACAGTAGACACTGCAGTGGCTTTCTCTCCTACTTTCAATTCTCTTTCCTTGTTCCATGTCATGGTACCACCCGCCCACATCCGGCGTGTGAATGGTTCAGGCGGACAGAAGTCAGCGTCGGTCCCATCTATGCGCAGTAATGCCTCAGGATTACGCGGGTGGAAGAAGGCAAGGTGGTGTCCATATCCGAGAGGTGTACCTTCTACAGGGGATGCAAACGGGCGATCACGCGTGCCGTCGCGAGTGGGTAGAGTGATGTAGAGATCTGAAAGGTGGCTAGAATGAAAGGCATCAGTGAGCGCAAGTGATTTCGGGGATGCTATCCAGGCATCGAGAGCCTCCAGGTTGAGAGAGGATGTTGAAAGGAACCGAAGAGCAGGTCGGGTCCACGAGCGCATGGGGATTCAGAAGTCGACTAGTAGTCAGGACATGAGTTTATCCTTTACGTGTACAATTGATGGTTTTCCTAAATAAGAAGTCTGCAGGGTTCAATCAGGGTTATCTCTGGCTATATGTTTCAGCATGACTTCGACGCAAACGTCTGGCCATAAAATTTTTATGTAACAGGCTGCTTATTCGACCGACATCAACACTATATTCAAGACATTATTGTCACATCTTTGATAGGCTTTCGTAGGTTTTCATGTTGTTTTCACGCAGGTGTACTAAGTACTTACTAGCAAGTGAAGCTTCGCTCTGATGGTGGCTCCTGGGCCCCACTAGCTGATGACGTACAGGCCCTCGCGACACCGTTCAATCGGACACACTAGTACTCAAGACAGCTATATTACAAATATCGGAGATGTTTGAATGCCCACTCAGCGGCGGCCTGGCCGCAGGAACGACAGCACATATAAATGATATAATCAACCGTTGGAGCTTATCGAACCACGGTTCTCCAGATACAAGTTGAATGTCTAACCCAAAATTCAGGATTGCTATCTGGTAAGGTGTCTTCAGCTTGTGGCCGCAGTCCAATTCATCACAATACTATTTAGCGGAGGAGGGGTAGGCGGTCTGACATTAGCTGTTGCTTTATCCCGCTACCAGGATATTGCCGTCGATGTGTATGAAGCCGCGCAGACCTTTTGTGAGATTGGGGCTGGTGTTGGTGTCTGGCCCAGGGCATTCAGGGTGCGGATCTTGGAAAGGCGATGGCATGCTAACCCCAGACAATGATCATCCAGGTCTTACGAAAATTTGGACCCGACTTCGAACAGCAACTGCTTCAACGCTGCGGTTACGAATACACAGAAGATTATGGTCAGTAGAAATCGTATACGATACATGTCCTAATCCCCTGAGAGAAGTTCAGTCCCAGCTGTTAAAAGCCGTAAAAGCAATCAAGCTGTCGGCATTGAACTGTTTGATCTGATGACGAAAGGTCAACTTTCCTCTGCATTCAAATGCATCACACTCTGAACACTGTTGGTAGAACAGGCAAACTTATGCGTTTCCATCGAGCCGACTTCCATGGCGTACTACTCTCATTTCTTCCACCGTCCTGCACAACGCACAACGCCAAGCGGCTGATATCATACACCCAGCCTTTGGAAGGCAGTCCGAGAAATTCACCAATTACGCTAACATTCGTGGATGGATCAACTGCTACGTGCGATGTTTTAATTGGTGCTGACGGGATCAAATCCGCAGTCCGGCCCTGCATGTTGCGCGAATTGGCTGAGAGCCTGGATCCCGATGAAAAGCAATCTGTGCTCTCTTGCATGAGCCCAATCTGGAGCGGTGTTGCTGCGTACAGAACACTCGTTTCCGCAGAGAAGCTGCGTGCGCGTTGTCCCGATCACCGTACCTTAAGGGAGTTTACTCAGGTAAGCTTGATTCTTGTTGCATTTCATATCATTAATTTGACGAGGCACCTTCATTCACAGTACATGGGAAAAGATGCTGTGAGACTCTCTTATCTACGGTTTGCACTGTGCTGAGGCTGATGCATTGTAGTACTTTCTTGCATACCCTATTTCTCTTGGACAATATGTCAATTTTGCGGGGTTCACGCTTGAACGCGATGTCGTTGACTTGGCGTATAAAGCTGACACAGAAATCCCTCGTCCGTCTTTCAAAGGGAAGACAAACGATGAGTGGGTTAGTGAACTCACTGCTCAGCAGTTTGTTGAGCCTTTCAAAGACTTGGAAGAGGATGCACAGCACCTTCTCGAAGTCTGTCGTTCGTATCTGAGTTACTGTTCATTACTGACGATTTCCAGTGTGTGGAGAAGGGCACGCTTTGGGCTGTACACACTGTGAAAACTTTACCGTCCACTAATTTCAGGCGAGTTGCGATCATGGGAGATGCCGCACATGCAATGACGCCGTTCCAAGGCTCTGGTGCTGGCCAGGGCATCGAGGTCAGTTATGCACGACTGCACTCCGAGAAATTTACACGTGCTGATTTGATTTGATAGGATGCTTACTTGCTCATGACTGTTCTTGGTCATAAATCCACAACCCTAGAAACGGTACCTAGGGCCCTCGCCATCTACGACAAGTTGAGAAGGCCATTCTCATCAGAAGTGGCACTGCGCTCGATGCGTGGGGGGCAACTATGCGCGTTTCAAGAGGACGTCCCTTTGCACGAGCTCGGTGATGCGATCACCAAAAATTGGGAGTGGGCATGGCTGACTGACTTAGATGATGCTTTGGAAGAAGCTGTCAGGCTTGTGGAGGACAGCTCGATCGATGTCAACTGAGAGATCTGATGTACGCTGCCACGGCAGCCCCGTGTCACGAGCTGAGAATGTAAGATGATTCTGTATATGACATGTATTCTAGCTCGTAGTTACGACTACTCGACTGTTTCCTCTAGGTCTACTTCTTTCTAGATACCACTATGTAAGTCTTGTATGGATATTGATACGTGCCCTCCTCCTTGTTAATCCAAACTCTACCATCTCCCCGCTCGAGGATATCTTTGACGTTCTCCAGCACCTTAGCCTTTTCGTCTGGAGGGAGCACGGCAATGTAGCTCTTACTCTGAGCGCGATCCGTAACAATTTGTTCGCTAGCAATAAGATGGTATGCCCATTCTGCCTCCTCCTGAGGATGGAACAAGGAGGTATACTCAGGTGTAGAGAACGTCTTCCTCCAGAGTCCGAGGCGGAATTGAGGCGTCCCTTTCTCATGAGCCTCGATGCAGTCACGGAGTTGTGCAACCCAACCTGCACCGTCTCTTCAATGCTGTCAGACAATTTGATACAAAGAAAATAAGATAAGCAAACCTGTCTTCAAGGTTCCAGATAAACACGACTGCACCGCCCTTCTTCAAGATACGGCCAAATTCAGCTGACGCTTTCCCATAATCAGGGCACCAATGGAATGCCTATATGTCCGATGGGTAAACGCCTACACCTACCTGATTCAGCCCTTACAATAGTACTTACCTGTGCAATAATGATAAGGTCTGCCCACCCGTCTTCCACACCAGTGTCATCAAATGTCCCTTTGACAATAGAACTACGACTATCATCGACAGTCTTCCTCCACACGTCACACATGCCGTCGCTAGGTTCGACAGCTCTCAGCGTACCAATGCTCGTAGCCCACTCCGAGTGAGCCAACAAGGCACGAGAGAAGATACCTGTCCCTGCTCCAATTCTGAAAGCCAATTGACAAGAACTTGAAGAAGCAAAAGTAATGCGTGTGACTCACTCGACAATATTCAAAGGTGCCGTGCTCTTGGATACCTGGTGAATGTACGAAAGACACTCAGTTGGGTACGAAGGGCGAGCCCTATGCACAGCTCATGAATTAGTGCATGTGGATCATGCGAACCGAAGTCAACTCACCGATCATACAGTTCATTCGTCCCAGTGCCGAATCCTGTCTCTGCAATAACATGTACCTTCGTGGTCATGGTACGTGTGAGCTTCAAACTTGACGTAGAAGAAGCAAAGACAAGTTGCTGAACTCGCAGAGATACGAGGCTAGTTATCATGGGTGGAGAGCCAGCGCAGAGACGTTATTTATGTGCATGGCATGCAGTCACGGCTTCGGAGACCCGCGTGTGGGACACCAAAACGATGAAATCGCCGAAACTGCCGAAGCCTTCTGTAATAGTTTGGTGGGGACTGGCTGATAGTAGCATCCATTCAATGGGTCACTATTTTAAAGTTCAACTGATCTCGGTAGAGACTATCAAGCTTCAAAACGGGCCTTCAGCGGTCCGCCAGGTTTACGTATTTTCTGGCCTCCGATGCGTTCGAGTTTCGCAACGATTCGGCTTGCGCGCCCTTGGTATCGTTTCCTGCTTTGTCGTATGTAATACTGGAACATTATATTGATACCTTCTAAGAGCTTTCTTTCATATCATTACTTATCTAGAATATTTGCAGGACCAAGGTTGATGACTTTCAAATTTCTTACCTGACCACTTGGATTGGGGACATCAGGAAGTTGGGGAGTCGGTGGTATGACTAGGCGGAGTTGATAAATCTTAGTCAGTCAGCGAAGTGTTGGTCAGACTAGATAATATACGATAATGTATTGCCAGGGAAGTGCCAGACTGATAGAGGATGATCAAGTCCATGTCAACCAGTTGAATAGTAGTCAGACTTGATAATAAATTATCACTGGTTGTCATGCGAGTGTCAGGTTGACAGAACATGATCAAGTCTTTGCCACCTAGTCAATATGCAATAATGTATTGCCAGGGAAGTGCCGGACTGATACAGGATGATCAAGTCTATGTCAAACAGTTAAATAGCAGTCAGACTTGATAATAAATTATAAACTGGTTGTCATGCGAGTGTCAGGTTGACAGAACATGATCAAGTCTTTGCCAACTAGTCAAGCAATAACTGGACCAAATATACACTGTGAGTGGTTGTCAGACCAGCGCCAAATTGACCAAGGATGGTCGATTATTTACCAGTCAGTTATTTCAAGTCAGTTTTGATAATATATTGTCAGGCATCCAGATGCGTAAGATAGACCAGCAACTCTCGCATCTACTTATAGAGGACAATCATACCCAATTCCTTCATGAATTCACGAATGATTTCACCCTCGTCATTTTCGACAATTAGTACCTGAAACCATCGTTATACCGAAGAGACAAGAAAGGAAAATTGAACCGCACCTCCTCTGGCTTCATCATTCGCTCGATGACAACAAGTCTCAAGTTACTCAAGACGTCGCTGTAGGTGTTCTTTCTCAAAGACATGCTGTTGAGCATGTTTCCGCTGCTGCTCCGAGCGATAGCGCGCAGATGGGTGGACAGGTATATGCGGATCACTCGCTTAAACGAGGGCGAGGTTCAGTTTGTTGATGTACGTCTTCTCTTTCCGCGTGGTGGTCTCGTCAGATGCCACCTTGACGGTGACTTCAACAACGAAATTACGGATTCCTACACGCGACGTTAGCTACGTCAGTTATCTCAAGGAACAACCTGCCTAATCTCTGTCCATCTGGTAGTGTTTTCCAGGGCACGAAGAACGAGCCAGGAGACTCATATTTATTGCAACAACAATAAGTGGTTAGCAGATCAGGGTTATCCTGGCACACCATTCAACGAGCGCGGGACAATATTCAAAGTGATGTGGCGTACGATAAGGTTAGGAAAGTAATTGGTGCACTCGAGGAAATTCTAAAATAATCTGAGATACCAGTACTAGTTAGCTTGAACGAGTAGGTGCGACGATATCAAGAACTGTAGAGTGCTAAAGATACTACACAACTTTGGATTGGAAACGCAGCTTCAAGTTGCGGAGACGGTAGTACGACTCAGAAAGGTTAATGTCGAGATTGTGACGACACTGGTCCAGAACTAACTTAAAATTCTTCACAATCATTCGTTGAAATTTTGCGACTACAGGTCCAAGTTGCATGTAACAATTGAGTACTAGTACATATGTGTCACTCATGGCGTCCTGACTACTGAAAACCTTCACACGGCAGGTGCACTGGTGGAGAATCGTGCTCCCCGGCTTTCATGTGACAACCTCAGTACTGATACCCTGCGCACACGGGACCAGTGAGTCAGCTGAAAAACTTGATAAAATTCACTCAACAGGTCCTGTTCCCAGCCACCGTCTCCATGACGCGTATTGATCCACCGATTCAGTGCAACAGCTGCATCACTGGTGCCCTCACGGGCCCTCCTGAGGAGAACCAACTGGTGGCATGCCTCCCTTTCCAAAATGGGAGAAGATATTTTGTGAATTTCGTGTCCAGGAAATACCCGCCTGAACCGTATCACGTACTACATAAGAGGATGAGACTCAAAACACAAAATCGGAGGCATTACGTACCATGGCGCACACTAGTGCGATAGAGTGCTCCGGAAGGCTTTCATACTGATGAGGGAATAGTTCCAGCAGGGACCGGTTGGATTTGTGCTGATGAACCACCTTCAAGATCCGATATGCCAGTAAGATTAGAATTGTCTTGCGTCGATATAGATTCTGTGGGGTGCGAGATTAGCGATATTAGACATCAATTCTGACAAGAAAATAACACTACCCCGTCCAGAGATCTGGTGAATTCTAATGAGGTTACGGTGCCGTTCCAAGCTGTTAAGCCAGTGATGCTAGTGATGTAGGGAATGATCTCATGGGGACGCTTGGTATTCAAGGCAAAACCATCCAATCGAAGTTTTTTCTTGCAGTTGACGAGAGGGTGCGAGTTGTCCTTCAAGGCCTTCTTGAATCTGTCGTACTCCGAGGATACCTATATTAGGTCTGTATCAGAACATTTGAATACAGCTAGATTCAAGACGCACTATTTTGATTGCGTCCCGACTGTATAGATTTAAATCTTTGGTCTTTTGGGTTATGCAGCATCGAAAACCTGCCGGCACAAGGTAAGCCGATCCGGGTAGACATCAATAGTATTCTTTCCTACCTGACTCCGCTGGTTGACCGGCACTGTTTGCCACGGTCAACATTTCTTCGATAGCCTGAGTGCAATACGCGGCGAATGAATCCATGTCCATGCCGCAAATGGTGAGATAATTCTTAGCCAGAGCCTTGGCATCCTGTATGCATACATGTGCAAAAGGAAAGTGAGCCGCGAGGAAGTCGCAATCATAAATGATCCCAGCCTTAAAATCGGCTGGGGTGCATAACACATAACGCTGCAAGCTTGAGGCTCCAGGCAAACTTTGACCGCTAGCAGTGACGTTGAAAAGTGGTGTCAGAAGGAATGTGGTGAACATGGAACCTGGACCATTTGACGACGGGACACCTTCGTCATCAGGAACTTGGGAAAGTAGCTCCACCCCAGAAGAGACTGGAGATGTAGTGCCACCTACGGCAGGAACTGAGGAGGTGTCGATCCAATCGTTGAATGCGGATAAGAAGTCGCTGTCTTCAAACGAAGCGCCGTCAAACGAAGGACCATCTGATCGGAAAAGGGATCCTTCTGTCTCAGCCTCTGCAACCTTCTGTCAAGATGTTAGTTTGCCTGCTACACATTAGATGATGTACGTACCTGTAATACAGGCCTTGTAACGAGGTCACGATCAGTATACATGCAGACCCTTATCCAGCCAGTCGGGATAATAAATTGAGTTAGTCCCTCTGATTGTTCACCTTGACGAAGTTCCTGCACCAGAAGAATTTAGTGGTCTTGTAGATCGTTCGGATGTAACTTACCATGTAAACAGATTCGTAAATGGCCTCTGAGCCCAACGTCTGCGCATATGATACGGGCAATACGTAGGCGACTTTTAGGAACGTGCCAGAGTCGACAGTAAATTGCTAGAATAAAATATGATCAAAGACAGGCTCGAAACATGTCAAAAACTGAAAACTCACGAAGCAACTAACCCAGTCAAGTATGACTGGACCGTGTGTAGTCGTTGCAGGATTGTATATATATCCAACACGAAATGACATTCTCGAAGGATAGCTGTGGGGTAAATTCTGAGTCAACTAAGGACAGACGACTCGGATGAGCGAGTGGGGGTTGGCCATTTTTAACACATCGCATTATTAAGAAATTTTCGCCTATATTTCTCATTTCAGTTTATCGATGGCTTATCATCAAGACCGTCTTACCTCGATGAGCCTGAGATCTTAGGTCTGTTCTACTATGATGTAAACACTGCGAGTTAGATTCTAGAACTTAGGAGTTAGAGCGTTACCTATTACTATTGAATTGCATTAAGTAAGCACTTACAACTGAGTGACGACTCCCGTTTTGGAGTACATGTTCACTGACTAATTCAACGCTGCAGCTGCCCGGTTTCTGTCGATTCATGTTCGCGGACTTATTTAATTTACTGGCAGGTAGCGCATTCATGTTCGCGGACGCATTTAATTTGGCGAGATCATGTTCGTGAAGTCCGCATACTTATCTTTGCAGAAGCACAAGTCCTGTGTAACATGAGGGAATCATGTGGTCCATATCACCTACCGGTCACTGCAGGACACCGTGCACCTCGTTCTTTACTTGTCGTTCATTTGGTTTCAAAAATCGCATCAATGTGAGGTTATCGTAGGGATAAACCCGTTACTCATATTTGGTCCCGCTGCTAGACAACACCCGCAGACAACAGTAACGCGTTGATCAGTTCCTGGGAAACGGCTTCAGCAATTTGAAGGTTCGGGGTGTTATCATGATGTATTAGAAGGTCGGTACCAAAGCGAAAATTTTCAGTTCAGACAAATTCGGTTCAGTGGCCGCGAGACTGACTCAAATTGAGTCGCTTCTCCACTAGTATTAGTAAGGATTGGTTCGTGCTCAAATAACAACTGAGTCGGCGGCTCCTGATCGCTGTTCAAGATGTAATCGCGTTTGCGACTTTCAGTAATTTCCTTTTTTTTGAAAAAAGGAAAACAAAACCAGTACCCCCAGGGGTGCACGAAGTCCCACTACCTAATATGGCAGCGTGATAGTTTGAAGTAGTGCGTGTCATCTGGTGGAAAGATCCGTCAACTTCCCAAGTACTTTGAACTTGAAGGATAAGAGGAGACAAAACTCACCGAACGGCTTTCATCGACAATGACCTCCACAATCAATCCTTCTCCTATACCTCTCTCCCCCATGAGACATGAGTATCCAGGCGCCTCATGCGCTAATTTGTCAGCCTCGAACCTGGTACTCGGCCATGAAAAGACCAACTTTTTGGCCTGGCGTAACAATGTCTCACAACAGCCTCAAGAGGCATACCCTTCTCCACCCACATCCCATGAAGCGGTTTTGCAAGAGCTGCCACCCGTGAGCGATAATTCTGCATATCGTTGTGCGATAAGTAATGAAGATTGATAGATGGACACCTTGTGTCTTCCCCCATTCTGGGAGACACGCTATGATAGCGATATCACTATTCGCCTTATCAGTGCGAGACAATCAGAGCGTCGGGCAGAGTCTCGACTTATCCGAAGTCGCCTACGCCGTGTGATGATCGAACAAGAGCTCTATAGTAGTATGGATAAGCGTACTGCTCAGAGGCTTCACAAAGCTAACATCAGCCTTGGTATTGCTCGCGGTGTGCTTCGTTCGTCTGGCTTGACACCCGCGGGCAACACTTATGAGGGAGATAGTGACGCCTCGAGTGTGTTGCATGAGTCAGACCCAGAGTCAGACCTAGAGCCATCCTCTTGAGATCTTTTCGTTAGTGCTCCCATCACTGTACATACTACCAAGCGCTTATATATATACATATATATTACCAGGTACTGAATATATGTACATACTACATACATGTGTCGTATGGATTGCTCCTTTGTTCCCTTCTTGAAGTACTCAGTTTTTGACATATATCATTTGCAGTGACTGGACTCCTAGCACTTGTGCAGAGGGCGAGGTACAATGGTCGAATTTTTATGTAGTTCTTGACCAAGGTTTGTCTTCGACTCAGAATAACTTAAGCCAATCGTGCGGATATTGAAGGTGGATAATTGATGTACAAGATCATAGACACACTAACGTCGTGGTCTAGTTGCTAATCATCTTCTGTAGTTAGATCAATGATCTCGACCTCTCCCATCTCGACCTTTCCTAAACAAGTGTGCCGTTCAAATATCCGCCTAGTCATGATGAGTTCACAACCGTAACACCGTGTAAGAAAATGGCGGAATTCCTCTTCTGTGAGGCCGGGCCGAGAAAAGGAATCCAGTCTTAGAAGCCTGTCGAAGGTTTTGTGAGTTTCATCTTGTCGAAGCTGGCGCCTTTGCATGACGTCTACTAGTTTGATGTCTGTAAACAAATAGGTATCAATCAGTTATCCGAGAAAGTCTCTTTCCGGTGCGCTTACCATTCCCATCGAGAAAGGCGACTTCTCTCCGTCTGGGTTGATCAGAGCCTGTGTTACAAGGCATGTTAGATTGATGACGTGACTGACCGCTGCCACCATGACAGAAATAGCTCACTTCGTTTTGGATAGCGTCTGATGGGTAACCCAGGTGAAATGTGCATCTGATCCATGAAAACTGCACGTAGAGTTGCAGTCGCATTGGTCCTTCAGATTGATCAACAAATTGTAGCTATGCAGACTTACCAACATAACCGCATTTGCTCAATGCGCAGCAGGCTAGGTACTCTCCTGCATTTTGTCCCCTTGTTAACATAACTATTGCCGCTTCACAGTGGCCGGGAGGATAGCAGTTATCTACGAATGCACATAGACAGTGTGGTCCTCGGAATTGATGAGAATTACGGTGCGCTACAAGTTCAGAAGGCACGACACGCCCTCCATCATCTTGAACTGGCCTGGATCGCAGAAACGTAGGTAAGACAGCGAGATACTAATGTTTGCGTCAGCCTTTAGCACTCACCAATACCATATGCACAGGGTTTCTCCGGTCTCATCTAGCTCAAGCACAGCATTTGTCCTGTTGCTGACTTGGGCTGCAAGCTTGGCTCGTTGACGTTCTCGATGAAGTCCATTGACTGCAGCTCTGACCCGACTTGTGCAATCAGGAGGCATCCGAGTACCCGGGTATGCTAACTTGAAAGGGTTCAACTTCAAGGGGTGCAATTGACCTGCCAGCAGTTCTCAGACTTTATACTGCGATTTCTGAGTGAGTCACAGTGCGCCCGCTTGCGCCAGCTTTTACTAAACTACGTAATTCTGCGCCTTTCATGTGCGCTGATTAGTAGTAGTTCTTGTCAGTTTCCTAATTGAAACTTTCAGAGAGTACGGAAGAGGCCATACCATTTATGTCAGTAACTTGAAGCTTTTCTGCCAGTAAGCGGCGTCACGGTCCGAGTCGGTGAACTCATGTACACTAACTAGGTGCCGAAGTGACGGCAGATTTGACTGCAGTACTACTACTACTTAGTTTTACCGTGACCGCCGGTTTCAATAGTGTCTTCATGCCAGGTTCAGTCACGACCTAATCGCTCCCTGCTTTACCGCCGGTCACGACCATGGATGAATCATTTCCAACTGCCGCTGGTCTGGCGCAATATTCAACTAGTATTTGTACCTGTGGAAGAAGCTTTGCTCAACTAAACGCATATGCAAACCACCAGAGAACTTGTAAAAAGCGGAAGAAATACCTTTCAAATGCGCTAGCAAAGGCCAAGGATGTATGGACGACACGAAAAAGGCCATGTAGAGAAGTTGGACGTGGTGAACACCTTGGGTCTGTTGCTCCTGCAACACGGGTCCCAGATGCAGCAACTAGCATTGGCATAGTATCTCCAGCAGGAGAAGGCCAGGAGCCCCCACAGTTGGAGCGTTCTTTCGTCACATCAGAATTCAGTTCTGGGCATGCAACTTTCGAGGAATGCAAGGTGAATCTCGATATCAATAATGATTCGTGCTGTTGATGCTCAATCACTTCTTTAGGATGGGTCCAGTCTTTCAGAATCTTTGCATCATGCAGTCGATGACACGCTGTCACTTGCCGAGCGTCGTCCAAGACGCCTCAATCGTCGTCTTCCTGCATGGTTTCGAGACGTTCTTCCTCAGCCACCACCACCGCCTACAGCTGAGCCAGCCCCATCGCCAGCTGCAGATCCCCCTCTTGCTTTGGCTGCAAACACACTGCTGTCACGGTCACTTTCTTTCTTTCGCACACTTCCAAACTTATTCGGACTTTCACGTCAGTATTACGGTGCCTGTCTGCCGACCCACGACCCAGAAGCGGTCACAACTCTGGAACACCTCACTCTGACCCATTCAAACCATGAAAGTCAGGATCTCAGTATCCCTGCTCCTGCAACGCGGGGTGACTGTAGCAACGGCCCAGATGCCTTCTACCCATATCCCAACAAATCGTCATTTCTCCTCGGCGACTGGTTTTGGAACGGAGGCCTGCAGAAATCACAAAAAAGCTTCAGGGAACTATTGCGGATCATCGGCGATACTGAATTTCGACAGGAAGATGTACGTGCCACGCGCTGGAACTCGATCAATGATCAACTTGGATCTAGTAAAGAAGAGGCAGAGGGATGGGTGCCTTTGGAAGGTGCGGGGTGGAAGAAGACCGCGATCAACATCAAGATACCCATTCATAATCGTTCGGATAATCCAGGCGTTCACGACTACCTTACAGCAGAATTACATCATCGATCACTCTTATCTGTCATCCAGGAAAAGCTTGCTAACGAAAGGCACGACGACCTGTTCCATTATCAGCCCTACGAATTGCTCTGGGATCGCGGAAAATCTGAGAGACCCACCCGCATCCATGGAGAACTGTATACCTCTGATGCCTTTATTCAGGCACACCGTGAACTCCAAGAGTCCCCACCTGAGCTTGGGTGTGATCGAGAGCGAGTGGTTCTTGCTCTCATGTTTTGGTCGGACTCGACCCATCTAGCCTCATTCGGCAATTCCAAACTTTGGCCGTGCTATATGTTCTTTGGGAATGAGTCTAAGTACCGAAGGTGTAAGCCTTCTTGCCGTCTATGTAGTCATGTGGCCTATTTCAACCATGTAGGTACCTACGTGCTTTCTAGTGCTTTCTTCATACTCACACATACTTGCGGTCAAGCTTCCAGATAGTTTCAAGGATTTTGCCGTTAAGCACTTCGGTGGAAAAGGTCCCAGTGCTGACTTTATGGCACATTGCCATCGCGAACTTTATCATGCACAATGGAAGGTCCTGCTAGACGACGAGTTTGTGGAAGCGTGCAAGCATGGAATTGTCATACGCTGTTGTGATGGGGTTGAGCGTCGTTTTTACCCTCAGATCTTTACTTATTCTGCCGACTATCCAGAAAAGTGAGTCAAGCTCCGTTACGGTACCTAGAGGGCCAATCAACTAAATTTACTACACATCTCGTTATCAGAGCGTTAATAGCTACGATACGGACTCTGGGCGGGTGCCCTTGCCCTCGATGCCTCATCCCGAAATCCCGCGTTCAAAATTTGGGCATGCGGCTGGACATGAAACAACGCCAAACCCTCTTACGCATAGACGATGATATCCGGCGAAGTGAAGTCTCCACCTCGCGTTCACTCATCTACGATAGTGGCTATGGCATCCGCAGCAATTGTGTTGAAAACCTACTGAAAGAGCACTCATTGGTGCCAACCTCTGTACGTTGAACTTATCGCTATTAAACTCTTTCGTGTATGACGGTCGATAACAACTACCTTTCAGAATGCATTTTCGGAGAGGCTCGGGTGCCTCGGCTTTAATCTGTTTGCTATGCTGGTTGTAGATCTCCTGCATGAGTTTGAGCTTGGGGTCTGGAAAGCCCTGTTTACCCACCTGATACGCATTCTCGGAGCTGCTCTCAAGGGCGATAGATTGGTACACGAGCTTGATCGTCGGTTAGTTTTGTCCAAGAAGGCTGACCTGCTCTGACTAATGGAGCCCTTAAGTTACAGACTCATCCCCACCTTCGGCCGCGATACCATTCGAAAGTTTGCTTCAAATACATCTGAAATGAAGAAGATGGCTGCTCGCGACTTCGAAGATATTCTTCAGGTAAGGCTTCACGTTCTTTTTAACCGCACTCAACTTATACATAAGTATATAATCAGTGCGCTATCCTGGCCTTTGATGGCCTTCTCCCAGAGCCACACAACACCAGTATCTTAGTTCTGCTCACTACTTGTGCAAGCTGGCATGCCTTGGCAAAGCTGCGCATGCATACAGAGGAGACGCTCAATCTCCTGGATGCTGAAACGGTTACGCTGGGAAAGCAACTTCGCCATTTCCAGAAACATACCTGCGCAGCTTTCGATACTCGCGAACTAAAGCGGGAAGCAGAACGTCGACAACGCCAGCAGTTAAGGAGCCTGGCTGGAAACGGAGAGGCAACGGGGTCAAAGCCTCATACCGCTCGAAGACAAAAGACGTTCAATCTACAAACCTACAAGCTACACGCCCTGGGTGACTATTCTACCTCCATACGCAACTTTGGTACAACCGACTCATATAGCACTGAACCGGTGAGTGAAGGCATTTTGATGGTATCCTCTGCCATGTAGATAATTTATTTCAAAATATAGGGAGAGCTAGAACACCGCACCTCCAAAGCAAGGTACCGTCGAACGGACCGAAAAGAGTTTGTGAAGCAGATAGCCAGGATTGAACGGCGCGAGGCTCGCATACTCAGCATCTGTGACAAGCAGTCGCCACAGGGTACGGTGATGGAGGAAGAAGTTGCTACATCGCCTGAGGCTCATTTCCACGTCGGGAAATCTCAAAACTATCCTGAGAACATTCCTCTGTTCCTTCAAAGGCACGCGGGGGACCCCGCTATCAAAGTAAGTACCACATACCTCTTATACAGCCCGGTGCTGATTCCGAGCAACCGTGATAGGGTTTTGTACCTAAGCTTCAGCATTTTCTCCTTACTAAGATCCAGGACTCGATCACCAGAGAGGGTAGCCTTTTGTATACTGACGGTCCCACTCCAGCTGCAATCCCAGGAGCTACCCCAGTGTGCTCGGACTGGGAGGGACGTGTTTTTATCAAGGCCGATCGCATGTATAGGCACAACTTGATGCGCCTCAACTACACTACATATGACGTTCGCCGAGCGCAGGATGTCATCAATCCATCGACATCTCATTGTAACGTCATGCTCCTCGACCAAGCTAGCGAGGGCTCAACTACCGGTGAAAGTCATCCTTATATCTATGCTCGTGTACTCGGCATATATCATGTCAATGCCACTTATATTGGCCCTGGGATGGTTAACTATCACTCACATCGAATTGACTTTCTGTGGGTGCGCTGGTATCAATACCTTGGCAAACACTCCCAGGCCGACCGGCAAGCACCTTTAGATCGTGTTTGCTTCCCGCCTATGGCAGAGCAAGACTCATTTGGGTTTGTGGACCCTGATGACGTTCTTAGGTGCTGCCATGTCATTCCACACTTCGAGCAAGGCTTGCAGCACTTGGATGGTAGGGGTATCTCCCACTGTGCTCAGGATAAGTTGGACTGGAAATTCTACTATATAAATCGGTGCATCAATTGTGACTACTGATGGAGTTGCGCTGACTTTATGACCTAGTTTTGTAGACCGGGACTCATTCATGCGGTATCAATGGGGGCTGGGAGTTGGGCATACCTATGCTCATGGTGCCGGCGGTCAAGAAGAAGATAATGCGGTTGCTGTAGAGTGTTTTGAGGACTTTGAAGAAGATGCGTTGAGCAGTGGCCAAGACGGTTGCACTGCCTCTAACTCGGACCCAGGTGGTGAAGCTTCTGACTCGGACTGGGGGTCTGCTTCAGATGACTCCAACTCGGAAGAGCGTGACACTGATAGTGATTCGGACCAGTATGATACCCTTGACTACGAAAACTAGTAGGTCAGTTGGCACAAATGCATGTCTCTGGTACACTACTTCATGTTTTGGCGGTTGGCTGCATTCTCCATTCTGGTGTGGGTGTGCCTTTGAAGTCACGGTAACTTCAACCCTGCAGACGCTCCAGTAAGTACTCAAGCAGTGGCCATATCGCAGTGCAAGGCGTTGGTCCGAGTTAGCGATCTCAGGGACTCGGATTGTCCTTATAGCCATTTCTAAATCCTTCCCGGGTCCAATAAGCCTGAGGTCGGGCAGGTTCAACCGCCACGGCTACTATCAATTCAAGTTGGAACGTTCGTAAGTCACGTCACATTCACCACTGCGTCACATTCACCACCGCATCACATTCACCACCGTGTCACAATTCACCGTCTGACAGTCTAATACGGCTTACTAACGAGTTCGCCATACTTGAATTCCCAAAACAGAGGTTCAAGTCACTCAAATTGCACCGAACGTGACCATAGCGGACTCGCGTTTAAAATCGACTGCCCTCCGAATGGGAACTGTCAGTATTTCTTGTCCTGCCTCCAACCATTGCACCTGTTATGACCGAAGATCAACAGTCCTGCGGCCAACGTCGCAAACAACCTGTTGATGCCCTTCAACTCGGTCCTAGGAAAAGGCCGTGAGTGACTTCGGATAGCCATTGCCGCTGACCATTGCAATCATTATACAGGAGTGCAGCTGATCCATTGGTACACTATGGTCGTCATTTCGGACGAACAGTACACGCTCTTTGCAACTTCCAAGCCCTCCTCACAAATGGAATTTTACGAATGGGAGAATTGGCCGAGACTCCAGAAGAAAACTTTACCGCTGAGTATATCACTTTTTTATAGAGTTACGTGTTACATATTTAATCACATGTACAGGGAACGGCGCGAGCATCGTATTTTTCAAGAGCTCCTCAAGTCTGTGGCAGGCCTGGAAGAGCGCTTGATGCAAGGCGGAGATGATGAGGTTGATGTCATTGCAGAGCTGGTAAGTACTATTTCGTTTTCCTATGTCTTCAAAGTTAACTCTGTATCTCACATCCCCATCAGCTCACCAAGGGCGCCTCTGGAGCAAGGGGTGATGACACCAAAAGCCTCAAAGGCAGTGTGCTTGATTGGATTACCCCCAAGGGACAGAATCTGGTTCCTCCTCTCGCTCGAAACATGAAAATTGACCGCGGTTTTCATCATGAACGGACGGGTGCGTTACTCTGTCCTGCTGGCCTGGACTGGTCTCACTCAGAGTAGGTGGTATCTTACTACTTGTCTGTTTACTTGGCATCCATACTGATGGCACGCAGGACAAAAGCTAAGCTACAAAGTGGCGAGATTATCGTAACGGGAGACCAGTGGCCGCTGTTCTTGTATGCTGACTACCATTATGATTCCGAGGATCCGTGGAATGGCCTGTTTCGAAGCGCTTTGTTGGTCTGCGTAAGATATAAGCTCTGTATCACTGAGTCCGAAATTCTCTGCGCTGAGCTCTACCTACAGGCATATAAACATGTATTCACATCCCCCAGCTCTGTAGACAGAGAGCCAAAGGCAACTCGCTCAGGCAATGCTCGTATTCATGGGATGACCCGAATTACTCTGCCCTCCATCGCATACATTGCAACTCAGGTGTGTCTACACTTCAACTCTGTACATTTCTACTCAGTGAACTTTCTTTCCAGGTCCGATTCTCCCTCACATCATCACCTGTTTTCTCGCGTACCGACACAGTCACAGACTCCGAAAGGTTTTACAACTCCATCTTGGATATTTTCGAAGACCCGGATGAAAAACAAGAGGTAGATGATCTTGCTGTATGGTGGAACAGGTGATGGATACCTTTTTCCGCTTTGCTTATCCTCATGTGTTATAGGCAAATCTTCCCTTCATACTCGACCGCTCAACGTCCTCTGGTCAAGAATAGTGCACTGGCGAGGATTCGGGAGAAGCGAGCGCAAATAAAAGAGGCTTCGGTCACTGATGGTGGTAGTGGCAATGCGTAGTATACAGTTAGCACAAGTTAGTCGATTATACTCACCAAAGAATTTATATTCAATGATCCAAACCTTGTGTGTGAGTATCTTGCGACGCCAAGATTATACCTAGCCTTCGGACTAAAACTCAGTGATAATATCAGCTCATTTTTGTATGTTTTACCTACGGTGACAATCAAGCTGGTCATGTTACAATGATTGACTACACGGTCTGCCTTTCTAGCATACATCATTGTGATATTCTTGCTCCAATAGTACCCAGCTATTACTTTACTGGTCACAAGTCCAACAAGTTCGTTTGTAGCCGATACTTGTAAGAATGATACCCATTGGACACACCTTTATGAGAGGTGTCTTTCTGATATTCATTTGTGCCTTTCATAAAAGCAGGCATCCATTATATACTTAGACACTAAAAGTTGATAGAGCATCATGATTGTGACACTTGTCATGCAGATAGCACTCCCGTGCAATCCCTGCCATCATGGTGATGCTTGTGAGCTCTGTCAGGGCAAGCATCCATTATAATCGAAGATACTAAAAGTTGACGGAGCATCATGATTGTAACACTTAACTTTCTTGCCATGCAGATACTCCTGCATAATCCCTGCCATTATGGTGATATTTGTGAGTTCTGTCAGGGCAAGCATCCATTATAATTTAAGGGACTATGGCTAATAAATGGTCACAATTACAAGGCTAGGTATATGTTGGCAATTCAATCTATTAATGCCTCATCCTTACATAGATGGCGAGTCCTACCTTGTCTATCCTACCATGTAAGGCTTCACAATGTGACTTATCATTATTGTACTTATTATAGCGATTTTGCTTATTATAATTTTTTGTATACCAATATAATTTCGTGGTTGGATGTCTGATGATATACATGCGCGGTGCTCCCATCAAGGGAGCCTTAGTCGAGAGTATCCTGAAAGATCTTTCATTGGTGCCTACTGTTGTAAGTGTGATGCTTGCTCTCATGATGCGGAACTGACATTTCTCCAGAATAGCTTTGTAGACCGCCTCTCACCATTTGGTTTTAACCTTTTCCCCGCCCTTGTGGTCGATTTGCTGCATGAATTTGAACTCGGAATATTGAAAGCAGTAATGACACATCTGATGCGGCTACTCTATGCAGTCGACCCACGGAAGATCATCATCCTCAATGACAGGTATGGTGTTTTTTTGACTCTTATCAATTATTATCTTGATGCCTTCGCACACAAGGTTTCGGTTAATACCTTCCTTTGGGAAAGGTTCCATTCGACGGTTTCCCAAGAAAGTTTCATCTATGAAACAGCGAGCAGCTCGACATTTTGAAGATATGCTGCAGGTAAGTCTATTGGTATCTCATGCACAACATATTCTGACCGACTTATTCATTCCAGTGTGCGATACCAGCTTTTGAGGGGCTTTTCCCAGAAGAGCACAACAATGTCATAAGGGTCCTCCTGTTTAGCATGGCAGAATGGCACGCACTCGCAAAGATGCGCCTTCATTCTGATGACACCTTGAAATTACTTGATCAGTCGCTTCGAAGACTGGGAACTCAGCTTCAAAGGTTCAGCAAGTTTACCTGTTCAGCCTTTCGTACTATGGAGCTTCCGAGTGAGGTGTCTGCACGTCACAGAAGACAACATAATGGGTTTGAATCTCAGTCCAGACCAAACACAGCTGACCAAACAGGACCTTGACCGAAGTCGTTCAACCTGTTTACATACAAGTTACATGCTCTCGGTGACTATGTGCGATCAATACAAGCTTTTGGCACCACTGATTCATACAGTACCCAACTAGTCAGCGCAATTTTCAAGTGTGTATATCTGTAAATCATAGCTGATTTTGAATGCAGGGAGAAGCCGCACATCGCCTCATCAAGAAGTTTTATTGTATGACGAACAAACAGGATGTTCCGAGGCAACTGGCATGACATGAAAGGCGGCACACGCGTATCAGGTGGCAGCAGCAGGATCTTGAAATAGACTCGGATGAACCTGTCGAGACATTGCCGGAACTTCACCACCACCTATCGGATTCATGGGTCAATGTTATCAACCTTGCAACATTCCTCTGTGACCATTCATCTGATCTGGCAGTCAAAGTCAGAGTTTGTCCTTCGTGCACCTCATTTGACAGATACTGACACAGATATATACTGTACTAGGACTTTGCTCCGAAACTCAAAAACCATATTCTATCACGCTTGCTGGGTCTCGAATACGATGGTGATGAGCATCAGTTTTCCGATCCTGAGAGGAACGAGTTGCGTTTCATTGACAACCTCTCCCGAGTCCAGCAACCACATCGTTTCCAAGTTAACTATACTACCTACGATGTCCGGCGTGATCAAGACTCCATGCGCCCAGGATGTAATTGCACTGTCATGACACTATCGAGGGAAGAAGGCGAGAATGCACACCCATTTTGGTATGCGCAGGTACTACGTGCCTTTTGCATTCGTGTGTTGCATACTGGATCGCAAGCTCGAAACCGTTCATCTCAAAGTGTGGAAGTTCTTTGGGTTCGGTGGCTCGGGGTGGATCCTACTTATCACTGGGGCCTTAAAGAAGCTCGCCTACCCAAGGTTGGATTTGTCCCCGAGACTGATGACAATGCTTTTGGCTTCCTCAATCCATCACTTGTTATCCGTGGTTGCCATCTTATTCCAGCATTTTCCGAGGGGCATTCAAATACTCTCCTCAGACATGGTCCTTCTCTCGCAAGGCTTCAGCATGAAACTGATGACTGGGTTTTTTATGTAAATATGTAAGGAGGAATGGCCGTCATCACACTGTAGCCTACACTCACTTTGCTTCGTAGTTTTGCAGATCGAGATATGTTTGCGCGATTTGCTGGGATTGGTGTTGGACACGAGGTCCAGTATACCTCCTCTGCAATCAGGCAACATTCCAGTGAATATCGGGACGTTGCTGTCAGTTGCGAAGGTGAATCACCTGACGAGGAAGATGCTGTTGAGGACGGAGATGTTGAGGAACACAGTGTTGAGGAACACGATGTTGAGGAAGATGATGTTGAGGAAGACGATATTGAGGAAGACGATAGTGAAAGTGATGGCAGCGAGGACAGTAACAGTAGTACTGAGGAGTCAGACTCGGATGGGGAGGAGGATGATGGTGATGATAATGACCTATACTATAGATTTTAATGCATGGGGAAAGTTAGTATGTTACACCGGACCATCATTTGCTCGGACTTCAAGCTTCAAGCTTCAAGTTGAAGGTACTCCTAGCGGATGCCAGGAATGAATACAATTAATTTGGAGTCTGCGTCTGCATTACAACTTACAAGGGTATTTCTTGGAATATAACACTTCAACAAGAAGGGCAGCTTTTCTCGTTGGTGGAAATAGTGATCCGCCTTTGTAAGACTATCTAATACTATCTCAACAGCAAGAACAATGATTCGGGTATGTAGTTAGAATTTACTTGAAGATAGACTTGGTAGCACTTGATAATAATAACAAAATTTGGAGCCTGTGTTACAAGGATATATCTTAGAGTATAATACTTCACCGAGAAGGAGAGATTTTTTCGTTAGTGTAATTAATGATCCACCCTTGTCACACTATCCAATACCATGTCGACAGCAGGCATGATGATTCAGCTTTGTAGCTTAAATAAGGCCATATCACGCTATGAGGTTTTCAGTGGTGTCACCATCGGTGGCGCATGCGCCCCTTCAGATGGAGCCCATCAATATTTGAAATGGTCAAAAAAGTACTTCAGCTGAGTTATATATAGGGAGGAAAGCGATGAGCTGCTTCTGCATGACATCCAGGACAAAGTCATGTATAATTTGGAACTATGGTCAAGTTCCAGCCATTCTGAAATTTTCGGGTATCGGCTGAGTGTGGAGCGAAGAACAACAACGTTGAGCTGTTGAAAGTCGGGGGCACTCCTAAACTCCGTATAAGACACACGAAGATAGACTGTTCTATAAGTACTGTACGCTAACTTATGGAAGGAAATTGAACGTTGAACAACCACGGTGTTATGGTAAGAGGGGTTTTCCTTTTTGGTCATCGGATGGACGTGAGATTTCCTTCCGTTGTCATTACATACTTCCGCAAACCATTCAGCAAACAGTCGGACCTGGTCGCATATTCATGATTTCTGTTAGTCGTTTTCAACATTTGCATCGACAGTGCTAAGCGTTACGTCTAGGCATTCTTCATATTCAATCAGAAGGGAGAGGTGCGCTTGGTTGTCTTATCATTGCCTTCTCTTTATAACGACTCGGAATTCGTGGCGCCAAGGTTCTCATATCCAGACTGTATCGGACAGACTTCAAGTGGGATCATTTTCTATTCACGCCTGACTCGTCTTATACATTATAGGCGATCCATCGCAGACGTATTCCGGATACAAGTAGTATCTAACAGCGATGTACGATCTCCCATCATAACGTTGGGCTCGACCAGTTTCTTTCATGTGCGGGTGAACAACCTCTATGTTGTCTGTGTGACAAAGTGTGTTCAATACATCCAGCTGCATTTGCTGCGCTAATCATCAGTTCAGGACAAACGCAAATGCCGCCCTCGTCTTTGAATTTTGCTACCGTTTCATTAGTATCGCCAAATCATATTTTGGAAAAGTAGACGAGGAATCAGTCAAGAACAACTTCGTGCTAATATATGAATTAATAGATGGTAAGGTGGTTTTATTTGTCCAGATGGTGTTTCACCAATGATGCTTCACAGAAATCAGTGACTACGGATACCCTCAGAACAGCGAGATTGACACCCTCAAATCTTATATCACCACAGAAAGCGTAATATCTTCGGCTATAGCAGCTGTTTGCATTTTCCTTTACTGGTTGATCGACATTCAGCTGATGGGACTTTAGGAGGAGTCCTCGAAAATCACTACACAAGCTACAGGAGCGACAAGTTGGCGACGTGGGGATGTGAAGTACAAGAAGAATGAAGCATTCGTAGACGTGGTGGAGACTGTCAATCTAAGCATGAGTGCAAAAGGTGATGACGACTTCCCCGTGTGCGTCGTGCGCAATGTTCATGATTGTTCTCCAGGGACTGTCCTTCGTGCCGATGTGGATGGGCATATTCAAATGCGCGCGTATCTGTCTGGGACCCCCGAATGTAAATTCGGTCTCAACGACAAGCTCGTCATCGATAAGAACAGCCAAGGCGGTGCAAGCGACGCAGTAGAGCTGGATGACTGTCGTTTCCACCAGTGTGTCCGACTGAATGAATTCGATTCAACCCGCACGATAAGCTTTGTTCCTCCCGATGGCGAATTTGAACTGATGAGGTCAGTCATTTTTATACTTCTCAGTTTCACAACAAACCACTGAAAAAATGTTGTACAGGTACCGCTCGACGTCAAATGTTAAGCTGCCTTTGCGAGTGATCCCTACGGTAAATGAGATTGGAACCACACAAGTGTCGTACAACATTTCCGTGAAAGCCAATTTTGGGAACAAGTTGTCTGCCACCAACGTGGTTTTACGGATACCGACACCATTGAACACGACCGGCGTGGACTGCAAAGTTGCGAATGGCAAGGCTAAGTATGTGCCTGCCGAAAACGTGGTCGTATGGAAGTATGTCACCTGATCCACTTGAGATGACTTCTACTTATATTGCGCCCAGGATTCCGCGGGTTCAGGGTGGACAGGAGTGCACCTTCAGCGCAACTGCTGGTCTTACTAGCACTACCACTCGGCAAGTTTGGGCTCGGCCACCTATTGACGTTGACTTTGAAGTTTTGATGCTCACCGCATCTGGTCTGATCGTTCGGTTTCTCAAAGTCTTTGAGAAAAGCAATTATCACAGCATCAAGTGGGTGCGCTACCTCACCAAAGCGAGCGGGAGTTATCAGATTCGGGTAAGTGATTAAACTATCCGATTCATGACAGATCGCGTGCTGACAACTGGTGAAGTTTTGATGCGATCATTATCCCTTACATTTGTTGACTTATATACTACAACCTTGGACAATCGTGTTAATCACATACCAACTGATGAACTTTGGGTCCTTCTGAAATTTTAACTACATGTTGTCGGGACTTGTGTTTGGAGTACCAATCTTAGTAACAACTATACACAGGCCCCGACAGTCTACGCTCACCTCAGCTCTATTCCTCAGTTTCAACAACATCGTTCCGCTTCCATGTTCTGGAGGTAAATTTTTTTCCCTTTCCACATATTGTGGGGTTTAAATACATCGTGAACTCTATTCTTGAGTAGATTCGGATTTCACAACACATCCTCCATCGACAGTCTACTGGACAAGGATGATGTTTCATTAGAGGCAATTCTAGACGAAGACGATCTACTACAGGAATGCAAGTCACAGAACACGCGGCTCATCGACTACTTTCAGCGTGTAGACGTCCTGAAAAGACTTCTGGGGTATGTGACTGGTCAGATTCCAGGCGAAGAGGAACGAGGACGGTTCAAGTAAGCCTTATCTCCGGTACTCTGCCTCATGGGCATCTCCACTAATCAATTCTAGGTATCCGTATGTCGCTACAGAAGTTCTCTGCAGTGAAATATGGTCGATAGTAGAAACCTGCGTCAACTCGTCAGACCAGCTGCTGACACCGTTCTGGGAAACGGTTCTCGACAAGTCTCCTGAAGAGATGAAGACAGAGATGGTCATGGCTTCTCACTTTGCCAAGATTAATGCTGTCTTTCTCACCAAGAAGCCGGCGGAGGTGAATACCTATCTTTTCACCGCCGTCCTCTGACGAACCCAGAGCTATGTGCTCAGATGCTCGCCTTCATCCAATCCCAACCATATGTCGTGGAGCGCCTTTTGCGACACGTCGAGACGCCATCCGTAGTTGACCTTATTGTCCGCATCATTCAGCTGGACGAAGTCCCAGGTGGTGCAGGGGTTCTTGAAGTATGCTCTTATATGCAGCATTCCGCGTGGCAGCTTACCCAGTATCGCAATTCAGTGGCTTTCGTCGGAGAACCTCATGGGCAGATTGGTTGAGCTGCTTTCCCCGGCGCACACCAGCGACATGCACACAGTGGTTTCAGAATTGATCAAGGGGATACTGTCCATGGCTACTGCGTCACCTGCACCGGGACTTACGGATGGTCTGCAGAATGGAGTTGCTTCGAATCTTTTTTCCAGGGAGCTGGCACGGCCCGAGAGCGTTTCAACATTAACCGATTACATATTAAGCGATTTCAGTCCATTAGCCGAAGCTGAAGGCCAGAAAGCGATCCATGATGATGATTCTACTGATCATTGTAGTTCCTCCACCCCAGAGCTCCCAAATCTCGACACCTCCCTCTCTTCTGTTGTCCACTCGATATCTGTGGTCATTGAACTTATTCGGAAAAACAATTCAGATTATTTCGAACCATACCTCTTTCATACCCTGCGAAATCGGCTAATTCATATTCAACAACAGCTGGCAGGGGCTGAAAATGGGCGCGCGAAGCTTGAGGAGTCCATGAAGGAGATGTCGGACAGAATGGGTGTGGTTCACCTAGGCCCCTTGCTAGAGATTATGGGCGAACGACTCGCGATCTTCGAGAAATATCTTCGTCGACCACGATCTTTGGTGAGTCCGTCGGATATCACTCGAACTCTCGATATAACCTTTCCCCCTCAGCAAGGTCCCATACCCACAACTGTAGGTGTGATCACGCCTCTCACCTTCGAACGATTTCGGATATGCGAGTTGTATGCTGAACTCCTGCATTGCTCCAATATGGCCATATTAAACCGTCCCGGGGAGTATAGCGATCTTTATGACAAGCAAGGGCGATTACAAGGCGGGCTATCATCTCTGGAGCATCTTGCTCGTGTAATTGCAATTGGTTCCGGAGATGAAAGAGACCAGGACACAATGGACGATAACCATGACGACGTGGAGCCCGCATTGGAATTGCCTGTCACCAACCGATCACGAGGTTCCTCGCTATTAGATTCGGATGAAGACATGAGCGATGATGAACCTGGCAGCTCGGATGACGATGTCCTGGAGGAGATTATGATGGATGATCCTCCGAAGCTGCAACATTCACCATCAGAAGATCTTCAGCCACAGGAACCTCCAATAATCGTCCCTTCCTCGCTCAATGCAGCATCATTACCTCCACCTGCCGAGATTGCGGCTCAAGGTACTGGCAAACGGACTTCCAGCATGACTAGTAGTAGTGATAGCACCGCAAAATCTCCCTCTGTACATTCGCGCAGAAGCTCCAAGCGGATGGTTAGCACTGATACTGTGCCAGGTCTCTCGATAGGGGAGAAAACAAAAATGCGCTTCTTGGAGGCCAACGTTTTGAGCACCTTATTGGTGAGCTACCATTTTTCCGTACTGGTATTGTACTCACATATCTGAGCAGGACCTCTTCTTCGAATTCCCTTGGAATAACTTTTTGCACAATACCGTTTATGATTTCATCCATCAAATTCTCACAGGCAGGACTGATGGAGGACTGAACAAAGAATTGTCGATCTCTCTCTTCCGGGATGCACACATCATGCAACGCATCATCGATGGTCAAAAGCGAAATGATGCAGAAAGGTACCACACTTCATCTCACCGTTGCATGATCTCAATTATATTCCTTCAGCTCAAAAGCAAAAGGTGTTCGGCTTGGGTACATGGGCCATCTGACGCAAGTGGCAGAGGACGTTATTGGAGCTCTTGAGCATTATCCACCCAATCTCCGGTTAATCATCGAACAGTATGCACCTCAGCCTGCTTGGCAGGAGTACGTGACGGGTCGTTTCAATGAGACCAAGAAACGGGATACCAGCCTCCTTGGCGGAGGGAGGCCTACCGTTACCTCAAATTCACGTGCTGGTGGTAGATGGACGGTTGACGAGGAAGACAGTGGCTCATCGTTGAGTGCAGCTGCGACTACAGGTCCTGGAACCACTGGTGAATTTAGGAGATCTGTGACCACAAGACCTTCAAGAGCAACGAGTGCTGACTTCGGCCCTGCGCCGATGGACGACGAGGACGACGACCATAGTGCTGGACCTCCACAAGTATGTCCTATTTTATTCGGAAACAGTGTATTTGTTCACATTTGTCCAGTTTGCTCGCTACTTGGCTCAAGAGATGCATTCGAGGGAGCAGTTTCACTCATCATCTGATGCTTCGGATGAAGACGAAGATGAAGACGGCGGATGGTTGGCTCAATCGACATTTGATTTAGGCAGACCACCCCTTCGGAGAAATACTGGAAACCAGCAAGAAATTTCTTCCAGTGGTTTTGACGTAGGTACATAACCCACTGTATCTTTTCCCTGAAGTAATTCGGCCCCCTCAGGATGCATTCAATCCTGGCCCCTGCGGCGCTTTGAGGGAGGCGCTTGCTGATGATCCTTTCGGGGTCAAATATGAGGACGTGAATAATTCTACTTCTCTCTCGTTGAGCTCTATTGACAGATTCATTCCAGGACGATGGTTTCGGCCCATTTTCCGATGCAGCAGCAACCTCCCCAGATCACTTCAATTTTTCTTCCTCGATTTCATCGTCTTTCTCATCTGATGACTCCTTTGACTTTGGAGATTTCCAGGGCTCAGACGACAGCATCCATGACGGTGAGCTTACCCCGACTGCTGGGAGCTGGACTTTGGCAAGTGGTTCAGAATCAGAAGGGGACGAGTTCGGCAACCCTGGAAACAGCTCGAATGGAATGCATCCGATATCGTTGGATGATTTGAATGGTCGACTGGAGTCCGATAAAAGTAAGGACTGGAGTTAAAAACGGTGTGTTGACAGCGTATTGTGTGCATTATCTTAGGTGATGCTCTACTGTTCATGTGTACATATCACAGCACATATTTCATTATATTCATTGTCTCGTTTGTATGTTAAAAGATAGTTATGGCGTGAACTGATACCCTCCACTCCTTGACTCTGCTGTGAATTTTAGCTCGGCAAGTACTTTACCAGTCGGGTCAGCAAGAGCGCATTCAATGATGTCACCTGGGTTGATAGGACCAACACCAGAAGGAGTTCCGGTGAGGATGAGATCACCCTCCTGCGCATTTGAGTGAATAAATTAGGAATGCGGACACGATTATCCTGACGAACCTCCAATGTCACGATGGAAGAGATATGTTCGATAAGTCGCGGGATGCGGAAAATCATGTCCCCAGTGGTACCATTCTGCTTGATCGCACCATTGATCTAGCGTGCAAAGAATCACGTCAAGAGAAGCTCCCGCTCAATAATTAAGACAAACCTTCAGGGAGAGTGTGAGGTCATGAGCATCCGAAACGGACGACTTGGGGATAAAAGACCTGATGACAGGTTCAAGACATATTGACATAACGTGTTCTCATGTCATACCCAATGGGAGTGAATGTATCGAAGCCTTTCACAGCAGACCAAGGCAGACCTTTCTTCTTCACCTCGTCCTGCATGTTCCGTGCGGTCATGTCAACAGCCAAAGCTAAGTGTCCTAATAAGCACTCAATCCAATTCATTCACAAAGCATTTTGTTCACCGTAGCCCGCAATGTGCGACTCGGCTGCATCCTGGGAAATGTCCCGACCGCCTTTCCCGATTACTAGGCCAAGTTCAACTGCGCTGGAGTTCATAGGACTGTTACACGAGCATGATATCGAAGCGGACCTTCATGGTGTGCTATGATGCCGCGTGGAATTTCAACCTTTCCCCCAGTAGGGAGGTAGCTCGTCGTAGGCTTGAAAAAGAAGAAAGGCTCTTTTGTCTTGGCGTTGTTGAGCTCCTTGATGTGGTCAGAGTAGTTTCTGCCAATGGCAACTATCTTGTTTCAAAATAAGAATGCGTTAGTCGCGTAACGACGTTTGAATTTCACCTTTTTCCCCTGCCTCACGAACTGAGCTGCTACAGACATGGTGGACACAAGATAAGCGAGCGGAACACCGCGTGGAGGTTATGTTAGTCACGTGAGATAATTATCAACTATACTTGTACACTGTTGGCGTTGTACTATGACCTGGCAGCTTCAAAAGGGTCCGTTATCCATTGAATGGACTTCTGTTGCAAATAAAGCCCATCATGTCCGATATTCGTGCAACTGTGGTCAGTGAACATTCCGCGCTACAACGCAAGAAACACTGTGCTGCCCTTTGCTGGCAGTACATATTAATTCATTCATACTAGATTGAATAGGATTAGTTATGCATCGATCGGACTTGGTCGGATTTGCCCGATTTAGGTCTCGGCCGACTAACCGAGTCGAGTCACTCTTAGCACTCCAAGGATTTCAAAAATTGTTTGTTTCAGAGCAAATTCAAAGCAACGCTTTCTCTTTTCTGTCTTGCTCCCGTCGTTGCACTCAACGACAATCATGTCGCTCCCTGTTACATTTCGTGTATGCAATGCACCGAAATCTACTGCAAAGGTCTCATTTTCCCGCTCCCGCTCAACTGTCGCATCGTCTTCGATCGTCGACGCGAAAGCCAGGCTAAGAGATGCTAGAAACATCAGTAGATCATCAATTCGAAGTGCTACTGCGGTTCCTTCTGCGTGCGTGTCTTTCATGCATCTTTTCTTATCTCAAGTCATCTGATAGTATCTATTCGCAGTCGACCCTCCCCAGCTCCTGGATTTCAGCAGCTGCCGCAGAAACACAATATTCCATTTGACTTGGAGTCGCATACCAACACACCTCTAGATCATTCCTTTGTTGGCATGTCAGGTGGTCAGATTTTCCACGAGATGATGCTTCGCCACGGGGTAAAGCATGTTTTTGGTTATCCCGGCGGAGCTATTCTTCCTGTGTTTGATGCCATTCACAACTCTAAACATTTTGAATTCGTTCTTCCTCGTCACGAGCAAGGCGCTGGGCATATGGCAGAAGGTTATGCCCGCGTATCAGCAAAGCCTGGTGTCGTCCTGGTGACTTCTGGTCCAGGCGCAACTAATGTTGTTACGGCAATGCAAGACGCGCTTTCTGATGGCGTTCCTCTCGTTGTTTTCTGCGGCCAGGTAGCAACCTCGGCTATCGGGTCTGACGCGTTCCAAGAAGCCGACGTTATTGGTATCTCACGCAGCTGTACCAAGTGGAACGTGATGGTCAAGGACATAGCAGAACTGCCAAGACGCATCAATGAAGCATTCAAAATTGCAACTTCTGGCCGTCCTGGACCTGTGTTGGTCGATTTACCCAAGGATGTCACCGCTGGGATTCTTCGCACACCATTGCCATACAAAGTGACCACTCCAGGCTCCCACACCCTGCCTGCGAATCCCATGCAACCTGTCTCTTCTCTAACCGACATGGTGTTGATCCAGCAAGCTGCCAACCTCATCAACCAATCGCAACGACCTATTATTTACGCTGGCAATGGTGTCCTCTCATCACCTTTGGGACCTAAATTACTTGCGCAATTGGCTAAGGAGGGTAACATTCCTGTAACGACCACTCTGCAAGGCCTTGGTGCCTATGACGAGACGGATGAGAAAAGTTTGCATATGCTTGGCATGCATGGATCCGCGTATGCGAATTTGGCAATGCAACAGGCAGACGTTATTATTGCTCTGGGTGCACGATTCGATGACCGTGTCACGGGCAAGGTTGATACTTTCGCACCTGCTGCCCGGGCTGCTGCCTCGCAGGGCCGCGGAGGTATCATCCACTTTGAGATCCAGCCGAAGAACATCAACAAAGTTGTCAATGCTTCCATCCCCGTCCTCGGCGACGTTGTTTCCAACATGGCTGCGCTCGTCCCCTTGATCCGATCATCACCACGCACACAGTGGTTCGGTGACATCCAGGAGTGGAAACAGAAGTACCCCTTCACATACGTCCCTTCAAAGTCTGGTGCCCGAAGCAAGCCACAGGAAGTTATTGAGGAGTTGGACCGGCAGACGGCCCACAAGAAGGACGATGTTATCATAACTACTGGTGTTGGTCAACATCAAATGTGGGCGGCCCAACACTTCCGATGGAAGACGCCTCTGTCGATGGTCACTTCTGGTGGCCTTGGAGTGAGCTACCGCGTTTTTCCACGGGATACCGGACGTTGACAATTTTGCAGACCATGGGTTTTGGCCTTCCTGCTGCCGTTGGTGCTAAAGTGGCCGCGCCTAACAAAACTGTTATTGACATCGATGGCGACGCATCATTTAGCATGACTGCTATGGAACTCGCCACTGCCTCGCAGTACAATATTGGTGTCAAAGTCCTCATCCTTAACAACGAATTCCAGGGTATGGTTTTACAATGGCAAGGTTGGTCGATCCCACTTTCAGTATATGGATAGTTCTCACGGGAAATCTAGATCTATTTTATGATTCCAGGTACTCGCACACTCGGATGACGAACCCCGACTTTGTTATGCTAGCTAAAGCCATGGGCGTGCATGCGATTCGATGCGAATCTACGGCAGACCTTCCTGCAAAAATGAAAGAGTTCCTGGAATACGACGGCTCGAAACCCATTTTGCTTGAGTGTAAGGTCGAAACCGACGAGCACGTGTACCCGATGGTGCGTTTAGAGAGGCCAGTTCATCTTTCAGTCGGGTAAACTAACTGTTACTACCAGGTCCCCGCGGGGAAGGCATTGCATGAGCAGGTGCTCCACCCTCTCCTGAGGCCAAAAGAAAAATCCGACGCATGATCCAATTTTCATTATTTTTGATCTATATGCATATTATTCTACTTCTCTCTTTGCGCACATCAGATTCACAACATACCGTTTTCACTGTGTACTAACATTCATTGGCTCGACCATCTTTTATTGACACGAACCACATTTATCTACGATGTTTTTGAAATTGCAAAAGGGATGTTGAATCCCATGGGGATGTTGGGTGTTCTATATGGTTACTCCAAATAAAACAGAAATAGTGTTACTGGTGCATGTGCGTCCAAGAATAGCGTTGGCGCTATCATTACTTACCTTCTCCCGACGAGATCGAATATGGAACTACTATCAGCCAGGTTCAAATCAGCACTGCGTAACTGTCATATACAAGATCGGGCATATCTGTTCATAAGCAGGGCGTGCAAGTGTCCGGTGATCCAGTTTTGCATGCGATCAGTATGGGCATGAGCGTGGGGCTCGGGACGTCGAGATACGACTGCTTGGCAGACCTGATCGACTGAGTTAGTAGCGCTGTGCGTGAGATGGCCAGGGCAGACCAAGTAGGGAGGTTCAAGGTTCAAAATAGCAGTCCGTGTCTTCCCCAAGAAAGCCGTGCCCAAGGCTAGTCGTGTACTAACGCGATCCGGCCAGAATCAGCCAAGAAGGCGCAATATCAAACAGCGAGCCCATGCCGGGCTAGCCAAGGCCGTGTTAGCACGCTGTACTTGGGAAGATGTCACCCCTGTCCCAATTCATTCATCGACGAGTCTGAGCTCAGAACCATCGAAGCATAATCGGTTTATACGCGATGGATGATGAGTCTCGCATGCTTGGTAGAGTTTACCCAGGAATCACAACGACGCTTGTGAGATGATCAAGGCACAATGTTCAGTCGAGAAAGTGTTTACGCACCCCTAAGTGTGACATGATAGATGGGAACACAGGTCGAGATGTATAGGCACAGGCCCGGGCCCGAGCTCAGACGATGAACAGGCAGAAACCTCATGCAGCGGATGAGTAAATGATACGGACAGACGCATTGCGCCGTTGGAAATGCTTTCAGGGAGCCGGAGCTGGATCGAATGAAAACGGGCACAGCTCATTAGTTTCGACCAATGATATCTGACTCCGACTGAGATGCTGGCCTGTGGAAAAAGGCCTTGGATCACGCCGTGTGGGTCCGTTGGGCGTGAGCTATGGAGCTGTGGGAAATGAAGGGCGAACTGTGTTGCCCCTCAAACCAA